TTGTAATAAAAGCATTATGAATGCCACTGCATGTGTGATTATGTTATCTACACAAATGCATGTACTATGATCATCAGATTGTATTTTTTCACATGATGATTGGCTAGCACTTGGTGCTCTGAAGGAAGACAGGTACAAGTGAAGTGCATACAGAAAATGTTTTTGGTGTGCTCAGGAGTCAATACTGCTGCTGTACAAGATAAATTATAATCTCTGACACTACTACTACTCATCACAAGTTCAAAAAAACCAATATATATACACTGCATCAGCATTCCTTCTTCTTCTTCTTCTTCTTGCTGCCCTTCCCCATGTTGTTTGCCCCCAGAACGATGTCCCCCCGGCGCGGCGGTGGCGGGTCCACAATGACATCTCCGCGCCGCGCGCGCGGGATCGTGACGTCGCCCCGCCGTCCAGGTAGGATCTTGACATCCCCCCGTCGACCGGGGGGTAACTTGACGTCCCCCCTCCGGCCCGGCGGCACTTTCACATCGCCGCGCCGGCCCGGCAGCCGGTCTCCGCGACGGACGTGTTTGTCGCGGGTCTCTGCGAGCTCTGGCTCGTCTCCGTCTCCGTCCTCGCCACACGAGTCGTCTGGCATTTCATGAAGATCGAGTACTTTAGTGTGTCCAAAGAGGCCATACCTTCGTCGTCTTCTCCGTCGAGAACGACATCGCCGCGCCGTGGAGGGCGGATGCGGGCGGGAGCGACATCGGCCTCCTCGTCTTCGTCTTTGCGAGAGTCTGGAAATATCATTAGTCAGCAGTATGATTCGCAGAACAAATACTTGCCGTCATCCTCCTCGTCTTCGTCTCCGTCGACGATAACGTCCCCGCGGCGTGGCGGGCGGATGCGGTCGGGATCAGCCTCGTCGTCATCGTCATCTTCACACGAGTCGTCTGAAAAGGGTGGTCAGAAAAACCAAGTCAGAAAAATTGAAGTCGTGCCTTCTTCCTCGTCTTCGCCGTCAACGATAACGTCTCCGCGACGCGGTGGGCGGATGCGGTCAGCATCATCTTCGTTGTCGTCGTCGCAAGAGTCTGGAGGGGAAATGTTAGCACACTTGTAGAAGTAGGTCCTCGCAAAAGACTCATACCATCCTCCTCATCGTCTACGATGACATCCCCGCGCCGCGGCGGGCGAACTTGAATACGGTCCTCGTCGTCGTCAATGCCGTCTTCATCTTGCTCTTCGTCATCGTCCCCACACGAGTCCGAGGCGGAATCTGCCATGAAATCTGCCATCAAACTCAGCAAACCGGCTTACCAAGACATAAGTTGCCCATACCTTTCACCGCGTGGCCCTTTCCCTTCCCTTTCTTTGCAGGCTTTGCCGTCTCGTCGTCGTCTTCGTCCTCATTGCAGCTGTCGTCATCGTCGTCGTCTTCCTCTGAGTCCACCGGCTCCTCTGCATCTTCAGAGGCGCAGTCGCTTTCCGGCGCCTTCTTGCCTTTCCCCTTTCCCTTCTTCGGTGCGGGGCGATCGTGATCTGACACACACTCGGAGGACTCTTGCGCCTCGTCACCGTCGTTGCACGAGTCATCGTCCTCTGCAGGCTCTGCTTCGCGGCGTCCGCCCTTGCCCTTTCCCTTCTTGGGCTTACCCACAGGCTCGTCGTCATCGCCGTCGTCCCCGAATATTGCGTTGATCACATCCTCGCGGTCCTTCTCTTGGTCCTGCAAGCGTTCTAAGCAAAAGCAGACAAGAAAGAGGAAAGCCTGACATCGCGCGACCGCGCACCGCCTTTCCCACTCTTTGGCACCGCCCGCCGAGCGAGCACCTTGCCAGGCATGGTTGACTCTTGAGCTTCAAGCTGTGTTTCGAATGCGAGTCGCTGCGAGAGACTTGTTGGCTTTCCAGGTACGCCACCTTCCGCCTTATGTACCCCTGGCCCCATATCGCGGCGTCTGGTATTCTTAGCGCAGGCGTCGCGCTGGCAGCACGCTCTCTCGGGATCAGCTTCTCCGCCCGATAGGCTTGCGCAGGCATGTCGTTGTTGACAGCGGGCATGCATGCATGCATTCACGGCCATTGTGCCGACACTGCCGAGGAAGGAATTTGAAAGGCACCGTCGTTTCTCGGTATTGACGGGCCGCCGAAAACGTCTTGCTTGGTCTTGCTCAACGTCGGGGCAGAGTCGGCGCCGTGGACATGATAGGTATGATATGATACCTGTCGTTCGGGCCTCGAAAGAGTGGAGGGGTGGGCTGGATCGCTCTGGGTTAGGTCAAGTAGACTTGAGCGGAACGCGGTGAATGAGCGGTGGAGACAAGGTTGAGATCAAGTTGAGATGGCCGTTGGGAATATTGGACAGCTAAGCATCACGTGATAAAGGAAAGGTACACTGCAAATCCTAAAATCCGATTCTTCAGGCTACATTAACAATGATATACAATCCTGCTGCGCGGTCTAACGGTATTCACGCCGTCAACGACCCGGATTTGGACCCGGAGTCGCCAGTCCTGAAAAGGAAACCCGTCCGTGAATAGTACAACGAGGGAAACAAGTTGGAACATACGTAGGCGATTCGACGTTATTATCTCCACGAGTTTCAGCGTCGCCCTCTGCGTGTGTGTCGGATAAACCGGGCCGTCGACGCGGGCCTCGCGCCGATAGTCCTGCGGCGCGAACTTGGTGATCTCCTTGTTGACAGCCTGACGGACGGTCGCTTCCGCGGCGAAATACGCGTCGACCGCCCGACCGAACGCAGCAGGGAAGTCGCCAACAGGGGCGCGTGTGTCCATCGAGGTCTGCTCGATGCAGATGCAGGCCGCTACGGGCAGATTAGGACGCACAGGAATTAATTTGATGGATTTCCTTGCCAGCAACCACTTCGGCGCGTTTCGTGTTGGTCCAAACAGTCTAACAGTTGTCAGTGATATGATTGTTGTAACGGCAGGGCAAGCGCACTACGTCGGTGAACTCGTGTGAGAGTATGGAGGCACATTGGCGGATAGTTTTCGTCTGCCAGAGGGGTATCAGCGCCGGGACATCGTGATCGCGGGACAGCGGCAAACCAGCTGGTCATACCCAACACCGTCCATCGTCAGAATCAGCCGGGATAAAAGGATGCGCACCAGATTGTCGTGCTAATGAAGGGTAAACAGTTGCGACACGACGAAAATTGCAATACTGACTGGCTGTGCGACATCTGGTCCGTGGTTAACTGGTCCCTGTGACGGACTAAACAAGCGGCTTCATGAGAAGCGCTACTCACCTCCTGCACAAGTCAACGACTAGACCACCGAGTGAGACCGAAGGCCGACCCACATACTAATTCACGTTAGAAAATTGGACCGATGAAAATGCAACTCACTTGCTAAGCCGCAGTCAACGTCCGCCTGTAGTAAGGGGTAAGGGGAAGGGCTCACCTCATCCTACAGGTGAGATAAGCGTGATATGCAAGTCAAGGAAGATAGCACTAACTCTCTGTGCCGCATAGTGAGTTTAATCGCCACTTTCTCGCAATACAGTAGAGTCGTACCCAGACATGAGGAAAATGCGGCAATACCATCGCCAATAGGCCTGTAGGTAAATTAGGGGGGTTGAAGCACTGCGACAAGCACAAGAACATGCCTGCTATATCTTGCACGTGTTGCGAGCCGAGGCAACTGTATCGTCGATTAAACAGCATACAGCGCGACCTGGATTTGATGCCACTCACTCCTCGACTGCCGCTGCGATGCAGGCGTCTATGTTGGTTTGACGCACAGAAAATAGGATTGGCTTCATTGCATCGCTGGACAAAAGCTGTTGCATCGTTTGCAGAAGCTCTTCGCATGATGTCTTTTCGTCAGAGAGATCTACAATCGCAATGTGTAAGCACATTGCGATACGGAGGAACGGGAAGGTACCTCCAATTCGAACAAAGTGAAGAGGTGGATGTGCCATGGCTTTCAGCGGTTGAATATATCGATCTTGAAGCAAAACGTCCGCTCTCTCAAATCTCTTTGCTTTGGATTCCACTCGCCCCAACGTTTTGCGGAGCTCCCCGAAAGCCATTGTTACCAGACCGTGATATTTGGTGAAGATGACGATAACCGGGGCTACAGAGTGAGTTAATTAACATATGGAAGAACGAAAAGCCTTTTGCTGACCATCGCCCGCAACCCCCTCATTGAAAAACCGCTGATCAGCCGACGACAAATAAAGGTGAGTGTCGGTGCGTATGCAATACCTGAAAGCATTTCAATACAAAGTGATTGGAGAGGCTTTACTCACCAAATAGCATGAATCCGTTCAGAGAAGCTCGTGGTCTTGGCTCGCTGCTTGAGCAAAGTCTGCACTACCCCAAAGTTAGGGTCGCTCCATCCGTTGAATCCTGCAGAGTCATGTAGTATGAGTGCGGAGCGCGGTATTTCGTATTCCTTTTCGGTGGGCTAGCTAGCGTCGGTGGGCACAACCAGAAATGTGAAAGACGGACCTGCGACGGAGGTCAGGTGTGAGTATAGTAAGATTCAGAACCAGAAATACCTCATATGAGACTCCACATAGTTTACGCAGCAGAGCAGTCTTATCCGCGCCGACCCTTCCTGTGACGAGAATATAGCGTTTTTCCCCTCGAGAAATTGCATCTGTGGATGATTGCTGATTAAAACCTGCAACCGCCGCGACGGGGGGGACCTGTGAAGGATTCTGGTCCATGAATCGCGTATTGAGTGTCGTCTGGAGCAAAGAATACAGCGCCTCAGAACATGATGACCGCTGAGGTCAAGGTGATCGACGTGAGAAAGTTTTGACATCTGTCTAAATCGGGATGAAGGGTTGGTTGACGACTCTCACACGAAGTCACTCAGCGCAGACCTGAAGTTCCTGATATACCGCCGAAATGGGCGCACGGGAGCCCTCCTCATGCCGCTGCAATGGGCTCATTGATCCCATGAACTCCGGACTACATCGCTAGCGCTGTTTCAAGCTGGTTAACACGCTCGGGCTTTTGAAGGTGCCAACTTGAATTTTTCTCAATCATGATGATTCGTTGCCTGTTGACCTGAAATAGGGATGACGAATCCGCCTCATGTTTACTGTGCAGCACTTTGTGGACATGCGATCTACATCTTCACCTCCGCCGCTATGACCCAACCCCCACTGCCAGTGGCAGAACTTGAAGCCGCTCCCGCGGAGCGCGAAAACTCGACCACGCTGCACGATACTCAAACGTCATGTCCATAGTGCGTCTAAAGCTATCATGTCAGCCTTGGGCTTGACTGCGCTTGCTCAGCTTGCACATTCTTGTGGTCGGGGCGGTAAGCATGCTCAAAATAGCGCATGGGATTTCCAAAGCGCAGTACAGGACAAAGTGGGAAAGTCGTCGCTCATAACGCATGTGTTGGGTGTGGATTACGAGGTAAGTCTCGAGTTCTGCCAATCCGCACTCTGTTTTACTATTGAACACCCACACCAGGTAACAACGATCCCTTCACCAGAGAGTTGGGGTACTATTCCTGCGGGAGTCAAATCCATGCGACAGCCACGGCTTGTGCTGCATGAAATTCCTTACATGCAAAGAGCAGGGCAGACGAGTGGTCTTGATGAAGTGGAAACATTAGTGTCGGCATTGAAATCGGGACCGCTCGAACATCAAGTCCACGCAATCTGGTACGTTCCACAAGTTTTGTCTCCAAGAGTGTGTCTTAACCATCACTTTAGGCTCTGTGCTCAGATACCCTACGTGGATCCTCACAGTGACGCCCTTGATTCAGTCGAGCTTGACTTCGTAGGCAAGCCGACACCACTGCGAGGTCAGGCACTGAGAGTCCTCGTTGAATCTGAAAGCACTTACCATTCCAAGTACCACGCATAGTTTTTTTCACCCAGTTTGACAATCTTGTTGATCTGCAGGACGAGCAAATCACTGGCAGTTTGCCGGAAAATTTGTCGGAACATGAAATGGAGCGCTTGACCTTCCAAAAGGCTCTCAATCTATACCAACACAGTTGTGCCAATGTTCTCCTTCGAGCCAGCCCGGAGGTGCCATTTTTCCGCCTTTCTGGTGAGTGCATGCAAGCTTGGAAACCGCACTCCCAGTACCATGAATGACTGTTCACCTTGATCAGGTTTAAACGAAGAAAACTTGTCTCAGCAATCGCAGCGAGACGTTGATTCTCTTCTCCAAACGACGCATCAGCTTGCAGAAGAGTATGTGGACAAGATCTCATGGAATATGACAGGAATGCCGGAGCAGTTGGCGAGCGTTCACATGAAATTGGAGAATTCGATCCGGTAAAGTCATTTTAGATGCAGTACGAGAGCCGCGCACTCATATCATGCATATAGAACAGGAATGACAGGTTCGTGCAGCTCAAGTCGTGTCCTCCGAGATGAAGAAGCGCCGGCAGTGTATTACGACGCGTTATTCAGTGTCATTCTTTGGAATAGATTAAGCACAATTCTGGACAAATCGCACAGACAACTAACACGGGGATGGAACCTGGAAGATCCCCACGTAGTAAGAACATACCTGGGTTGGAATGTGACAGCTGACCGCGTTCAGCTACGCGACTCTCCTATCTTTGTTTCCGCAATTCGCCAGATAGCCGGTCTACCGGTGATAGATGGTTCAGACAACAAGGCCTTAGGAATGTGAGAGCAACATAATATATGCTTTGAACTGACTCGAACTTACAATCGCCGACTCGGATAGCGACATGCTCGACAGGTGGCAACTCGTGCTCACTCTCATCGCCGGGATTCTCGTCTCTGCGAATATGGGCCGCATTGCCGCTACCTTCGCCGCATTTATCTGGATTGGTCATGTCGTCCTACAACTAAGAAGGCGGCTGTGAGTATTGATTTCAACTCAAGTCTCACCAACCAACAACAGGATAGCCCAGAAACAGTCCGCATTTTCCTTGAATCCATAATTCATCTCACTCTGCTCCTGGACCGTATCTTCCACAGTGCGCTGCGGCCAAACATCGGTCGACCAAAGGCATTGACCAATGCGGATATCAAGCAAGCATTGGAACAATACCAAGCTTCGGAAACAGCAGCACAGGTCCATTCCGATGTCCAGCTGTTTATCGACGACACATGCGAGTCGATATGGAAAGCCCTGTGGGGGCTGCGCAAGAGAAAAGCCGAAGATTTGGTGCGGGAGTTGGTAGATCAATGGAGGACTGGCTCAGGGAGTTCCTTGACACCGTTGAGGGTGACGAGCCAGCATTGACTTTTGTATATGTACTATCAACAAATTTAAACACACTCCCCTCCCAGCATAAGTACTCTGAACAAGCAGGCAGAAGGGCCGTGACAAACGTGATTTAAAACCAATAAGTGGACGTTGTAGACCGGCTGTAAAGATTAAATGCTGTTACTCATGGGCAGCTTGCCAGCCTGCCAGGGAGCTGAGCAGTGACGAGGAAGTAGTAACCGTTGGAATTGAATATGTACGGTAGTAACAGGTGAGTCGTGACAAGTCACGCAGGAATATTGAATTTAAGTAGAACAAGTAGCTGGCGCATAGTCGATACAAGGGATCGGTGGGCCGGATTCAAAAAGGCACTTTCCAAGTGCACCGAAGCGCAGCAAAATGGACACATTGGGAATTGAACCCAACACCTCTCGCAGTTGCCTAGACAGCCGGAATCGACGCTGAAGGCGCAAATTCCAAACTATCGCTGCTAAATACCAATAGGGGTGGCAAACGAGCTCGTTTGAATAACACGGTGGTAATGTATCGCGTATGGTACAACAAGTAGAGGGAGTAAGTAGAGTAGGTAACCGAGTTGTAGGGTAGTGAGTAAGGGTGTCCACGATGAGGGAAGTAAAAGGTATCGCTATCCTACGTCGAGCTCGACGCAGCCAGAATACTCACCGCTCCGAATTTCCCATCTGCTTGCCGTTTCCGGAACCTACGCTTGCTGCACTTAGACTTGTCTGAGCGAATCTTCTTGAAGTGGTCGGCGATCGAGGCATACTCGCGCTTGCACCCATCACACTTGTATTTGCGGAGTTCCTTGGTACTCTTGACGCTAACCGACTGCTTGCGCGCGCCTTGAGCTTCGGTAGGTTCCACAAGCTACACAAGACAGGTCAGTGTAGGGTAGCAGCAAGAATAAGGGGACGTACAATCTCCGATGGCGCTGTCCGGAGCCAGTCGGCGAGGACGACAGTCGGCCCCCATTTTGTCCTCGACACATCCTTGTCTCGGATACGGAAAGTCGTTGACGTGCAACAGGCTGGGATGTGGTTGCGGATATCAACGAATTGGAGGCGGTGGGCGGTGCAGTAGTGGGTTTTGTCGGCGGCGCGGTTTGTGCGCTTCACGTGCTTCCTACGGGGGCGCACTTGTTCTTCTTCTTCATCCTCCTCATTTTCGTAGTCATCCTCGTCATCGCGCTTGCGCTTGCCAGCAGCCGCACTTGTGCCCTCTTGCTGGTCAAAGACAGGCGCGGTTGTTTGTTCGGGTTCTTCGTCGTCAGACGAGTCATAAATCACCATCCTCGAGCGCTTCCTCGCCGGCTTCTGCGACTCTTGTTGGTTCTCTGCCCCAACCTCTTCGTCGTCCTCTTCCATCGGGGTCAGCATATCCTCGCGCTTCGGAAGTCGAAGCTGGCGGCGTCGGATATGTTTCGTAGACCCGCAGATCGGAACGCGATGGAATACGACCATATGTGTGAGTAGGTCGAAAGCATCAAACATCGTTGGACCGCAAGAAGGAACTGGACATGTCCTGGGCTGTTTCATTGCGACAACGTGGGCGAGATGGAGGTGGAGGTGGAGTTGAAAGGCGTTGTTGGTAATGAATCTTTGAAATGGCGTCAACGAGAGGGGAGGGGGCGACTAGATAAAAGTCACTCACTGAGCCATTCTCTTTACGATATCCATGTCCCCATCGAACACGCAGAAGGGGCAGAAGCAGGGGGATAGGGCGACAAGGAGCTCGATATGGCCATGAAACTCTGGCCTCTCGCCTCCCAAACCTTCCCCATTATCGAAGGTTATGCAGTTGGTCGCCTCGTCGGTGAACGTCACTCCCGGTGTACTGAAGTCAACTTCGATGTCGCCACGTGTTGCAAACGGCTCAAACAAACGAGCGTAGTGCTCAAGGCACTGGTCACGGTATTCATCGCCATTGCCGTCGAGATCGACAAAGCTGGTGGTGGAGGTCAGAAGCAAGAAGAGCGACAAGGGGAAAAAAAGCGCGACTGACGTTTCAGACGTGATGACGTCATAGACGACGCGCACCTTGGGCCAGACATTGAGCCCATGAACGCAGCCAAAGTGTTCCTCATCGCACTCAGTTTCCCCGCAAATCTCGACGTCACTGTCGTCCTCGAGCCAGCGACAGAGAGCCTTGCCGCCGCTGGACCACCCAGCATTCTTGGCAGTTTGGACATGACCAAAGACATGCCTAGCAAAATCGTCTCGAGAGGTCCAGATCGTTTCTCTTTGGCGACACGGCTTCCATCGGCAGCTTTGCGGGATAAAGTCCACGCTAAGCTGTTGAGTCGCTTTGAGTTGAACGTCGTTGAGCATGCACTTGTGAATATGCGTGGCCATATTTGCGCCATCAAAGGCATGGGTTTTAGAGCTAAAAAAAAACAATGGGAAAGGTTCGAGAGAGAGCAACTTGACGTACGAAATCTCAATGTCGCAAAATGGACAATGGCCTTCTGGAGTCGGTCCCTCGCCAGGATAACAAAGTGGGGAGGGTTGTGCAGGAAGGCTGAGCAAGCCATTGACGGACTCGACGAGATGAGTAGCCTGGTCGTCGTTATCCACGATGAAGTTGGTGATGATGGCCAAAACTTCATCGATGGCGGACCCAAGGCGAGGCAAGCGACGACGGAGTCCGATCACGTTCTCTTTTCCGGAGGTTACTGCGACGTGGCCGGCTATTCGTTTGCTCGGTGTGTTGGTGGGGATAGCGGCCATTGGTGGTCGTTGAGGAACATCCTGCGTGCGAGGATGAGTAAAGAGAGATGGGGCACTGAGAACCCACAATTCCGTTGAGCTCCCGGAACGGCGCCTCTTCGAAAAAAAGACGACGCTTTTCAGTCAAGCGGAGTTCAGTCTCGGTGGATACCAACGCATGGTGCTTCCGGCCATGCACTCTTGCCACTTGGAGGGCGTCGGCCACGACATTTGACTGTCGTTGGTGCTCATCTTCGTCATCGTCGTCTATTTGCGCAAGCTTTTTGCGTTCTTCAGCCGCCAGGTCAAGGGCCTGGAAGAACGCCATCAGAAAGAGCGACAAGAACAAGCATTCAAATGCGTTTACCGCTTGCTTCTTGGCACGAAGCTCGACGAGCTCGGGCTCCGACTCTAATGCTGTGGACTCGGCGGCGGTAAGTTTCAGTGGGGCCTTCGGATCCAATCCGCGTGCCAGTCCAGTAACAGTCTGCAGGTGAATGAATATGTGGAGAGGGAGGAGGGAACGTGCATGTGTTTTACCTTCATTATCAGGACATGCCCATCGTCAACCTCGTTACGCCCCACGAGCACGTTGCCGAGGTCCACAGTCGAGATTCGAGATTTATAGGAAGACTAATCATAGATGAAAAACAAAGAGGAAGGAGAAAGAAAAAAAGACGGACAAAGAATTGGTCGGAACCAGATGCATGACCCATCAGCATTCGTCGCTCTTCCTCAGAGACCTCAGCGTCTATTCGATTAGCCGTCCCGCGTCTAAAGCTGTAAAAAGTGACATTTGCTGCCCAAATCCAGTCAGTCACAGGTAAGCGACACGAAACAAGCCTAACTTTGGAAACCAGCTCGCAAAGTGATACGCTTGAGGCGACCTGCCACCCAAGAGTAGGGGACAGCGAATGTGTGGTCCACGGACCACTTGCCATCAATGATCATCTCCTTGCGCAGAACGGGCAGGTCAAGTTTGTCGTGTCGTATTCGCAATTGGATCGCTCGTGTGGGGAATACCTTGGGTCGAAGTATTTCTTCAATGGAGGATACATCTTGAAAGATATTGTCGGCCAAAGCGAGCGTGAGAGCGTACATGAGGCCGTCGACCATGCGATGAGAGTCGGGCTCTTGCAGGATGAAGAAATGCTTGTTGACGCTGTCGTTTTCGCGGAAACCTTTGAGAAGTCGACAGGTGACGAGGAGACCAAGGAGCGGGCGATCCTCTCTGGCAGGATTTGGAATCAACCAGAATGCGTGGTCACGCCATAGCAAAGCTTGATTAGTGCCGCGGTATTGAGCGGATTCAACGAGGGCGCCGGGTCTTTCGGAGGACAGCGCGATGATCACCAGCTGATACATCATCATCAGGCGGAAGCGGTGTGTTCGACAGCAGGTTGTGTCGGTGAAGAGGGCTTTGAGAATGATGACAAGGTCGATTACGTCGCCATGCTCTTTGGCGCGAGCAGCGGTTGAGAGTCGGATGGCCGAGGTGAATTCGGGATGGGAGATGAAGTCAATGGCTTTGGTGCGCAAGATTTTGGGCAACAACTCGAATGTTTTGCGTTTCCACAGAGCGAAGAAAATGTACAGATAGCTCTTGATCGTCTTCTTGGTTGCGAACTCGGCCAGTCGGCCAACGATGACGACGCTGAGGAACCGAATAAATTCCTTGAATATGTCTAGTAGGATTAGAAAAGATTTGGGACAACAAGTGACACGCACCGTCAGTAGGGATTGCCGACCCTTGGACAATCTCCTGCGCCCAACCCTCTGGCCCACTAATGCGTTTTTGAAGAAAGAGTTTCCACAATTTGGCGACGCGTTCGTGAATGTACTCGCCCGCGGGAGAGAGCTTGCGATTGTGTACCGTCCCAGCAAGTGGTCTTGTCAACGCTTGAAGACGCGCAGGATCTTGTCGGGCATCAGCGATTCGTTGGTCGTAGACTTCCTCGTCACTCCTTCTCGCCCGCTTTGCCAGAGGCATGGTGGTGGAAGGAGGGAAAGAAGCGACGGGCGTGACATGGGGGGTGGGCGCCCTTTTTATAGTGGCGGCGTCGGGGGTGTGACGTGGGCGTCGGCGTCGTCGTCGGCGGCGGCGGTGTGCGCGTGCGTGCGTGCGTACATGTGTCGTACGGCGGCGTGCGCGCGTGCGTGGGGGGGCCGCGCCGGCGTCCTCCTCCTCCTCCTCCACCTCTGCGCCGTGTCCGCGTTCGCGTCCCGGCGCCGCGTGCGTGGACGTCCGACACACGCGTCCTTTGTCGGCGGCGGCGGCGTGGCGGGACATGCGCGCAGGACGCGGCGACCCAGGACGCACGTCCCGCGGAGAGCTTTGCAGAGCCAGCAACGCAGGGACGTGTGGTGTCAACAGGAAAAGGGCGGTGTCACGTGGAATGATGTGATTACAGTACAGAACGCGTCTAATTTATTTGCTTCTACGTGGCTCGGGCTGAGGGTGCTGACTGCTGTTCAGCGCCAATGTAAATAAAAAGTTGGTTGAACACGCACAGAAGGAGGTCCACGCAAGAGATTGAGGCGTTCTTCGTAGAAGAGTCCTTCTGCCATGTAGTTATGACGCCGCAGACAGTACGGGCTGACTGTTGTCCGTGAGTATGCTTGGAGAGTGAGTGGAATGACATACTCTTGAAAGGCTCTGGGCGGCTTGTGATCCTACTTTTCAAGTCAAAGGGCGGGGTGGTGTTGTCGGCGGTGGGCATGGTGGTGGTTTGAAAGAGAGTTGTAACTGATGACGTGCGGAACGATCGATGCGTCTTTCGACGCTGTTGCATGTGACTCGATATTCCGTATTGCGCGAGTCATGTGAACGATCGACGGCGTCGCGCGGCGACGTGACGCGGGTGCGGAGGCGCGGATCGGTTGTTGATGCGTACGCTTGGCCGTACCGCTGCGAGACTCGCGTTGGGTCAGGGACGGGATTGAGGCGCGTCAGGACGTCAGGAGTGGGCGCGCTGGGTGACACGATCGCGGGGACGTGGCGTGAATGACGCGAAGACGTACGGGAAAAAAGTGGACGCATTGGGAATTGAACCCAACACCTCCCGCAGCGACAAGGGCGCCTCCAAGAGAGCCCCGATGCTAAGCGGGCGTGATAAACCAACTACACCATGCGCCGGTGGAATTACCTGTGGTCTCTAATGTCACATGGCTGTCAACATGGTGTGACAAGTGATATCCTGGACTAAAGCTGAGCTAAGCGAGCGTGATAACCAACTACACCATGTGCCGTTGCAACGGTCGCAAGAAGGCGCCATACGATGCGAGGTGATTTGCAGAAGTACGAGGATAAGCGCCGTGATCAACAAATGTCACATTTGATGGAGAATTCACGATAAAACAGGTTATGCACAGCCCCCGTGACCGATTCATCAGGTAAATCTTGCTGGGGTACACCTGAGGAGCAAAGGCTAGAAGGCTTGTGTGAAATGGGAGGGTTTTCGAGGCTTCTTTTGCAATATCAACTTCTTTTGATGTCTTTTCTGATGTTACGTTCCCATGACCTCAGGTATCGTGGGCTAGGTCGCCGGGGTCTCGTGCTTAGGCCCAAAATCCCCCGAAACCACACCAGACAATAGCGAGTACAAGTGTATGGTAACAGAGGTCAGTATTTGTGTAAAGTTGGCTTTCGTCACAACCTGTCACGCCACAAGATTACCTGCTTGCATTGCAGTGCTCGCCAATACTTTCAGTATCAGTTAAGGAGAATAAAGATACGACGTAGTAGAGAATATAACACCAAACATGTTCTTAGACTGAGGGCCTCAGAATAGTAGACCTAATCGATAGCAGGTGCTAGGCCTAGGTGAGATCGGAATACTTCTATTAGTAGTAGTGAATAAGTATTGGAGGATACATAAACCCTATCGATATGAGACGTATACTAGACGAAGAAGAAGAATTAAGGTGCATCTAAACTTGGTCGTTGAAGGCCGGCGGAACAATCGCCATGCGAATGTACCAATCCACGCCATCAAAGCTGACGGCCTCCAAAAGCCTGAGCTGATCGAGACGCACACGGCCTTTTGGGCTGGAAAATCGGTTCGTTGCGGAGTAGGGGTCATGAGGAGTGGGAGCGAGGGTCAGCGGTGGGACGGTCCGTGAAGACTCCCGGTGGTATGCGCAGTTGTAATCATAGTCGTAGTTTTGTGCAGCCACCACAAACACTTTGACATGCTCGGCGATCTGCCGCGCGAGCACGAGCCGAGAGAGGTAGCTTCCCGGTCCACTGTCGCAAAGGAGCATAGGCTGCGTGAACGTGTCATAGCCAGGCCACTGTAAGATAAGATTCAGTCACATACGCCGTGAGCAAACGAATACTGACCTCGATAATCAAGCGCGACAGTCCATGGCGCCGATCCGAGTCTTCGCGTAGGTTTCCGGGCAATCGCGTGGCAATTGACTCATCCGCAAACTGAAGGCACGCGGCGCTGACATTGGGGCCGAGAAGCTGTGTGACTGCCACCCCGACCTGTCCTGGCCCGCGCGCTGGAGCGAAGGGGACAGTGATTGGCACACGAAATACACGGAGACTCTCCAGCAGTCCGACTGCGTCAGAGATATCAGGAACAAAGAGCATTCCGCGGTCGTGCGTGCGTGCGCGATGCCACCAATCTGAGGGCTGAGCTAAGTCAGATTGGGGGGACAAGATGCTACTGATCTTCAGTCAAGTCAGCCAACGTAAATCAACAAACGATAGCGCGGCAGGCTTACCGCGACGAATGAGTTGCGATCAACTTTTCTGCGTGAGCCGACGGATTTTTTGGGCTCCACCATATAGCTCTGCATGTTCTGTTTCAGAGTCGTGACTGGGCCCCGGTTCGCGGGGAGCGCGGGCAGCTGGATCGTCACGAGTGATTTGCACTCAGGCTGGCGTGTTTGCCATGAAGCCGCTTGACGTTGGGCAATCGGGGCGAGCACTGCCGCTGGCGCGAGAATACCGGGCACAACGGCCTGACGGGTAGTATGATCAACGATGGCACGGGAGTATGGAGCTGGATTGGAGAGGATTACAGGCTAGACGAATGGTTTGAGATTGGCGTTTGCAGATGGGCTCCCACTTACCCCCTCACTGTTGCGTCCGAAAAGGATGACACGGCGGTGATCTTGTTCGTTAACTCGAGGCATTGTTAATTGGAAATGAGCAGAGACTGGTTTTTTGATGATCCAAGCCAGTTGGAAATGGGAAGTAGGAAAGAGAGTGGGGATTGAGGCTTGACGATTGCCAAACACGCATCGCTACTTATACCCGGCCTAATACACTGGTCGTTTCGTGCTTTGTTACCGTGGTTGCACAATGCGTCGGCTATTGAAAACCAAGTAGGCGAACACTTTGATTGACCCAGCTCGCACCATACGAGACGGACAGCCTGAGTTCGATCGTTATTTCGTAGACTTGAAGGTACATGCACACAATGACGAGAGGGCTTTAATCTTGAGTTTTGCAAAGAAAATGTATTTCAGAGCCGCATTTTTGAGGGAGACAACTTTGAAGTTTTTGCTCGCCTGAGCCGCTTCAGACTTGCAAGACTGCTCGAACAAGAAATCAAGCGCTTCCCCAGATCTATCGGGTGTCGCATTATGGAGCGGTGAGTAGTTCTGAGCTTGTCTTCAAGAATCGAAGAGGAAAAACAAAAGCGATGCCGATTAGTCAGCGTGACGTCAGTGACTTCATAACGTGAGCATAATCACCCGAACCACTCGGATGCCCATGTCCACCGTGCGCAGTGGCTGCGGTGCATCTTTCTTCCTGCCCTCATCCATTTGTTTGCCTTCTGAGCCACTTTGACGACCATGATGCAAGACCGGATGGCTGCCTACAAGGTAAGTGCGCCTTTTTGCAGGCGTTGGTCGCTATTTACTGTGTGATAGGCTCAAAAGCTGGCGGCTGGACAGAGCTCCCCCTCCTCGGCCGCGGGTCAACCTGTCGAAATGTCGACACTCTCAGAGAAGGAAGGACTAGAGACAATGACTGGCTTTCTGGAAGAGGCGCGTTTTCTTCACTTCACCCATGTTGGCCAATACTGAAGTTTTGCAGGCTGCCTCGATCCAGAACGCCATTAACGACTTTTCCGGCGACATTTCCCGTATTGGCACGCTCAATGTACGTGCTTTGGACGCCATTGGGGACAGTACGGGCCCCGCCACGGAGCTCGACGCGCTTGTCGCTGCCACCTTGCAACGTAGCACGGTGTTGAAAGAGCGAATAAGGAGGCTGCAGGAGGCGGTCAACAGCAATCCCGCGCTACGGCGGCAGGAGAAGGAGATGCGCCAAAATCGGGCCACATTTGTCCGCCAGAAGTTTGTTGAGGCGGTTCAGGCATACCAGAAGGTCGAGCAAGAGCATAGGGCGCGGTCACGGACGAGAATTGAGCGGCAAATCCGTATTGGTGTGGCTTATATGCTTCTGCTTATCATTTTTCTCAACTACTTCTTCTAGTCAAGCCCGACGCGACACAGGAGCAGATTACCCAGGCAATTTCGAGTGGAGAGGGAAGCCAGGTGTTCATGCAAGCTGTGTGTTGTTCAGTTCCCCACTGCGATAGTCATCTGACAAAAATTAGTTGACCTCGAATGCAGACTACGCTCATGCTCGATCAGCCTATAACGAGGTCCAAGCTCGTGCCCAAGATTTGCGGAAGATGGAGGAGACGCTAGCCCAGCTAGCGCAGCTCTTCAATGATGTGATTGTTTACTCTTCTTTCGGAAGCATCATTGGCTAAAACCTCCTCAGATGGCAGTTCTTGTCGACCAACAGAACGAGACACTCGTCGCCATTGAGGACAACGCGCAAAAGGCGGAAGAACACGCGGAGGAAGGGTGAGTTTTTTTGCTGCTATCAAGTGTTGTCTCGCTAATGTGGTCTTTGACAGCGCAAAGCAGGTGGGCATATCAGTGGACATCGCACGCCGACTGCGCAAGAAGCGTTGGATCTGTTTCTTCATCGTGCTGATCATTGTCATCATCCTCGCGGTGGTGTTAGCAGTCCAGTTTGCACCGAAAAAATGAGGGGGGTTTGATCCACACGGGAAATATTGGATGGACATGTAAACTATCTTAATTTGACCAAGGACAATAGGGATCTGAATAGTTAGCCCGTCTTGCTGGTGTGAATCCACCAGTATCAACAAAGTTTGTCCACTTCGACTCCCGCTTAATTTTGCTGTACGCCCGCCAATCCAGCGACATAGTCACACCGCCTAGTCTCGTCCCCATCCTGCACCTCCAGGAAGCTCCCACTCGTGTTGGAATCCGGACTCTCTTGGAGCACCATCCGCTGTTTGTCGCTTCCGCTAAACGACTTCCAGAACGGTGATCTGGCGAGTTTATGGGTGTTTGGATTCAGATCCCGCACGAACGACAGCCAGTACGCGATCAGCTCCGACGCAAAGGCGATCTCGGTCGGAGTCTGGGGGGTGAACTGGCGTGTGCCGTTGACGCTGTGGAAGGATGAGCATGAGCGGTTACGGATTTTGAAGAAGAGTATGCCCACCCAGTATTTACGCCCAGAAACATCATCCAATTTTCCGCTGCGTGGGCCACTGCGGGGCTTCCGCTGGTCGGGTTGGCCTGGTTGTATCTATACGTCCATGCTGTCGCCTTCCCACACTGTGACACCGCACTTGCGATGATATGCCTGGCACATTTCAGCTCTGACTCGCCCGTGGCGGCTTGGAACTGCAACGCAGTCGAGTTGGAAAATTGTGCGACGGGATATTCCTGTGGCGGCCGTTGGGTGAAGGAAACAGGTAGAATGAGCCAAAATACACACTGCAACAAGTCCGTTGGCATCGTCGTTAGACATGGAAGGGAAGAAAGACTTCAATGCATCGGGAATGCTGCTGCCCCCAGACAGCGTCTCGTTTGTTGTCGCACCAACGATAATGGGTACATCTGCGAAGCCTCGTCCTGCCACAAAGGTGTTCGTTGGGAAGTCAGTGAAGATTTTGCCATCGAGGACAGGTTGGAATGATTTGTAGCCAGTGCTAAGTAATGTTTCAATCAGCAATCGAGGGGTTGCGCCAAAGAAAATGCTCACAGGGCCGAAGAGCCAGCAGTGGCGTCTTGAGCTCGTGCTAATGCACTTACACTGGCTTGACGAAGACACTCCATTTGATCTTTTATCGCACCGGCTCCACATCCGGCTTGCGAGGCAAACGAGTTGAATTGGGCCTTACAAAATAGTCAGCTGTGGAAATCGCCGCTTTCATTGTACTCACCACACGTTGCTCCGGTCGTGCCAATGGGGTGCGGTACACGCTCTGCGCGATGACTCCTCTGAAAAGATTCTTCCCCTTGTCCGAATTGGCGACCATATGCAGCTCGACAGAACTCCCGCCCGCGCTTTCACCATTGATCGTCACCTTTGCTGCGTCTCCGCCAAACTTGCTGATGTGTTGTTGCACCCATTCGAGCGCCAATACTTGGTCTTGGAACCCGGCATTGAGATCACCGAGTGTCGCGTCAGCAGATAGTTCGGGATGGGAGAGGAAGCCGAATGCGTCGAGGCGGTAGTAGACCGATACGATGATCACATTAGGGGACTGGTGAATCCAGTGGTCGAATGGCCAATTGGCGGGGTTTCCAAAGACATACCCACCGCCATGAATATATACCAAAACAGGCACTGGTAAGCATGAGCCAAGGCACTGGTGCAAGGATACGAGGGAGACGCACGGTTATCCCCTGCTTTTGCGTCCACTGGCGCGTATATATTGACCTTGAGACAGTCTTCTGAGCCCGCACCACCCACACCCCCTTTGCTAAGATTCAGTAGATTCAGGGTTGACATCGGTGACTCTTGCCTCCCGATGCGCCTTGGACGCAAAAGTCTGGATAGCGAGTAGCATCGACAATGCTCCCATTCGTCTCGCTCGTCACACGCGTCGTGTTGAGGGGTAAAGGTGCTCTGAATCGAAGGTTTGCCAGCGGGGGCTCCGCATAGGGCAGTCCAAGATAAGCAACGGTGTTTGGGAAGGAGAGGTTCCCGAGGTAGCTCGCATAGCCCAGGTCGACAACATTAAGGTCGCTGGCAGAGGACGGCGAGAAGGGGAGCAGGAGGAGCGCTAGCCGCGCAGTAGTCGACAACTTCATGTTGACCACTTATTCGAACACTTTGAGGGTAAGGTTTAAGTCTTGGAGGTCGACAACGTCGGACTTGGATGGAGGAGATGGGGCCGCATGAGCTTCTTCTTCTTATATTCCAGGCAATCTGCACGCGACCCGAAGTGGCCGACTCTGGAGGTTGATTTCAGGGTCTATGACGAAGGAGAAGCGCGCGGTAGCCAGAAGCAACCCATCGAGCATGGATCACGTTGGCGCGTCACGGGTCTCTGTGACGTGATCTTGATTTTTTTTGTTTCTGCATTTACTTATATACCGCAGCAAGGACAATAACTACTAAGACGCGGTGGCCGGACGTGATCTTGAAACGTTTTGGATCTTTTTGGATTGATAATATACTGAAGGATGAAGATTCAATGAAGATTCCTAATCGTGGAACATTCAGGTATTCAAATTGGTTGAAGACCAATATTGCATTTGGGTGAAAGGACTACCTTGCGCTTGGTTTAATACACTTGAAAGCTCAAGCTACATTTCCAAGTTAAATTAGAGCTTAGCTGATATCAATAGACATTACTTTGAGCCCTACAATACACACTCACATTGTGTCATGCTAAAAAAGCCATACAAGCAAACAACAAACAGGTCATGTCCATTTCCCAAGCAACCTCCTTACAGCCTTCTTCACTTCCTCCCTCACCTTCCCAAGCTCTTCCTCTGACTTATTCACCGCATCCCCCAGCCCTACATCCAAGCCCAATAGCCCGCCCCGGCGCATAGCCTTCTTCCCCACCAGCACACTTCCCCGGAACGGTAGGCCCGTCAACTCCATCTCCCGCGCCTGAGCAGCACGCGACGCTTGCAGTTCCAGTCCCGCAACTTCAACCCCCACCGCACCGACACCCAATATCCCCGCTGTCGCGCCGTCCCCCGAGCCAAACACCACCTTGGAGACAAACCCGCTGAACTCCTTCTGCCTTCCGGGTAGCACTTCTAGCGGGACATCCACAAGGTGGGCAGAGATAGCGTAGAGAGAACCCGAGTCTGATAACTCCACAGGCCCGCTCTGCGAAGGCAGCCATTCCTCCGGCCGGATGCGCGCGAATGCATGAGGGGGTAGCGGGCTTGGTAACGGCGGTGCTGGCGGGAGGGGATGTTCGTCATCTTCGTCTGGCTCGCCCAGAGAAGAGGGAAACTCGGCTCCGTCAGGTACCTCTCCATCAAAAACCAACACATCTGCGAACACTCTGCCTACATGCAGCTTCAGGTCCATTCCCTTTGGCAACACGATTCGCGCATCGACAGTGCCGCTGGCAGTGACTACAGTCCCGGATGGCTTGATAGACATGTCGTGTATGGTAACATTTCGCAGGACCTGTGGCGGAGGATTCGGCGCCGGAAATTCGAGGTCAATGGAGAGACCTTCAATGAGGGGCGTGGAGACGAGGATGGGGTTGTTTTGGCGAGAAAGATAACGCGACAAGAATGTTGAAAGTAGTGGTGTTGCTTGTGTCGAGAGAGGCAGAACATTGCCTTGAATAGCGAGGGAGATATTCGGATGTGTGAGCGTGAAGGGTAGAGTCGAAACAGACGCGATGGGAGCTCCTGTCATCGAGATGTTGGAAGGTAATGCGATTGTGAATGGGAGTGACGGTGAAGTCAGATTGAAGGAAGGTGGTGCGGGATTGGGGACAGTTGCCAAGGCATTAAGCTCTAGCGTGGCTCGTTCGGTAGAATGTAATGAGAAGTATTGAAGCGTAATGAGATCCGAAAGACGAGGAAGAGGACCATGAGGTAGGCCAGGGATTGGTGGAACTGGAAAAATGAGTGGAATAATTAAGGTGCAGAAGAAGTCGACGTACTTTCGATTCGCACCTGCGTCTTCACGTCCGAAAGCTGCTTGTGCAGCCACGCCCGCCAATTTCCCTCCCCAAAAAAACCGCCACGAACATCGACATTTGACACATCCGCTCTCACTACCGCCCAGCCATCCCGCCACGACTCCCGAACGAATTCGATCAAGGCAGTCGTATTTGTGGTCGGCCGAATAAGCAACGGCATCGATATTGGTGTGAGCCAACTGGAATCGCTTGGTGGACTGGCTGTGAGAGGAATGACGACGGGAGATGGTTCCACGGTCGCAAGCACAACGTGTCCTGCAACCAGAGCAATAGTGCTCATATTTACGGCCACTCTGTTGAGTCGACGAATACCCCAGCGACCCACTGCTTTCCAAATATCGCCAAACAATGTGTCGTCCGATTCCGCAGACACGCCTAGGACAGCTCCAGCATCAAAGCCCAGTCGCCCGCCAACTCTGAGTGCTATTCCACCCTGTGGGGAGATGCTGAGCACGTCGACTCGGTCTGGCCCGCGAAAGACGAGTCCCTCGGTGAGAATGTCGTCTGTGGAGATGTGGGAAGCCCGTGAGGCGTATGTCCAAGCTAAAATGCCGACCCCAATGGCCCCGAGTGTTGTAATAACAAGAGAGACGAGGAAGACGGTTGTTAGTTTTGACCGAAGCCGCCGTCTTGCAACGGCAGGTGGTGGGTCATGGGAGTCAAGTAAAACGGAGGAGGATTGGGAGTTGAGTAGAGGTGTTCGTTCTGTGGGCTCTGTATCTTGGGCTCGACGTTTCCCTTTGTCGAGGGATGGAGGAGAAACCTCTACATTGGTGCTTGAGCTCATTCCATGCAGCGTGGAGATGGAGGTCCAAAAGAAGGAATGATGTCACAGGTCGTTATGCCCAATGTTTCTTGTTGAAGTTCTTCCACTAGCAGTTGGGCAATCCAAACCACAGTCTCCCACCATGAGGTATTGTCACTTTCGCGGGTTCTGCCTTGGGCTTGATGTCCTTTCCAGAAGCTTAGAAAGAACACTTTTACTACGAGGACGGGAATCATGATGACAAGCGACAATGATTATATGCACACCTTCTCAGCGTCGAGACATGATAGAGCGGGAAGAAGGCACTGTATCTTGGCTACACCGGAATGCCAACAGCTTTAGCCTGACAACTTCCGCAGCCTTCGCGTCATTGTCATCATGCAACTTCAAGTTGAAGCAAACTTCAAGTTCTTCTTGAATGGTTCGTGTTTAGTCTATAATCCGCCTGAGCTGATGTGTGCAGGGGCTACTGCTCACGGCTGCGACTGTCACCACTGATCTAAGCATCATACATCTAGTCTTGCTCCTTACGCTGGCAGCGATACCAATAGCGAGTCTCTGCCAATGTACGGAACGCCGACTTGTAAGTACGACTTGGACACATATGTCAGCCAAGGTCGGCCATCTCACCACATGTAGATGAAGAACAGGGAAAATGGGTCGGCAGGTCTCTTTCTCCGCCTCGAGAGTTCAGGTCTAAGTCAACCATCTGTGTTGCAGAATGTGATTTCACGCCCTTGATAGTAAGTGAAAAACCTTATCTGCTACGTTAAAAAATCATTTCAAGTACTCATCCACTTGAAAGTCGCTCCAGGTTCCAGCTTGCCTGGCAGTCTAAGCAATTGTTCGCAAACATCAGTCAACCATCAGCCGAATCATTCGAACGGCCCATTCGGCCCGAATGGGCCGTTCTCAACTCGGAGAATCTCACGCAAAGTCTCGATATCACGTCACATAAGGTGTACCCGTGACGCGCCAACGTGATGCACGCTGGCCGCCGCGCTTCTTCTTGTCCGTCATAGGCCCCGAAATCGAGCGAGTAGATTGCTCAGCGTATAAAAGAAGTTCAAGAAGAAAAGATGTGGCCCCATCCCGACTTGTCTTTTGACGTCGTCAACTTGAACTCCACACTTGAAACCATCGTACCACTAGTCAACATGACGATGACAACTTTTGCACAGCTTGCGCTCCTTCTTCTCCCCTTTTCATTGTCTTCCTCCGCCAGCGACCTCGCCAAGACGAATATAGTCGACCTAGGCTATGCCCGCTACCTGGGGAATCTTTCCTTCCCAAACACTGTTGCCTTCCTTGGGCTGCCGTATGCGGAGCCTCCGCTGGACAACCTCCGATTTAGAGCACCCCTACCGCTTAATACGGCTCGTCTGGCAATTGAGGCCAAGGGGAGGGTTATTGATGCAACACAATATCCTGATTTCTGCGTCCAGGGCTCGACGGGAGGCAAGTGTCATCATTGTTGAACCTGAAGTTACTGACTCTTCGTAAAGGCGGGGATGCGGGCGGTGCCGGGTCCGAAGACTGTCTTAAGGTCAACATATATGCGCCTGCTGGAGCTAAAGCAGGGGATAATCGTGCGTATTGACCATCTTCCTTCTCGCTTCTCACCGCTCGGCATTAGTCCCCGTGCTGGTATACATCCACGGCGGCGGGTATTTCTTCGGCAACCCTGCCAACTGGCCGTTTGACCACTGGATCCACCAGTCGCCTAACGTCGTGATCGTGTCTGTGTACTACCGTCTTGACGCATTCGGCTTCCTCTCCCATCCCGAATTTTCCGCGGACCCTGCGCTGGGTGACCACAATGCCGGATTCCAGGACCAAGTATTGGCGCTGAAGTGGGTGCAAAAACATATCAGCAAGTTTGGCGGAGACGCGACAAAGGTAACAATTAACGGCGAGAGTGCTGGTGGGAGCTCTGTTGAGCTACATATGGTCGCCAATTCGGACAAGGGGAAGAATCTATTCAGAGGAGTCATCGCGCAGAGCGTGTATCGCACCCCATTGGCACGACCGGAGCAACGTGTGGTGAGTAAAACGAGCATTATTGTGTTTCATAGCAGTTTAAATTCTAAAGGCCCAATTTAACTTGTTTGCATCACAAGCAGGATGTGGACCCGGGTCAACAACAGAACAAATGAAATGCCTTCGCCAGGCAAGTGTAAGTGCGTTGGCACGAGCTCAAGATGCCACCGCTGGCTCTTCGACCCTGTGATTATTTCCTCCGGCACAACCCCTTGATTGCTAATTGAAACATTAGCACCGGGTACAAACTCTTCCAACCCGTCCTTGATGGCAAAACCTTCTCTGACTTCCCAACGAACACCTTTGGGGCAGGACGAGGCTTCTCAGATGTGCCTATCATCGTCGGTGCGACGACAAACGAGACGCTGTCTGGGGGCAGCAGCATTCCCGATGCGTTGAAGTCTTTCTTCCCTTCCATGTCGAACGACGATGCCAACAAACTCGTTGCGGTATACTAATTGCTTCCAGTTTAATTTACTGTTGAATGGCAGTTCACAGGCATATCCCGTCTCGCAGTTTGCCGACTCGACTGCACTGCAATTCCAGGCCGCCACAGGCGAGTCAGAGCTAAAATGCGCCAGGCATGTCATCGCAAGCGCCGTATCACAGCGCGGGAAAGCGAAAGTATGGACGTATAGATATAACCAGCCCAACCCAACAAGTGGGAGCCCCGCCGTGTCTCATGCAGCAGAGAATTGGATGATGTTCCTGGGTGTCAATACTGGGTAAGTATGCTCCCCGTCATAATGTACAATCATTCACGAGCCTCTTCTGTCACAGCGTCAACGGCACTCGCCAATTCACTCCCCAGACCCCCATTGAAACCGCATTTGCGTCGGAGCTGATCGCGTACTGGTTGTCGTTTGTCCGAGCCCTGGATCCCAACACACATAAACTAGCCAGATCGCCGTTCTGGAAGCCATTTAGCGTAAGCGACAAGGAGCGGATGATCCTCCAAGAGGGCCCAGAGCCCAACGCTAGCGGGAGCTTCCTGGAATTGCAGAGCGGAGAGGAAACTGGCCGGTGCGACTCTGTTGCTGAATTGGCGGGGGCTCAGCAAAATTGAATAGATTGTCAAGTGAATTAAGGCTGTTTTTTGTATATTTTCTGGCATTGCCAGCAGCCAACTTGAAGATGGGTCGGTTAGTATGTAGGGCATAACTTGGTGACCCCGGCCCGGTGATCCGACAGTCGACAATGACTGATCATGTCTCTGTCATCTTCCGAAAGTCCTTCCGCTCGTCGTTGAGCGGGTCAGTCACGACACGAAAAAAGAAGCACTTGACTGGAAACTTGAAGTCTCCTCCACACTCGGCTCGGACCACGCCGTTGCCGACAACATGAAGATGGGATGATCTGCCGATCAGTGGAGGATCTCTCCAATATAAAGCTTCTCGGCTCACCCCTCTTCTCGTCCACCACTGGCAGATGTCGACTCCAAGCGCCAACTCGCTCGCGATGATGGGCACACGCCCCGACTCGCCCAGCGCTAAAGCATTTCGTGGCCACATTCACGGGCCACCGACCTTTACGAGCAAGACGGAGGAGCGGGAATTCGTCAAGTTTCGGTTGGCACAGGCCCTCCGCATATTCGGTGGGTGATTGCGACTTTCCGGAGTGCATAAACTGAGCGGACAGGCAACCGCGGGTTTGATGAGGGGCCAGCGGGACACATTACCGTGCGCGACCCCATTCGAACTGACTGTTTCTGGGTGAATCCATTTGGCTTGCACTTCAAGCTGATTCAGCCCGCCGACCTTCTCCTCGTCTCTCACAGTGGCGAGATCCAAGATGCGGAGACGGGCCATGCCTCACTGTGGGGCACCCGCTTCCGAGTGCTTAACACCGCCGCGTTCATGATCCACTCTGCCATTCACGGCGCTCGGCCCGACGTGCTATGCGCTGCCCATTCGCACTCACCCTATGGCAAGGCATTTAGTGCCCTCGGCAAGACGCTGGACCCCATTTCGCAGGATGCGTGTGCGTTCTATGGGGTCAGTTCTACTCCGCCTCGAAAACTCTTCTCTCACTGAGCCATCCAGGACCACGCCTTATACACACAGTACAACGGAATCGTGCTCGATGAGCAGGAAGGCGCCGCTATAGTCGAAGCACTTGGCAACAAGAAGGCCGCCATCCTCCAGAACCACGGTCTACTCGTTGGCACTGCATCTATCGAAGGCACAGTGGCCTTCTATATTGCCCTCGAGCGCGCCTGTCAAGTGCAGCTATTGGCAGACACGGCAGCCGCTGCAGACGGCGGGAAGACGGTGAGTGGCCCTGGGCTGTTTATTCCGGGCGATGTTGACAATGGCTCGCAGGTGAAGATAAACCCGGAACAAGCAGCTGAGACTGCAAGGATTGTCGGCACCCAAGGCGCGGGCTGGTTTTCGGGCTCCATGGAGTTCATGGTTCTCGAGGCAGAGGAGAGGGTGACGTTCCAGTTTGCAGAGAATAAATGAAGGTGGTTGAACAGAGAAAGTTCACATTGAACAAAAGTGTTGCTAGTACTACGGTCTACTCAGTCTGTGAGAATCAACCATGCCACGAACGATCGCATTCTCCACACCCACCAGCTTCTCCTTGAACAACGCGAGTATCTGGGCAATCTGGTCATCCGGCATGAGGGGCTGCGCAGTCTTCATCTGAGTGTAGCGAGATTGGTATTCTGCGAGCCGTTCCGGCGTCCCCTTATTATTTTCGGGCGGCTGGCATATCTCGGCGAACTCAGCCTCGTCGGCGCCGAAAAAAAGGCTGCCTGTCGCCGGGTCAACGAGCCGGATGCCGCGGAAGCGCCCGAGGCGCTCCGCATGGTCACGTGCCTCTGCTTCCGACGGCAGAGGCACGGCGACGCCGCGGTCGGCACAGAGCGCCCGGAATGCCAAGTAAAACGTGGTCGCAAACCAGACGTTCATGTGCTTGAGACGCTTGATGCCGCTCGCCGCGGCCAGGTCCTGAATCGTCACGGCAAGCACAGCACAGTCGAGCATCGTCACGTGCATATGTGGGGGATGTCGGTCCGATGCTGACGCGAGCCCATTCTGCATAGAGCGCACGGTCCAGCACATACCCTCGGTGTTTGAACGGAATGGGTTGAGGGCCTGCAGCCGAGACATGCGGGTGTCGACGGGCCGCGAGCTCCAGGAGCAGCCGCTTGGCAGGACTGCAGAGATCATCACTCTGACTTCGGTACTAGTAACGGCAGTGGTTGTCAGAGCGAATTCAGAAGAGATACTGGTGACAATTGCGACTCACTCAAACAAGGAAATCCAGTCCATTTGGAATTGGTCGGGCCAAACTTGAAGAATCGCCGTGCGCTTGTCGTTTGGCTTGACTTTCCCGGCGGTTGTCCCATCGCAGTAGTGGAAGTCTAGCACCACGTCCTCCTCATAACGGTCGGTTGGCTCCTGCACCATGTGCCCGACACGCGTGACAAAACAGTGCTGCAAGTTGTGCAGCCACTCGTCGGGCTTGTTGAGCGCCAACTTCGGCCCAGGGTTACGATTGTAGTAGATCCGACCCACGGTCTGCAGCATCTCTAACCACTGCGTGATCGAGACGGAGCTGTCATCGTATGGGTTGAATAGCCCCGGGATGCTCCGCGTCGGCGGCGGCTTGTACAGTTTGAGTGGTGGCGGGCGGCCAAAGCCAGAAAGCGCCATGAGAATATTCAAGTATGCGAGCTTCAGGAACAGTGGGACTGGCAGAAGTAAGCACATGGCAGTCAGTACTAGTGCAACGCTAGCACTTAGTTCAGGTTATATAGTGTAAAGTGGGCGTCAATTTAATGGAGGTTGTCATTAATAAGATATGTATGACGAAAGAACTTGAAGTGAACCTACCAGTAGCGGCAAAGCTATATGCATGCCAGTGCGCTAGACTTGGGAAGCTCGCTGCCGAATCTGAGTCGGATATCGATATGAAGCACCGCATCTGGAGTGGGATTGCGTCAACAAGGCAAGGCAGAATCGCACGGCGCGTTGACTTACATCACGAATATAGCGGATGTAGCTGTTGTTTGAAAGACTCAGAGCCAGTGGCTTAATGATGGTAAGCTTTGTTGACTAGCAATCTCAGACTGGGGCCAATCGATAGACTGAGAGAACCGGACCTTCCTCGCTGTCTGCCGGTGTTTCCTCAAGTTCCATCCGCGTGCTGACCATGTTTAAACGCGTGGTTGCTTGTGGCGACGTTTCCCGACTTAGAGTATGAGTCACTTGTAAGATCTCGTCATAAGCACTGCAGCGGCACTCACCCACTGTTTCAAGTTAACGTTTTTGTTCTCTATAGCGTCGCCTGGGCAGCGACTTTGGATAAGATTGCAGTTGTTGACGCATTTCGGCCAGGAGGCCAGTTGGGGGCAACGGCGGATGAGGGCGGCGCGTTCATTGGCAGACCGAGTGAGAGGGAAGTTGATAAGCAGGCACGTGCATCCAGTCACAAATGTCACACACACCCACAATGCGTTGTCTATCCGCACTCACCTCCGCTGTTGTCTTCGGGAGACCCCTGGTGGATGCCATTGTGATGTAAAGGAACACGTGCACCATACTAGTAGCGCTTTTGTCCACTGCCAACGAAGGCGGTGTGTACCACGTTGCTCATTTTTCCAGGGATTTCATACTCCGCGACAGTGGCCGACCCATTCAAGCCATATCGCGGTGTACTCGACTCCGAGTCATACCTTCATTAAATGCCGCGATAAGGCTAGCGCCTGCCCGCCAACGATATATAATAGCCAGCAAGGCGGTCCTGAGGGATGGACTTGAATGTCAATGCCGCCACGCCCGACGCGGACTATCCCCGGCCTGCTTACGAGGAGCAACATGGCCATGTCTGTCGCGGAGTGGCTGGACACGCTGCAGACCGTCAGCGGTCGCGATAAGAAGCAGGTTGAGCGGCTGGAGGATTTGGAACGCTGCTTTGTCACGCGCGTTAGCCACGTGGTAGAGGAGCGCAAGACGGCCGACGAGGCGATTATGCTCGAGTTCCACTACTACGGTGATGGGACGGGCATGACTGTGCAAGCAGTCGATAGGCGGACAGCGTTGCTCTTCCACCAGCATCTCCCCGGAACAAGCGGGTGCGTGCTTGGAAACAATATCTAGGAGGTAACTACTGATGTTCAAGTTTATTTGGCAGTCGAACTGAAGTGCAAGTCACTGGCAGCGCAGATGACCATTTTCACTGGTTCCGTGTCGCCCCAAACCCGCCGCCGACCCGCCTCACGCGCCTTCTCCGGGCAATCAACCCGCTCTGCTCGCAGTGGACGCACTGGACCGTGCGAAGGTCAGGAAACGAGCTTACATTGGCACACCCCGCGCACATCCACGTGACAATGCTGGACTGCGCTATCCTTGCTGTCGTTATTGAAGAGCTCGCCGCGGCCAGCGGCCTTGGACGGCTCAGGCACATGCAGCGCTGGTTCGCAACTACCTTCTACCTCGCCATCAACGCCCTCCGCGCTGAACGCGGTGTCACTATAAGCCCACCATCGGAGGAGGAGGCACGTGCGCATGCTGCCCACCTCGGCAGCTTCGGCGGTATTCGGCTGGTTGATCCGACAACGGGCGCCCTCTCGTTCGGCGCCGACATCACCGAGTTCACGCAGATGTGCGCTGTGTTCCACGCAGCAATGCGTGCGGCGGGACAGACGCCAGCGCAGATAGTGAATCACGATGCGCGGATGCGGACCGCGCGGGCCGGCTTGTGGGTTCCGGAAGACCAGATCACATATGTCCTGCATCTGTTCAAGCTGCGCCACGAAATAGTACGGCGCAAGATCATTGACCAAGCGGCGGATTTTGAGGGCCGGTGTATGCCAGGAAGGTTCACGGCTCGGATGCGCCAGTTGCAAGAGTGGAAAAGGGATACTGCTGAGGCGGAGGCAAGCCTTGAAGACTCTAGTGATACTGAGACGATCACACAGGAGCGCCAGTGTACTTTATGGTGATGATATACTAGTGCAGTGCTTTGAACATTTATAACACAATATTCTTATGGGACTTTTTAAAGATTAAGCCTAAGCATTGGTATGCAGTTGCATATATACTACATAAGTTACTATTAGTACTGTAGTATACAGATTACACTGGCACTCACTCACTCACTCATGCACTCACATACACAGCTACTTGTGCACACAAATTTGAACTTGAACTAGCCATCCATATGAACCACTTTTCACAGACAGGACAGAATGATGTACATATAATATATATATATATATATTCAAGAACTAGATTGTGTTGAAGAAAATACAGACATCTATCACACACACAAAATTCCTCTCCCATTCCAATTAAGTTTCTGGCACTCTTTTTCAATAATAATAAAAATTTGGGACCAAACAAAAAATTCTTTTGATTTATGATGATTTTTCATAAGGACTTTTTCAGCCAATGCAGTGTATAACAAGGACAGTTGATCAAAATAGGACAGTATACTAGGGTCAATCTACATACATCTCTTGTCAAGTATTAAATCATTGAAAGAGGACTCCCCTAAGGAGGACTTGTTTATAAGAATCAATGAAGCTGATTTTCACACAAATCAAGGGTTAGGAGGTGAATATCTGGGGCCTCAATTTGAGTACAATTGCTTTGACAGCAACCTTCTCATAATAATGTTGAATGTATTCATGGTAGTTAAAATACAATTATGGATTTGATTGATCACTTGATTATGACTATTTTTGAATATATTATATCATATTTTGACTATCCGATATTATTTTCACAGAATATTCAAATATGCTAAGGTAGATTATAATGCCAACTATGACTATTTTCTCGTATATATGCCTGTCCTCTTAGTCTGATTTATATATACTTCTAGTAAATGTCTCTGTTATATATAGTGATTCCATTAAGTACAGAAACAACTTACAAGGCATTATAGGATCACTATAGGTCACTGCCCTATAGTAGTATATAAACCCTGGTCAGTCTAGATAGGCCAGCCTGATACCAGCAACAATGCCCCTAATTGCATTTTAAATATTCTTATAGGTCCAAAGATGGAGTTAAAGTACTATACTATTTCATTTAATTCTTCACAGTCACATTGACTTTTTTGGGCAAAATATTTCTGCCTGTCTGTAAGGGCAACCCTGGAGACTCCGACGAAAGCCTAGTAGGGCAAGATCCAAAGCGTGAATAAAAGCTACGGAAATACACGGAGGGACCGACCTAGCAGGGGAGGATCCAAAGAGAAGAAACTCTAAGGGTCCGCCTGCTAGGGTGCCAACTATATACTGGTCGTCCGTAGCTGCTGACGTAGAGCGCAGAAGGCCTGAGCGGCATTGCAGGCTCTGTCCCAAGGTGATTGTTGGGAGGGTCTTGACGGATCAGTGATTGTGCGGGGCGAAGGAGGCCAAGGACGAGGGTCAGGGTAGGTCGGAGCGTCCGAGGGGGCGGTGGTCAGATGCGCCTCGGATGCGCTTGGGCAGTCCGGAGGAGGCCGAAGTGGGGGTTCCCCTGATAATGTCTCTGTTATATACAGTGATTCCATCAAGTACAGAAACAACATACAAGGCATTATAGGATCACTATAGGTCACTGCCCTATAGTAATATATAAACCCTGGTCAGTCTAGATGAGCCAGCCTGATACCACCAACAATGCCCCTAATCGCATTTTAAATATTCTTATAGGTCCAAAGATGGAGTTAAAGTACTGTACTATTTCATTTAATTCTTCACAGTCACGTTGACTTTTTTGGGCAAAATATTTCTGCCTGTCACAGGTCATAACAGAATTTTTTAGTCCCAATCTGCCTCAAAAATTTCCTACTATATAAGGTAGTAGTGCTGGCCAAATATGATTATATCATGTTATGGGCATAATATATTATAATCATATTATATTCAGAGCTCCAACACAATAATATATTTGTAGTATAGTATAATCATATTCAGCTGCAAAATATGAATATGTTATAAATATATTCAACTATAATCTAGTATGCATATATGCTGCTAGAAAAAAAAAAATACATAAGATACATGCTGGATTGTCAGGGCAAATTCCTTTTGGGCCTCTCTAATCCCAGCCTTGGATACATAGGACTCTCAAAATACAATCAGGGTATTGCCACTAGTATTAGGTTGACCAGTAGATACTTGATCAGGGGTTCTATACTACATTTAATAGGGTCAACCCAAAGTGATCACTCCTGACCCTTGTTCCTACTAGGAGTATGAATCACCATATATGATAGATAATATGTGACATTTATCAGAAGTAGGGCTAACTCAGACTAAGATCATACTATAACTGACTACATGCACTGAGAAAATAGCAGTGATCATCCATCTTACTACAGTTGAATATTCTGTGACTATAATATAGTATAGTCATCATATAATATATTTAAACATAATCATATTCAAGTGCTCCACCAAGGGCATAATATATTCATAATATTCTGAATATATTTAATAATTAATCAAACATAATATAATTCTGGCCAGCACTATAAGGTAGGATGTCACACAAAATTCGGCCTCTGCAGCGTGGCCGGCCGAATTCTAAAGTTCTGCCAAAATGTCACAGGCCACAGCATTGAATGAAATGGTACAGTATTTTACCTCTGTATATGTTCATACTATACTACAAATATATTATTATGTTGGGCCCCTGAGTATAATATGATTATAATATATTATGTCTCCAGAATGATATAATCATATTTGGCAATCACTATACAATATAAATTTGACTTGCCAAAATACCCAGATAGAACCAGACTTGTATTACCTGTCCCTGAACTGTGACTAGGACTTGGACTCCATAGTCAAAATGACAATTTAAATTGGACTCTGATCATTATTATCTTGAATCTTTCGGTTTTATTCCGATTCCTAGGAGTAAATGGACAACTCTGTCCAAACCACAAACTACTAGTAGTAACTGCAGACCAAAGTTATTAATCCAAACCATAATATCAAACACTCTAATGACCTCAAAACACCAAATCTAATCCTCATCAAGGCCATGATTTACAAAGCCGAAGGAAAATAGAAGGACCAAGAACATAGGAGCTTTACTAGTACCAATTACAGAGTGGGATAAGTAGGTATGTACATGTACTGAGGGTGTTTAAACTTACAAATATATGTACAACAGTGTTCAAGTCGTATATATCCAAGAGAAGCCAGTAAGGAATATACACCATACGGGTGATTCATTGCGTGGTATCTGCGTGGTGAGTTGCATTAGATGCCCAAGATATGGCATCCCCACCGATTCCGGACGCGATTGCCCAGCTTGTGGGCCGCCGTAACAAATGTTTGACGCGCGAAGTTTCAAAGAGCACTCCCGCTGGCAGCTACGACCTCCCTTGCCCGACCCAACTCTCTCCGCATCACGGCGCTGTCTCTCGCTGCTGCTTCCAGAGCCAACAGACCCTCCTGCAGCCATCCGCGAAGCTCCTTCTCATACTCCCCGTCAGACGTCGACCACCCCTGCTGTTGCTGCCGCAAACGCTTCAGCTCGTCCGCCAACGTTGTGATAGCGAGATTCCAAACGATACCAACGATTGGGCTCACAGGGCGGGCCGAGGCAGTCGCGGCATGGCGCAGCAAGCCCATCGCCGTTCTGATCGCTTGGGTGTTGGCGCTGGGGTCGACATTGGCGCCGTACATGTACACAAAGATGTCATGTAGCCGGAGAGTAGCGCCGTCGAGGAGGTCATGAGCGAGAGTGACACGCGAGTCAACATCTGTGGCCGGATCGGACGAAAGGGGCATGGGGACGTTATGGTAGTCAGGGGAGCTAAGTTGGGAGGGCTGATACTCGGAGGCATAACTCGGCGAGTGCGTTTGCGTTCTCATCGACTGCGAATACGCCGCAGGAGCTGACAGCTGTTGCAATTGCTGTCGATATGTCGGGGAGTGTGTTCGGCCCTGGGGATATGTCTCCTCAGACGAGCCCGAAGAATGAGACGGCGAATATGACGAGCGCCGGCTGGAAACATTGCTTGAAGAATACCGCAATGGAAGCTGTGTGCGAAGCGCCTCCACAAGCGCACTGAGGCTCTGGAAAGTAGCAACAACAGCTTGAGCCTGTTGTCCGACACCCGTGGATTTGAACGCCTGTGCTTGGAGCGAGGCGACACGATGGAGGAGAAGCTGAGCCTTTGAGAGCATCGCATTCATCGACTCATTGGGCTGCGGCGTTTCTTGGCCGGCAAGGTAAAGTTTCATCGTGCTCTTCCCCCTGATCCCTTCCGCCCAGTCAGAACGATACTCTTCAATTTCTCGGGGCCACGGAACCTGAACATCGAGGTCTTCTGACGGGGAGTCCAGCGCCACTGATAGCATTTGCTGTAAGCCTGAAACAACCCAGACAGCTCGTATCCGCTCGCCAGCATCAATGGGGTCGGTTGGGGGTAGCAGACGTCGTTCCGTTGTCGGCGGTGAATGATATGGACTGCGAGGTCGACTCTCGTGCCTATGTTCGATTGAGATAGCAAGGATTGGTGCGTCTTCACGGGGCTTGTGTAATCCTGAGCCGGAAACGAATGCATGGGCGGCGGCAAAATGGACGCGAGCCCGAAGTAACGATCCCGTACGCCAAAAGTAGTACGCCAATAAGACCTCTGCCTGGATGATATGCACCAGCCACTGGGGGTTTGAATCGGCGGTCGAGGTAGCACATGCCTGTAGCGCACGAAATAGGAAACGCTCTTCGGTGGCCCGATCTCTTGAAGGAGAAAGATGGGCACCAAAGGTACAAAGCGTGTACAAAAGAGCTGGGGAACTTTTCCCAAGAGTTATCGCGAGGGCAGGGGCTGAATTGGGGCTCGTGGGTGGGTATTGCTGAGAGCGTAGCATAAATCTTCGAGGTTCCAGGTCAAGAAAGAAGCCGAACTGGGAAGCATAGGGAAGAAATGCATGTAATCTAAAAAGACGAAAATCAGAATAAGGATCGACGGGGAAAGTGTGTTTGCATACAATCTTTCGCATAGTTGAGGCTGAAACAACATTAGGCCAATATTAGTAACGTTCGGAAAGGATCGGAAGGGAAAACTTACGTCGAGGAGATCTAGACTTGACGCCACACTAGAGTCGGGTGTGGCCACCGCGACAGCGCGCGAGTCAAAGATACCCAGGGGGCTAGGGCTGGGTCCGTGGCCATGACTGCCAAATAGTGACAGCGGGGGTGTGCTTGCTGTCGTGGAAGGAGGCGAGAGTGGGGCCAGATGCGATTCTGGAGACGACTGACTGCCTACGGGTGTTTGCAATCGAGGAAGCAGAGAGCGAAATGGAGTTCCGGGAAGAGACCGATGACCAGAATCCAGCAATGTGAGTTGTGGGATCGTTAGACGACCTGGAGGAGGTGGGGGTGGTAACGAAGAGTAGGGGTCGTATAGAGTCACGCTTGGAGTAGTCTCTTCTGGATGCTCTAGTTCATGGAGTCTTGCTTCTAGTCGCTGGACCATGTCCTCCAGAGCTTTAGTCCGGGAACGTGTGGGCCCATCGTTATATTCGCATTCGTCGTCTTTCGGGTGCTTCCGACACGGCCCACAGACAGGTTTTACACCATCGCACTTCTGGGGTCATAGTTAGTAACGTCGAGAGAGCAAAAGAGATGACCACGCACGATTTTGAGGAAGCTATGTGAAAGTAGTCAACACCTGGGATGAACGAGTCAGAATCAACGCACCGACAGTTCATGCAAGCCCTACCACGCTTGAGAGGTCTCGAAGCTACGGAGCGGGCTCCAGCTTGCGAGAGTGTCGCGTCTGCAATCATCTGGCTAGTAACCGAATCCAGTTTGGAAGGGAGTTTCTGAAAGGGGATGTCGAAAAGTTGGCATTGCTTTTATAGAGGGTCGGTGAATCATTTGGGAGTCCACGTCTATGTTCGGCCGCAATCTAGATGCATGGAAGCCAAAAGCAAAGGGCGAATCGGGCGGACCAACGCGATATGCTGTGCTGTCACACATCACAGTTTGTGTAAGCGGCGGTCTGTCATGCGTTTCCGAATCTGTTCCCGACATCGAGCAATTCGAGGCTCAACTCGATGCCGGATTACCGAGACCGTGGCTTGCCGTAGTCTTCGTCAGTACTTAGCAGCTTCACTAGACTTGCTTACAGACAGGGATTGTCGTTCATGACGTCGACGGTTGAGGGCTCCAGCCTCCATCATCCGAAGTGGCGAACACTACACAAGGCTTATTGGAGTATACCCGAAAACGTATATGGCCTCGCTCCTCAAATTATCTGCACCGCCTTTTCCTGCTGCGTACCCATATATGCGGGAAAACGCGGTCCTCGCCGCAAGAGGCAGCAAGACACGGGCAATATATGGAGAATTAAGGTAACTATTTAGCCGGTCCGAGTTTGACTCGATGAAACTGAACACAGAGTGAGTAGAAAGGCAACATAGAAGGAGCAACACCATATTCTGCCATGTAGCTTGGAACATGGTGGGGTTAGAAGAGGAGGGACAAGCACAGGTGCGGAGTTTAGGTCTTGGACTTCTTGTCGTCATGGTTTACTTGCTTCCGTTTCCGTTCGTCTTTGTCCAGGAAACGATGCACCCTCTGCGAAGAACACGAAGCAAGACGTGGCGACTGCCTTGTGAAAAGCCTTGTCCGCAGTCAATCCGATGTTCACAGCACCAAGTCAAAATTAACCTTGCGGATCTCACATACTCTACAGCTTTCTGTCGAGCATGAGCTCAAGCTTATGGTTGGATTTGGTTTTCTTCAACACATAAAATCAGATAAGATAAGTAGAAAATCATACCGGTACCGCCCGGCTTTCAATCTAGTTGCGGCTTCATGCGCCGGCATTTCCTCCTTTAGGATTCAACGAGGGTACACGAGAATGGTGGGAGTGGGACTCGTGCCAGTCCCACTCCCTTCCAATCTGTGGGACTCCAGCTATCAAAGTGGGATTCATGGCTGGTTGCTGTGATCGTCTCCAAGGCCGGCTGATGCCAGATCAGGAGAGAGACTTAGGGCCTGCTCGGTGTCACCGGGATCGATCCCGGACACACTCACAATCAACCCAGATGGCAACACACGCAGATGCCTGTGATTCCGTAGCCAGATGGGCGTTCGGAGGTACGTTGCCAGCCATCTGTCTCGTCACGCTGAGCGCGGATCAAGGCCAATCCTCCCCTCTTTTCTTCTTACCTCCATGACTGAGCCTTCGACCAAGCAGCGGAAGGAGCGCTGCTCGTGGCGGGACGCCGATGACGCGACACTCATCAATACCCTCCGCACGAACAAGGCTGCCTTTCAGACAGACAGCGGCTGGAAACCACAGGTGTGGCCAATCTGCGCAGCGGCCCTCGCCGCATCTCCTGGCGCCACCAAGACAGCCGCCAAGTGCCAAGACCACTACGGGGGGCTCAAGGCACTGTTCAACGAAGCTCGAAAGCTGCGCGGCGCGTCGGGATTCGGGTGGGACGATGGTCTCAAGACTGTTACGGCGACGGATGATGTGTGGACGGATTATATCGTGAATAAGGTGCGTGGCTGTTTCTTCAGCCTTGTGTGTACGCTAATTCCTTTCTAGAAAAATGCCTGGGCCACAAAATGGCAAAAAAACCATTCCCCCTCTACGACGACATCATGTTCCTTGTCGATGGCATCGTAGCCACCGGCGAAGGCGCGTTTCATGCAGGCACCACCCCAACTCCATCGACAAATGACCCCGTCATCCCTAGCACCAGTACAGGCACCGATGCAGGTTCAAACAACCCATCTGCGCCCGGCACACCATCCTCCCCCTCCCAAACAGTTCCACATACACCCGCGCCGCCTATTCGCATGCCTGCCTACAACGACGCCACCCCATCCTCTCCATTTACCGAGCCAGCATCAAGCCGCAAGCGAGCAGCTTCGTCATCACCGCAGAAGCCTGGCCGAAAGTCGCGAGCGCGCAATGCTGATGCCACAAATAGCATGGCTTCTGCCATGCTCGAGATTGCAGGAGCTCTGAAGGTGAAGGGGAGCCCCGAGATCTTGGCTAGGGCTGTGCAGGTGATGGAGGAGGATGACGAGTTGTCGGATAATGAGAGTGTCGAGGCAATGAAGCTGTTCATGAACAATTCAAAGGCTGCGCAGCTGTACATTGCACCGAAAACAAAGGCCCTACGTACTAAATTTGTCCAAGGCCTTATTGAGAGTACATTGTTCGCACCGTAGAGTACTTGTGTTGTCAATATAGCACTATCTATTCCTCGGGAGCGACCTCTTGAATTTGGATACCTTTTGTAAGCATATATGCCTTGTAATCTGCCCACATATTCTGCGCAATCGCGTCACGCCGGGCTGATGCTCGAGCACGTTCCTCTGGGCTGATTGACCACCCTAGCTCCTCAGCTGAAATAGGCTCTGCTGGATTAGCGATAAGATCTTGCAAGGAGCTTTCTCGCCGTGTCGGGGTGGTGATGGATGAGATACTTGGGGTTTCATTGGTGTCGTTGGGCTCCAAACCATCATCTTCACCATCGTAGACCCGAATAAAATTATGAAGTGCACAGATGGCTGAGATTAGTTGAGCCTGTGTCTCGACCGAGTACTCTGGAGCACCACCCGTAAAGATATTCCAGCGACGTTTGAGAATACCAAATATCCGCTCGACTGCGTTCCGAAGCTGAGCATGACGTAGATTGAATAGCTCCTTGTAGTTCCGAGGGCGCTGGTTGACATTGCCCCATTCCTTGAGGTGGTATCGGATATTCCGGTATGGGGTCATCAAAACGTCGCAGAGCGGAAACCCAGCATCTGCAAGGTAGAACTTGCCCAGTGGAACAGCAAAATCATGCTCGCGCATAATTGAAGATGTGCGAGTCTGATGCACTCCCTTCCCAGCCTGTAAGCACATAGACAAAAATCAGAGCAAAATTGCAGGCTGCCAGAATATTCTGCCCGATAAACCCCTTGCGATTACGATACCGTGGCATTGCGGTAGCAGGTACCCAGGCAGAGAAGTGCGAGCCGTCGATTGCGCCACGGCATTCACGGAAGTATGGGTAGAATTTCCGTGTCGCTTTGACTTCTGGTGGAGTGTTATTTGGTGGCAGATGGATATGCTTTGTGTAGAAAGACCCAGTCAAGCAGTTAAGGATGGTATGGATGGATTTGCTGATAGTTTCCCCACTCCTTTGAAAACGCTCCTGGAGGACACGTGAGCTGCAGCCGATCCGGGCGAAGTAAAGGAATGTTGCAAGCTTCTCCGTGGCCGTGACATGCTTCGAATTGGTTAGCCCGGAATGCATTTGGAGTTCGAATAATAGTCGAAGGAAGACGTGCTTGGCCATCCCTAGCTGGCGATAGAACCGGATATCACTGCCAACAAGGAGCTCATCCACCCAGACCTGACCAGTAAGAGCAGAGGTGTTGAGAGGGATGGGATCAGTGAGATTCATGCCAAAAGAGACAGTGAATGCTGCAACCATACACACAAGCGACACCAGCGCAATGTGCCGTTGACGCTGTGCTAGTGCTTTCTTCTTTTGTGCTCTCTGTTGGGCAAGTATAGCCTGTTGCGAGGCATTGGATGCGTCACGGAAGGCTCTGGACGCGTCACGGGAAGGGCCGGAGGGCATGGCGCCGATTCCCAGTCAAAAAACGCGTCGAAACGAGGAGGGGAGGACGAGATATGTCTTTTGATCTACCTTAAATACATGACTAATCTTATTTGACGCATCTCTGCCAACCTCCGGCCCCGTTGTCATGCCTGTTGATGGCATGGATACCATACCGAGACTGGCTAGGGCTAGCCGAGCCCGTTGCCAGATTGGCTACGGGATCGATCCCGGTGACACCGAGCAGGCCCTTAGCCGGCGTCGCGCAGCGAGCCTCCGCGGCGAGCGGATGCCCCCGGCAGGGTGGGTCCAGGGCAACGCCCTGGTCGGGGGTCCGGGGTGGAAAACCCCCGGCCGTCGCGGCCGGCGCCGCAACCCAATGATCCACGCATGACACATCAGAAAGATGATGTGCATCGAGTCCCACTCTGATGGGACAAGTCCCACCAAATCGGCTTAACCGCTGTCAAACAGCACTGGGAGTGGGACTGGCGCGAGTCCCACTCCCACCAAACTCGTATATACTCGGATTCAACGAAGTCGGCGGCGCCAATCTGACAGGCTTCTTCCTCGCTCAACGCTACGTGTCCTATTCAGGCAACATGTCTGTTGTCTAATTCACTTGTTCCTCTATCGCTTCAGCAATCGAGGAACTGTACTACCACCCATCCAATGCAAGCCGTGGTCGCGCACGCATCGTCGAGTCATAGCGTATCATAAATCAGGCACGAGCGTCTGCGTTTGACTGGTGACCGTTGAACGGCCAGTCTCCGGAAACTTCGGAAGGTGAAATAATGATTAGATACCAGATAGACGCCCGGGATTGGCCTCCAGCCGTTTAAGTTGGATTACCGGTCCAACTACGCCAAGCGCAATACATTGTCGCAGGCGGGCCGACGCGGACTTGAGCCGCTCCGAATATTCATCAGTAAGACTTTACCTCCATTCGTGGCGCTCCACGCGATTCGCGTGGTGGACACTGGCATAAAGTGAGGAACAACCAGTTACCACTCTTTGCGCATCCGCTAACCCCACCCTCAGCTGAGCCGGAAAGGCAACAGCAATTTGGCATTTGCCCGAAAATAGCGCGCCATTACTCGGCAGGTACCACATCAAGGCCCGGCTTTGAGCCAGTTGCCAAAATTGCCTTTCATCCCGCACGTCTTTCCCAGGGAAACGCCAATCAGGGCTCGATGCTGGACCACTAGGCACCTCTACTGTAAGTTGTAATCTCGGTTCCTGGCCTTCCTAGTAACGTTGGCAGGAGCTGTCGCGATCGCTCGACGGAGCCAACGCTGTCTATCACCGCCCCTCAATAATAAGTTGAACAGTCTTCCAGCGATCCGGCGGCGTCGTAATTCAACTGTTCTGCCAGTGTGAATGCAGGATTTCCGAGCGGCGCGGATGCAGGTGTGTGTGGATCATTCGGGATTCTTATCCAGGTTCCCAATGTTTGTAGGCCGGGATTTTGCCGGGGGTTGGCTTATGTAAATAGGTATGTGGGGATTGACGCTGGAGCAGACTCGAGTGTAATTCCCGGTTTCAAGGCGAGGGATCGCCGCCTCGGAGAGTATACGATTTCAGTGCTTTGCTAAGGTGGGCAAAGTTGATACTTATAGTGATTAGATAACTTGTCGGGCGGTCAGGCGCCCGTCTTTGAGCTATGGCGCTGCTTCAACTTGTCGCGAAGCGCCAGCATTGTGCGCCTTGGATGTGGCTCAGTCAGCAGTTAGCAATACCTTTAGATAGTTACAGAACTTTCTAGATACATTCACTGTAGTATAAATACTGGGCTGAAAGCCCCAATACTTATCTCATCCCCTGTTCTCTCCGCTGCTCGACTCTCAACACTTGGGAGGAACGCGGGGATCCGGATGTGTTCCAACCTTATACCCCCGGGCCGTGCCAGAGTAAAAGGCGGGGAGTGAAAACACGATCAGGTTATTTTTATTCATTTTTTCTTTTCAGGTTCTATGATTAGATGCGGAAACCCGATAGAGCGCCAAGTGGCGGGGAAGTTCACCGTTGCTTGGAACCGCATCTACCATGACCCGGAAAAAAGCGAGGTAAGTCGTAAAAGGATCGTCTCTCTCGGAGTCTTGGATCCTCCGTGTGGCGCACAGAAGCTGCAGAGGCTATAGAAAGTTTTTGCTTGGAGCGGAACCACATGGAGGCATGATCGGCGTCTGGATATTTTTGGCAGTTGACATTGACAGGTTGTGGAAGTTTGATAAAAATTTTGCTGTGGCAGTGTAAATAGCAAAGGCTAGAAAAGATGTAATGCAGATAGACATAGCAATCCTCAGCATGAGCAATTAGTATCTTGAGACACGAAGAACAAGTCGTCGAGCAAGTTTGGAAAAAAACTTGACGGAAAACAGATCTGAGATTATGCGGCCCGGGTGACCCGGTTCCGTGTTGCTTCCGTCTCGGGTTAACTCGGGACGCGTGCAATGTGCCTGGCTGAGCAATGCTCGGTCCAAGCCCGGTCACCGCCTTCCGACACGGGCCCGAATCGAGCGGAGTAAGGACTCCTCGACAGCAGCAACATGTTTTGAAGACATCGGACACGTCGCGCGCAGGGCCGACACGCTCGGACAGTCTTGGTAAAGGTGTTCGAATGACTGTGCAGCGATTTGCTCAGGCTCGGGAAGGTGTGAGGTTTGAAAAATTGAAACATTGGAGGTATGCCCGTAATTCATTGACTGCGGCATCGGTCAGGCTCAGCTACGGGGGAGGGAATGAATCGGAGGCGGGCACCCACCGCGATGAACTTGAACGCGCGGCCAGCCGAAACACACCAGCGCTTCAAAAATGTAATGGGCAACAACGGAGAGCGCACTAGTCCGCCTTGCATTGGTCGAAGTCAACAGCAACTGCGCACTTTTCACAGCTAGGCACTGTAACTCAAGCTTCCCAGCCGGTCGATCTCAGAAACGTGCACTTTCTTTGGGGTCTGACTCGGAGGCGCCAGAACCAACACCGTGTCGGGGCAGAATGGGAATTTGAAGAGTTGCTGTCGGGGCAGAATGGGAATTTGAAGAGTTGCATGATCGCCGTTAATGGTGAAGGCGCATGTTTTGGACGACTGAATCGATAGCACACAGGTTCATGGATGTCGCGGCGGCGACTCTCGTGGAATGTGGTGGAAGTTTGGAGTCAAGTTGCAAGATGCCGAATCGGATCGAGGCTGCGTAAGCCAGCCATCAACATCACGTGTCTGACTTTCATCGGCATGGCGGAGGACCCCTGATAATAGGTTCCCATGTCGAGTCACAAAATCAGCCATTTCCATGATTTTGTCCGAATCTTTTTTCGGCCCCAAATCCAAAATGCTGTCCGAATTTGCCCCCCTTTGCCCATAGAAGGTTCAGAAATGTCCGAAATCGCCTTCGACCTCGGGGAAAATCGCCAAAAAATCGTTGCAAAGAAACAAATGATACATGTCGACCGTCGTGACTACTCAGCAACTCCGTCATCCTCCTCAGCATCCAAATTCTTACCAACCCCGCGGTTGACCTTACTCAGACTTACTGTGACCCTTGTTATCGCCTCCCGATCGTCGTCGAGCATTTTACATCTTCCCTTGTCTCGTCTTCTGGGTCATCGATAACCTCTGGCGCTGTCTGCATGAAAGTTGTTTAGAATGTTGTGTACGGGTACAATACAGTGATTATTGCAATGCAACCATGGCTACCGATGTGCTACTTAAGCTTTCATGTCACAGTCTGAATTTGAACCCAAGCTTCTGCACATCGACCAAGCTTTGTCCGAAAGTGACTGTCACTTTCGGCTTCAGCCATCAAATTTGTCCGAAGCCGACACATACGCTCACAAATTTTGGACCAAATTTGTCCGAACTTGTGACTCGACATGGTAACCTATTATCAGGGGTCCTCATGGCGGCTCAACGCTCAGCCCAAACAACGTGAGGAAAGCCAGTTGGAAATGAAAGCCCTCCCAAGCCTCGCCTCGATGGAACTCATCATACGCGCTGCCATAAGCATCATGAAGATCCATCATTCTCCTGTTTTCTTTGCCGCTTACCACCATGCATCCTTCACTCGAAATCTCCGTCATGCTCGAGCTTGGCGAACCGCTACGAGTACATATCTAGCAATATCAACCTCGCATTCTGACAAAGCCATAGACGACTGCAATAGAGGCGGCCCGTGGCAACATGGACGAGCTCGACACACTTGTCTCGATAGTTTGCGACGATGAGATGGAATGGACTCAATACGCTCTCCGCGGCGTGTCTCCGGCCTTCTACAGCACGCTAGACCCCAAAGAAATCCCGCTTATTCGCACACAACTCGATACTCTTGACCCCGAATGGGTTGCTACCGTCTTACGGCGTGTCGCCTGGACATTCCGCTGCCTCGAAGTGCTCATGAACGGCGACATCCTCCCTTCCGGCGCATTCTCAGATATATGGCAGCGTGTATGGGCCTGGACGCAGTTTTTCGATGAGTTTTATTCGATGGGTCTCCCATTTCCTGTCATGTACGAGGACCCGCCGATGCAACCTGTTGACCAGATTTTTTCCATTGCGATGAATCTTTTCAACCGGGTCTGGCAGCGGATCGAGGAACATCCAGAAGAGCCAGGTCTTGCTCGCCTTGTCTCGGACGACTTTGCTCCCAAGGTTCTTGTGGTCGTTGGGCGTGTGTGGTCTCGTTTACTACGCCTGAAAGACGATCTTGGACTATATCATATTTCCATGATTGTCCTTATGGAGCGCCTGGGCGAACAGCGAGACCACTCCCGGTCCCGCAGACGGCTTAATGAACTGGGGTTTGGAACAGGCGGGAGTTGGTCTGATTTGGCCACGACAATGGTTGGACACATCCTGCGCGGCTCTGCCGGGAGGGGCCCAAAAAATCCCTTGTCACACGACGATTGCCAGCTCATCTATTCAATGGTTACGCTTTCTTGGCTACTCCCTCGCGAAACCGACCTTCGTGATGCTCTCTATGAAGAAGGATACGCTGCGGCTCTCACGACCGCGTTCTCCGCGCTGGTGAATACCCCTGCCATCCCATCCCCTTTCCAGTTTCTGGTGGACGAAGTTTTCCGACTTCTCGTGGCCACGTTCGAGTACCGCGCTAGTTTCCAGCAACGCATCGCGCAAGCCATCCGCGGGGGCGTTCTGAAGCTGCTGTTTGACTACGCAAAGATGGGGGGCAACAACTTGAAAAAAGATGCCCTTATCCGACAAGTCCTGACAGAAGACTTGCCACGAGCGACATTGTATCGCTCTGTCCTGATCAGACTGCCAAAGGCGTTGTCCAGGATAAAGCCGCTCGCCAACACAGAGCTTGTGAAGCCTTGGAGCGAGCTCACGGCTCTGATTCAAGAGCGGCTGGTGCTCCTGAACGAATACGAAAATGACGATCTTACCAGCCAACGTGGATGCGACAACGTTCAGGTCCGTCTGGCCGTCTCCATGAACCACTCTCAAACAATGCTAGTGTGGTTTAATCACGCATAAAACGTCCCTCAGGCGCTGCGCGGGCTGTCTTGTAGTCTACTATTGCTCGCGAGCATGCCAAAAGGTAGATTGGCGGGAAGGAAACCATCGCAACAAGTGCGAATCCTTCAGCAGTCGGGTTGAACGTAAGTCACCTTGTCTCTTCAACTTCGCTAGCCCGACACAGCATTGACAGACGACTATGCACATGCCGTGCCCCGCGACTGGTCGTTCATCCGCTATCTCATCAACCGCCGATATCAGCAATTGCGGGAGACAATCGCACTACGCTACCTCCGCCTGCTCTTCAACGCCCGCGGCCCCCGGCAAAACCTCTCGCCATCGCCTCTCTTAGCGGTTTGGTTCGACATTGCTCAAGCGCCGGGCCAAATCAAAGTCAGGATCGAGCTGCTTGGCTCTAACTCCGAGTCCGCAGGCCACGGATACCTGCTTACGGAGGAGGCTGCCTGCGTCCGACGGAGCCATGGCCGGCTGCGACTGCACGTGCTGACCATGGCGTGTCCATCGGCCGAGCCAGAAGAGGGAATGAAGTGCATTCGTTTCTTCCCTTTGCGATGCAAGGATTCGAAGATGGAAGATGGTCTAAGGGGCATTCTGAACCAGATTCCACCTAGAGCTGGTGAGGAGGAGTTGGATGTCGAGTATCACCGCCCGAGGGTTCAGGCTTTGCTTGCAACTCTGGGTTTAGAAACTCATTAAGTTAATTATTAAATATTTATCCACATATAGGAGCAACCTGCCAGGGTATAATCAGCTCGTTACTGGACATCCACTATCATACTAAGTATCAACTCTCTACAGACTCCATTGACATAGAGACTGCTAGCTTGCAGGGCTATAGCTAGCTTGTCAGACTGTCTAAGGTTGTACTATAAAAACAACTGTAGCTGCATTATCAAGGCAGCTTGTGTTTCCCAGCTATTGGTGGTCTTGAAGGCAGCTATAATTGTTTTGAAGTATCTGTGTTACGTCGTGATTGTGACAGCCAACCCAATCCATCTTCTTCTGGTCCAGCATCTGCATGCTTCAAGCAGTCGAACAGTTACCTTCCATATATACCCCCAGCGTCCGCTAAGCTCGCCATGCACATCCCGTTCATCTCCCCCTTCGTTGTTTCCCCCTTCGACTCCCTCCATGCCCTCTCTACGCGCTTGCTCTATCTTTTACTTCCAACCAGCTTCTTTGGTTGGGCTCCAAGTGGAAGCAACTACCTGCTTGGTTTGGGTGTCGCCGACATTACAGGACCGACGGTGGAGGTGAGTACTCTTACCATTCCTTTCCATATTTGTATCCCAATGTCATTTGAAGGAGAATCTCATGGGCTATGCAGTGCTCTCGCAAGTCGGCACGGGCCTCTACATGCGGCAACGAGTCCGTGCCTTTATCGTCGCAGAACCTGATGGCGAACGCGTGCTTTTATTGAATGCCGACATTGGGATGGGGGACACTGGTGTCCGGCGAGCGCTTCTCAGTGCTCTGGCGGAAGAATTTGGAAACGACACATATAATGCGGGGAATGTTGCCTTCGTGGGTACTCACCAGCATAGCGGCGTTGGAGGCTATCTAGAAAGTGTGTGTTTTCTTTTGCAACTTCCAGTTGGGCTCATTATATCCCAAGACCTCCTTCCGCAACTTACCGCACTCGGACTCTCCAACCAATCCTTCTCGGCTATTGTACAAGGCTCAGTTCTTGCTACACGACGTGCTCACGCATCACTTACTCCTGGCTCACTTTCCGTTGGGACTGGCCGCGTTGAGCAAGGGTCCAGAAATCGCTCCCCTACGGCCTACCTCGCAAACCCGTCTGCTGAGCGGGCTCGTTATCAACAGAATGGTGGCGAGAACGGAGATCAAGAGTGGAATATGAGTGTCTTACGGTTCGAAGATGCTACAGGAAGTGCGGATGGTAGGGGATTTTTAAGCTTCTTTGCGGTTCATGGGACAAGCGTTTATGAAGTACGTCTATCCTCCCCTCTCAGTAATTATCCTCAACAACCGGCAGAACAACACATTAGTAAATGGGGACAACAAGGGTATTGCTGCATACTTGTACGAATGCAAGTGCCTCATTTCATTCCCTATCATTGCGCTAACGACCTTGCAGCTACTATCGAACCCAACTCCATGCCGGGAAATACCACATATGTTGCTGGTTTTGTGCAGGGAGCGGTGGGTGACACAAGTCCCAATACTCTGGGAGCATTTTGTGAATCTCCTGGCAAACCCTACGACGGCCTCCCGTGCGTTGCCAACTCGTCCACGTGTGGGGGTGCTGCTCAGGACTGCCATGGTCGTGGCCCTTTGTTCACTAACGACCCTTTTGGGTTTGCCAGCAGTCTGGAGATTGGCAGGCGTCAAGCAGACGGCGTCAAACAGGTTTTTTATGGCTCAGGTCAAGCGATGACACCCGTGAAAGGTGCTGTTCGGAGCGCACACGCTTATGTGGATATGTCAAAGCACGAATTTGTGCTGCCAAATGGCACGAGTGTGAGGACATGTCCAGCTGCGATGGGTAATCCTCTTACTTCGTTTATATGCTGTGTTGATATGCTTCAGGCTATTCGTTTGCTGGTGGGACTACGTTTGTCTTTTCACTTCTCTTTTTTTTTTCTCGCATCAACTTTTTTTATAACAGTGACGGACCAGGGGCATTCGACTTTATCCAGGGCGATAATAAAACTTCTCAGTAGGTTTTTCTTCATCTCGTTTCATGCGCTCATTCGACTCAGGAACCCGTTTTGGGAAGTCGTGAAACGGTTTGTAACCCCAGCTCCTCCCAAAGAGCAAATCGCCTGTCAATTCCCTAAACCCATCCTGCTCAATGTCGGATATGCGCATGAACCATATGAGTGGTCACCAAGCACAGTCGATGTGCAAATTCTGAGAATCGGAAACTTGGGTAAACTGCTTTTCTAGTGCAACGAACTATCGACTCAAGGTCTCGCAGTGATTCTCGTTATTCCTGGTGAAGACGCCGTTGCTTTGGTGTCATAAGTTCTCATTATCTCACCCAGGCGAATTAACAACTATGGCTGGTCGTCGCATGCGGTGAGCTGTTCGCTTTGCTGGTCTATTCTCGATTCGACGAGCGATTAGGGAAGCCATCCGCGCCAAACTCATCTCAGGAGGCATTGTCGGAGAAGATGCGCATGTTGTTGTTGCTGGCCCGGCCAACACATACTCGCATTACATCACAACACCAGAAGAATATGCGGTCCAACGATATGAAGGTGCCTCAACACTTTATGGACCTCGTTAGTATTCCTTTTTGTCCTCCTGTTCGTGTTGTAATACCACTCATAGACACCCTGGACGCCTATCTTGACCGATACACGCAGTTGGTGCCTTACCTCGCGGACGATGCTCGCGGAAAAGCGCCTCCGTCCGATCCAGCACCAGAAGAACAGGTGTCGAAAGCGATTTCGCTGAAGACGGGTGTCAAGTTTGACGAGCCACCGATTGGGAAGCATTTTGGGCAGGCGGTGAAGGATGTGAAGGCGAACTCTACTTACGCAGCAGGCGAGCGGGTGGAGGTCAAGTTTGTTGGTGCAAACCCGAGGGTATGTGGCCTGCCTTGTTGCGATTGTGTGCCTCAGACGGAGACAGAACAACTTGAGGCTGGAAGGAACGTTTCTCGCTGTTGAGCGCCTTTTGGGAGACAAATGGACGATGCTTAAGTCGGATTCACATCCGAGCACGACGTTACAGTGGGTGCGGGACAGTACAGTATGCAATTTTCGCTGTTGTCTTTCTACTTCTGCTGCTGATTTGCTCTAGATCTTGGGGACAAGCACGGTTACCATTGCGTGGACGATAGAGAATGGGACTACAGATGGACTTTATCGGATAGTGTACTATGGTGACTCGAAGGCAGCGATTGGAGGGAAGATTACGCCGTTTGTGGGTACTTCGGGCAACTTTACGGTCGTGTAATGGACTTCGTACTCATAATAACAGAACAGTTGGTTTGTGTTTAGGGTCAAATGAGCAGGAAATGCTGTTCTCTGAGTAAATCTTAAATCCAGTTCTGCTCTAAGGAAAAGCAAGAACTCATCATTACATGTAGTCCTGGATTGGGGATACCAGGTCAACCCAGAAAGCAGACAGATGTTCTGTTCTCTCCACCAGACACGCATTATTTTGATCTCGTGACCTCCCCCTTTTACCTCTCACTTTCATCATCATGTCGGAAACGCCGCCCTCTTTTGCCCATCGAGAATCGAGCGGAAATGTACCAACGCTGCGCTCGGCAATGAAACACACGACTTCGACGCCATCTGTAACCTCCCGGCCGTCTTCACCCGGCCAAATCTCCCCCGTGCTTGCCCAAGGCCAAAGCCCGACGACCACCGTTATTCCACCATCGCCCAACCCTGCTGCTGGCCTGCCGCTCCCTCCACACACGCCAGGATACACGCAGAAAGTGTCGTTCGACACGTTTGAAAACCCTGTCGCGTCCATGTTTTCGTTCACCCTGCGGGTAAAGTCAGAGGGCTATGCCCACACACGGAACACAAGAGTCTTTCTATGTGCTGCTGGGCCAGACGAGAGCGGACGGGAGGCACTTGACTGGTCGTTGGAGGGCCTCGTGCAAGACGGTGATGAGTTAATCGTGTGCAGGGGTGTTGATGAAGATGCGTTTGAGAAAGACCACAACTCGGTCCGGGAGGAGGCGAGACAGCTAATGCTTCAGATCCAAGAGAAGAGCGTGGAGTATGACCCAGAAAGAAAGGTGCGTTTGCGTGCTTATATGTGTGTCCATTGGAACCGTTTACCAGCTCTCGCTCATCTTGGAATTCATACCTGGCCGGATAACGGACACTCTTGACCGACTTATTGCGTTGTACCGTCCAGACAGTGTTGTGGTCGGGACCCGGGGCAAACGCGCTTGGCAAACGATGGCGATGATGGGGAAGGGGGGTATTGGGAGCGTGAGCAAGTACTGTCTTACGCATTCGCCTGTGCCGATTATTGTTGTGCGGCCTGAGCGGAAGGTGAAGAAGGCGATTGAGAAGCGGAGGGCAGACCCGAAACGAGGGACGCATTTTGACTCGGCGGATGGGTGTGTTGTTGCCCTTGGATTGAATCGGTTGCTGACTGACTGGGTTTAGACCTCCTGGAGCACCGCCGCCAATGCATCGGAATGCCAAGACGTATAATGTTATTGGGAGTGCGCCGCTGAGTTCGAGCTCGACGAAGAGCTAGAGTTTCATCTTTTGACCTCCTTTGGTACCCTGGTCTGGTGTGTGGATATGGGCAAAGACAAATGTAAAACAGAGTAGGTAACCACTCCTTCATGAATAGTGCCCCACAAGATTAACTTGGACATAACTCGACTTCCTCCATTGAAATGCGACAACTTGCAACAACTATCAGTCAACGCTAACAAATGCCGTTCAAGTTTATATACTTAGGCAAGGAAGTTCTGAACTACGTCCGAAGATGCTCTCTTCAGGGGGTCACGGACTTGAAAATCAAGTCGCGAAACGTTTTAGCCTGACGTCGTTTCATGCGTCGATGAGGGTAACCAGGGTCGGCCATCTATCCTTGATCCTTTTATTGACACCGTCACGGTCAACTCTCTTGTTCTCTCCCTCCATGCCTGAAGCTAAGAAGTCATCCTCTGCTGCCCCAGCGCCCAGAAAGGTCCGCTTCAATGTCGGCACCCAATACCAAGTCCTCGATGTTGTTGGAGAAGGCGCATATGGCATTGTGTGTTCTGCTCTCCACCGCCCAAGCGGTCGCAAGGTCGCGATAAAGAAGATTGCCCCTTTCGAGCACACGCTGTTCTGTCTGCGTACCCTCCGCGAGCTCAAGCTGCTCAAATTCTTGTCCGAGGCGGGGGTTAGCGAAAATGTGCGTTGTCATCCTAATCTGGTTGCCTTTCCTGACCCCGACTTCTCCAGATTATATCCATCATGGACATCATCAAGCCCGCGTCTATTGAGCAGTTCAAAGAAGTTTATCGTGCGTAGGGAGTTGCCCTTTCCCCGTTGTTGACAGTGGTCAAAGCTGTTTCGCAGTTGTCCAAGAGCTCATGGAAACCGACATGCACCGCGTTATCCGTACTCAAGACCTATCTGACGACCATGCCCAGTATTTTGTATACCAAACCCTTCGTGCCCTGAAGGCACTCCATTCTGCCGATGTCATTCACCGCGATCTCAAACCCTCTAACCTCCTCCTCAATGCCAACTGCGACCTGAAAGTTGCCGACTTTGGCCTTGCCCGGTCCGTCAAGACTGCTGAGCCATCTGGGACCGAAACCGGCTTCATGACCGAATACGTCGCCACGCGTTGGTACCGGGCCCCGGAAATCATGCTTACATTCAAGCAATATACCAAGGTTTTTTTGCTGACAAGTCTGCCGTTAACCAAGAAGCTAACTGCTACCACAGGCGATCGATGTGTGGTCGGTCGGCTGTATTCTCGCGGAGATGCTCTCCGGCAAACCTCTCTTCCCCCGGCCGCGACTACCACCACCAGCTAACACTGATCCTGGATGTCCTCGGGACCCCTACTCTTGATGAGTTTTACGCCATCAGCACGCGACGCTCTCGCGACTACATTCGAGCCCTTCCGTTCAGGAAGCGGCGTCCATTCGCACAATTATTCCCCAATGCCACACCGCTGGCGCTTGATTTCCTTGCGAAAACATTAGTGCGTTCTCCAAGTTTTTCCGCAAGGGCCGGAATTAATCCTTCTTAGACCTTCGACCCGAAGAAGCGCATCACCGCCGAAGAAGCACTAGCGCATCCCTACCTCGAGGCATATCATGACCCTGAAGACGAGCCCATCGCCCCACCCCTCGATCCCGAGTTCTTCGAGTTTGACCGTGAGGACCTTGGCACGTTTACCCCCTTCTTTTGTTGACGTCCCTTTACAGTGCACAAAGACGATATCAGTCGCGACCAGCTCAAGGAGCTTTTATACGAGGAGATTATGTCGTTTACCCCGGTAGAAATGACATAGGGGTATATACCAGGCTTCGTTGGCTCGTATAGGCTGGCCTTGCGCGCGCCGGTTGCCAATATCTATTGTGGATAAGGTCTTGGATATATGGCAGAACTGCAATGAGGATGGGAAGCTATTGTTCGATGGGTTGAAGACAATGGCGGAGAGCACGAATCGGGACTTGTTACGGAAATTTGCATTGGGTGAAATGGAGGCCAAATGCTACAAATGGTACAACACGACTAAACAAGAAAGAGCAACTACGAATGTCGAATACCGCGTCACACCCAATACATGGCTGATTTACAATAACACCACAAGTGCCGCAACTCCAAGCAACATACCCGCCGTTAACGCCCCAGATGGCCTCCTCACGGCCAACATACCGGCAGAGGCGTCTGGTTTCGCACTCTCCACGATACTGACAGGCGTTTCCCCGTCTTTGAACGAAGCCGGGCAGGTCGCGGCGAATGTTTGGACAAGCCTCGAGCTGCCCAGGACCGGCGCATCTTGCTGGACGATGTTGTAGGCCGCCTTGGTGCAGTTGGTGCAGGTGATGTTGGCGGTGAACGTCCCTGTGGCGAGGCCAGAGAAGATGACTGTGCTGGCGTTGTTGAGCGCGATGGGATTGCCCAGCAGGTTTTGGGCATTGGTGAGTGTCTGAGTGACACAGTTGACCCCGGAGCTGGTGAGACGAATGTGGGATTAGTTTTAGACTTGGTTGAAAGATGAGGCGTACTCAGTGAGACAGGCAATGTCTCGCAGTCCCGGGTAGTACGCCTGCGCTTTGCTTTGGATCGCGGCGATGGTCGCATTGGAAGGCGGGTTGGGGATGCTGAAGTCGCTCGCGCAAGCAGAGATGAACTACCAAACCACAAGCATCAGTAAGAAAGAAACCGATAACAAGTTTGAGGGCGCACGCTGCTGACGAGATTTGCGAGCGTCTCATTAGTGCATTTGGGCTGAAGACACGTGGACTCCAGCCAGCGATCGACGGACGAAACGATGCTGATGTTGGGCTGGACAACGGCGGGGATCAGTCGGGTGAGGCCCAAGCATGTGTTGGCGGGATCCGTCGCGATCCTTAAAAGACCGGTTTCGCATGATTTGGACAGGCTACAGATATCATAAACCGGGATAGCTTGGTTTACAGGACCAGGGGGAGAACTCACGTCAGTGCGGAAACGCCAGAGGTTGCAGAGGCGACGAGAAGCAGTAGACTCGAGCGGTGCATCATGACGGTGGCGGCGGGTTGTAGATCGGATAGTCTCTAGCCTCATTTTATACCAGCAGAAACCAAGACAAGTCGTTCACACCCGCCAGAGAATGCTGAGACTCGATGACTTCATCGCCGCACTGATTATCCGAGTGCGCTCCACGGAATGTAAGGAAAGCGGAATATCCCAAGACTGTCTCAGCAGAAGTCGACGTCGTGGATGACTCTTGGGAAGTGGATGTCTTGGTAGAGCAGTTTTTACGACGCTGACCGCGACAATGTCAATGTCACGGTCTTGCGGGAAATTACGGGGAGCCTGAGAAAGGTCTCAGATTCGACATTCTCAGACCATCTTCAGGGCATACGACCAGTACTAGTACTTGAGTGAAATATGAGAAATGTTCAAGAGGAGCTAGCCACTCACATAATTCCGCAGGCGTCAAGCATCTAGAGAGTCGACATGCTTGTAAGTATTTCAAGCAAAAGCTGTGGTTCTCTGAGTGTTTACTTATTGCCGTGGTGGCGTCGGCGAGGCGTCGCAATGTTACAAAGGCATGTCTGTTCGTGGGCTCGCCTCTCGAGTTCCCCAACTTCTGGGTCGCGACTCGAATGGAAGGCTTAACATTTTGAGCGAGTCGGCTAGCAAAAGCAGCTGGGGCGAGGTAGAGCACAGATGAATTGCTTTCTGGGATTGACCGAGGAAGCTCGTTGGGCTATATGAACATGGAATGTGGCAGAGATGACGGATTTTGGATTATACGGGCGGCACATAGCGCATAAAGTTTCCCCAGATTGGAGTTCGAGATTAGGAGAGTCACGTGATTGTCACAATCCGATCACGGCCAGTGTCGTCATCTGAAACCGTGATTCACATATCTACGAAATTACACAAGATTACCCAGTACATTGACTATCGGTCCGCTTCCTCCCTAGATGAAGGAATATACGGCGGTGGTTCGGCCTGCAGAACTTGTGCCTCCAGGGCAGCTAGTCGTGCTTCAAGCTGGCGTTCACGAGTGGTGGTTGTCACCGTTGATGCGGAGTCGGTTGCCTGGATCGAGGCCGAGGCAACGTCTATGGCGGCAGTTGTCGCGGGAAGTGACGGGGCAGAGAGCGCAGGAGTTGCCCACGCTACGTCGTCTGGAGAAAACACGTTAGGCCATGAAATTAGAGAAAACGACAACTGACATGTCTTGCTTTCTTGAGGACTACTTGTGGCCACCGATTCGGCGGGTTCAGCATGATTGTTGAACGGCTCGATGTGTCTTGACGTAGTGCGTTCATTCCTTGATCTCGGCTTCTCTCGATAATCTGGCCTGTTTTTCCTCTTTCTCAGCAACACGAACAACACCACCACCACAGCCGCGAACCCCACGAGTCCACCGATTACACCACCGGCTATTGCTCCGGTGTTGGACGACTTCTTAGAAGATGGTGAAGAGGTTGACCCTGGAGGAGTGTTTGACGAGGAAGTGCTGAAATAGGTGAGTAACCGATTGCCAAACGAGCAATAACGACGCACGCAGCATCCACGGTAATCATGGCATAGTCAAACAACGCGGTTGTACCATTGGTTTTGCTGGTGCGAAGCACCCACTCAACAGTATGGTTTCCGCTGGAAGACAGACCCGACCGCGAAAAGAAGAGCGATTTGAAAACAAATCCCTCTGCCCCAGTGTAAAGATGGAACCCTGCTGGTTGTCCGTCGAACGAGAACGATACGTTGGCGGGATTCGCAAGGTCAATGCCATAGATGTAGACAGCAGAGCCTAAAAGAGACGATTGAGTGACCCTAGACAGCTGAACGTGTGGCACACCTTGGAATGTGAGCGAGCCTGCACTGTTGTTCGACCCATCATGCCACGTCTGATTGAAGATATCGGTGGCTGGAGGTTGGGCGGAGCAGTAGTCACATCGATTTCCAGGTGAGCTGGCTGCCCATGGGTGGAGCGGAGCGGGGGAGATAGCCGGGTCTTCAAACCAAGAGAAGTAGTCGAGGTTTCCGTCGTCGATTGTGATGTTCGTCAGGGCGGCCGTAATGAGCGGAAATCCAAGTCGCAAGAGCAGGAGCGGCAGCCGCCACATCTCGCTGGAGAGCGGGAGGCGAGAGTGTGAAGGAAAGATGGAGACTTGCAAGTGCGGCATCAGTCATTGTGCCGACGCATCACGGGGTATTGCACCCGCTGTCCAAGCTAAAATCCCAATGAATTGAATTGGGTGTAGGCTGAGCCATAAGATGGTCTAAATAGACTGCCGGTCTAGGGATGTAGGGGAAATAATATGACTTGACAACGACAGAGAGAGAAGACTTACTCACGTGACCATCGGGATCTGCACAACCGATCGGTATTTGTTTAATTTTGCGCCAATGGTTGTTTGATAGGTAGCTTCTCTTCTTTCTAAGTACTCGGAGCTGCCGTTAGCATGTACTATGGACAACATTGTTCAAGGCACAAATAGGCTATTGGATTCAAGTTTCCAAGACCAAGTTATCAGGTCTTTCCGGTTGCATGCTTGTCCAGAGCAGCAGAGCTGAGAAAACTCTACCTATGGATTCTGCGTGAAAGCGCTTGTTTTTCTCTAGCAAATAGGTACTGCGTCAATTCTTTCGGATTCTGTCACGGTACACTGGCCACATTCACAGTAATTACTATAAGATAGTGTTGTTTTTCATCTCAGAGAGAAAGAGGTGTTGAATTGACACTTCCCGATATTGCTTCCTGCACTTTAGAACATGCATAGAGGTATGCGCGCCAATGACGTCGTCAAATCGCAGCCACACGTTGGGACTGAGTGGAATATAAGAATGGTACACTGATCGGCATAGCACGCACCCTTTCCGTTCATGACTCTCCATTCCGTGCAACAGTGTGAAATCAGCAATGAGGTGCTTGTAGGTGGTCGGTGTGATGTTCCCCAGTACCAAGACGTTGGACAAGAGCGGTCCGTGGGCGGTCAGAATGGGACCAATAGAGAGGCCCGTGAGCTTGTACACCCGGGACTGGCTAGCTGAAGCTTTCAATGCGGCTTCCAACGTTGTAAACCTGACAAAACCAAACACTCTAGAACAAGGATGAGGAAGAGTAGCACTGGCTTGCGACACACGTACCCATTCGGCAGGGGATTGATAGATTCAATCTCTCCGAACTGGAGGAAGGTTTCTTGGAGTAGTAGTGCATCTTGCGGGCCCTTGACGAAGATTTGACGCTCAGAAGCGGAGCGGTGGCGAAACGAGAAAAGGTCTGTATATTGCAGACGATGATCAGCGTATTCTGGTCGCTTGCGAAGGGCCTCTAATGCTGCGGTTGCTTCAGCAATGCGTCGGAAGGTGACATGGGCGTGTGCTCTTTATAGGCCAAGGCTTTAGTGAACATGTAAGTTTGCGAACCAGCATACGAGTTACGCACCTGTCCTTGTTGACCACCAGTTTAATGATCTCCCCAAACACAGAGAAGTCAGCTATAAGACGACGCGACATCTCCGGCCCTAGTTCTTCAATATAAAGAGTCCTGCTCGGAATAGTCTGCGGCTGTCGAGACACCCTGATTCGTTGGCCGTTGATAAACACTGGTTCAGCGCGGTTTGCTTTCCGAGCGAAGGCAGCGGCGTAGGTCCTGTTGACAAAAGTGACAGACTGGGAAGTGTCAGCGCATAAGCTACTAAAGAGAACGCAGACACGCACCGCATATGGGCTGAAAGGAGTGAACTTTATTTCCTTCCGCAAATGATCAGGAATGACTCGCTCAATGTCCGCAGTTGCCACATTGGTCGGAAGGTTGGAGAGTCTAAGCGTGTCATCTAAGATGGTGAATTTTCTGGAGGAGCTGAGGCGATAAAACTCACAAGAGTAGGGTTCAGGTGGACTTTGGTTCGTGATACTGGGGAGCACAGGTTTCGGAAGCGCAAATAGGAGTCGCTTTACAGGCCTTTTGGATACTCCCAACATGCTCCAGCTGCTTCTGCAGGGCAGACGCAGAGGCAAGAGGTTCGAGGAGGCAAGAGGAAAAGTTTGTTTGTTGATTATGTAAAATCTTGTGACAATCTGACGATCAAGCTCCAAATATGGAAGTGTGCCCCTATACTGTAGCCTGTGTGACATTTTCGTGTCTGACTGCTTGGAAAATTCATCTCAAGCGAGCATGGTCAATCCGTATTACAAACAAACAATCCTCAAGCTTTAACTTAGTCTAATCTGACCGGCCAACCATTTGCATATCAATTCAATCAATATAATTTGACCTCCGTAACTAGAAGTGTGTCTGAAAAGTTTACACTGGCCTTCACGCCTGATCATGAGTAAGAAGGGGAATGCATTTGAGACTAGACGATCAAGAAAGGGTACACAGTACTACACACAAATGTCAAGGTAAAGACACAGAAGGAAAAGGAAACAGCAATCGACAAGAAATGGAACAAGCAAGAAGCAATACAAGGGAAGGGTGCGCGAAACGGGATTGTGGGAAGATGGATGTGATCTTTAGCTATGTGATGGTAAGAGGGGGCATGGATGCATAGGGTAAGAATAGGAAGAAGAGATTGCCTGTCATGTAAGTATAGGGCATATCTGACTCGTGTTTGCCGCCGACGGGGTCAGAGCCACGTCACATTGCCAGCGGTAACAGGAAACGAGGCAGAGCGGGAAACCGAGGGTGGAGATGAGGTTAAGGGAGAAGCAGCGCTGGGTGCATCCTGGAAAACTGATTAGTAGCCAATAGTGGTGGCACACGACCACATACCATTTCAACGTCGTTGCTTGCAGAATCTGGATCCCATTCACAGAACTGAGGACTGAAAGCGGGAGGAATGACCATTGCCGGGGTAAAGGCTGGTTGTGGTCGAGCTGAGCCGGTTGCGATCAGGGACTGAAGATAGGTTTCAAGGCGAAGCTCCTACAAAAACGCAGTCAGTGTTTGTTTTGGAAGTCTGGTGGAAAGCATACCTCGAAACTCATCGTTTCCAGCCCAGGAATGGCGGTGATACTTTGAAAGATTTCACCCTCTGGTGCCGTATTTGCCTCTCTCGCTCCCGTTGTGTCCGATTCCACCTCCATTGACATTGTAGTCGGCACAGCAGGCGACGACACTGCCCTAGCCACGCGACGAGCTCCAGCAATCTTACGCGGGACCGAAACAATGGGCAACGACTTCTGCAGCCTTAACAAGGTCGAAACATATCCATCGTCACTCCCACTCTGGTCCTCATCGTCAGAGTCGCAGTCGAAAGAAAAGGGGATTTGGTCCAAGTTGAGACTCGTCAAGTCTACCACCGTTCGCGGAGGGAGGGGCTTGGGCTTCTCTCCGGCCCCAATTCCGACTCCCGCAGGAGAAACATAGTTGGTCAGAAGGCCGTCCGCCGCGGGGAGGGGGTCTCGCGGCGTGTAGTAGTGGTCGAGCATTTCGTGGGGTGTTTGAGAATTGAAGGCATAAGAAGTGGAGAAAGTTTTGGTTTTGTAGGCAGGGAACGGAAGGAGTGAAGGTCTCAAACAAGCGTCGCAGCCATGGTGGAGAGAAGCAAAGTTTTAGGTGTGGCACAGCCCCTCGATTGCTAAATTTGGTGTAATTTATTCTGGATGTCGTGCTTTACGCTAATACGAAGCAAATACAACAGTATATGGGCGATGTAGTCCACACAAACAGCAGACTGACTGCGCCTTCCAAATCATCACCGGCTAGAATCATCTCTCGTTTGAAGAGTTGTATCCTGAGAGGCTAATATGGGTCGTGTGCGAAACAATGCTGCCGTTGGGTTTAAGGAAGCCAGACCCACTATTGGAATACTCCCTTGAGTTACTTTCTATACGAAATGCGGGAACATACCGGTCACCACACACGCAAGATAAGCTTGACTGGGCACACCCTCTGAATCGTGAAGACCGCGAAGGCTCAGCATCGTCTGGTCCTTAATTCGCGAGATCTGTGCTTGAGTCGGGATTTTAGGCTCTAGCCGCTTGTTTAACTTCGCAAAAGGGCCGTCGGTTTGCGCTTTCATGGCCTCGAGGGCGGCGGTTGCATCTCGTTTGTCGAGGAAAGCGACGATTACGAACTTCCTGGTTCGCGTGGCGTAAGCTCGCGTCAGACACTGGCTAGGACATACGCACTTACTTGAGCTTGACCGATATTACACTCCGCACTGGCCCAAATTCGCGGAACTGGTCAACCCACCATTTTGGATCAAACATGGCCTTATCCTCGATTTTGTGGATATGCAGCTCGGGAATCACCTTCGGAGTGACAAAGTCTATAACCCCCGGCGCGTGCCAGAGAATTTTACTCCAAGGGTTCCTGTTCCTCCCTTTTTTGCGTTTTCGCGGTTGAGGTGGTTGGCTAGTGTAACGACGCGAGTTGACATGTATAGCCCCGGAGATTCTCGGGCTATATGATGTTTGTGAATTTCGGAGAATCCAAGGGCGTAACTGAGAGCACGATTTGAGCATGCACGGTTAGGCGATGAGGAGAGAGAAGGACGGAAGTGTCCTAGTGACGTGTGTGTGTCACAACAGGATCTACTGTACCTGTTCCTTCAAGTCGTCTGTTGGATTTCTAAAAAAGAGAGCACGACGAGCCGAACGCGGACATTGATTTGCTTGGGTCTCAGCAGTTACCTTGTAGACTTGAGGGATAAGTATGAGTGCTCAAGTTGTGACTGACTACTATAAGTTATCTAGGGACCATATGCCTTATTTAATAATAATAATAATATCTACTGTAAGTATTCAGAAATTCGGTCCTACCGCCATCTGTGAAGTCGTTGTCCAACAAGCTCTCAGCCCCTCGGTATGCAGCTCTGAAATAATATATACCGCAGATGAATACATTAAGCAGTTTCACGCTCGCCGTTTGGCACTCACTGGACCTTTAACAAGCTCATATGGTCCCATCTGGGTACCGAAGACTGGCAGTTTATCTTGCATGAGGCGACCAACGAATATGCAGCTGGCCGGGTTTAGCCCCTCGTATAACTGAAAGTCGAAAAGAGCTTATCGCTGGTCGACGCTGCCAGTGCTTAAGTATCCATATAGCACCGTCTATACGGCCAGAATATCGAAGGAGAGCTGAACGGACTGGCATAACGCATTGTTTTATCATGGGCCCAGCATTATGACCCAGTTGCCAGCCGACGACTCTCTAGCCAATCAAGATGAAGTTATTCGAGGGACTTCCGGAGGTAGACTACTCAGGTAGTTATCTCTAGTGATAAGTTGACATCGCTGAGTTTTAGATCGTCGACGTAGGTACCCATAATGCAGGACTTGTTTTGGTGAGATAAATCTTGAGGAGGGCACACGCCAGTACCACGCTAGTACTGTACAGTGGAAGTGTTACCAGAAGCTGCGCAAGAACTCGAAGTTTGACAAGACGATCGATGCGTGGCTTGGGAGTCTGATACGGATGACAGTTCCTGGCGTAATGCAAGTGAAGCCTGACAGTATACGAAATATATCCAGCCCCCGAGTTCGTCCTGGCACCAAAGAGTGTCGCGGGGAGTTGTTTTGTTATCACGTGATGATGCATGTCGATCAGGAAATCAGCGGCTGTGGCCGCCACAGTCATCATCTTTTCCTTACCCTCGGCCGACAACGATGAGCGACATACCGGTTCCAGGATCCAAGCGAAGACGCTTGAGGGGCTCCTGTAACTTCTGCAAGCAACGAAAAAGTGGGTCTCCCGTTCTCTTGATCGACTTCCCACTGACAAAGCGCCAAAGTACGATGTCGGTCGAGTCCGGTTTTCACCCGTAATTTCAGCTGACGGAACTCAGGCGATAGCTCCCAGATGCCCGGAAATCGATGCTCCAACTGCATATCTTTCAATTTAGAGTGTACACACGACTCGTCAAAGGCAGGACCCTCCAAGGTGCGTGGTAGTCGTATTAGCTCGATGACCTCTGATGTCACTTCAGAAAGAAAGTCCTGCAGACAGTCCCACAAGCCAGGTGAGCAAACACACCTCCCACGACCTAGGTTAATGTTTCCCAGCCCCCCTCCTCCGAAGCGTCCACCCCGAGTTCTAGCAAGACTGCCCAAGAACACGTCGCAGCAATTGTGGTCCAAGCAACAAGTTACATTAAAGACGATGATGTTCGCCGCGTCCTTCTCGACGTTGCGCGCTATGCCAGGGGTTTGGAAAACCAGCTTTCAGACCGTAGAAGCAGTTCTCCTTCATCCCAAAGTCACAGAAGTAGTCCACCAAGCCATGCTAGCTCTCCACCACAGCTTCACATCAAGGAGGAAACGGACGAGCTCTATGTAGATGGACTCCTTTCAGAGCGTTTCGACCGCTTCCGACTCGACTCCGACGCTACTCGCTATTATGGGAAGTCGAGCCATTTCGAGCTTATTAACACCGCCATCGACATTCGGGAGAATCTGGTGGAGCCGGCGACCACGGCTGCCCCGAAGAAGCGTGAAGAGTTTTGGCTCAGTCCTGTGCGTTTTTGTCTATACTCCACCACATTGAATAGTCTGACTCGATCTTACAGTGGGAGCACGAACATTTGCTTCAAGAAGACCCTCCCAAGACCCATCATTTCCCGGAACCCGACTTGCTCGAAAGTCTCGTCAGAATCTTCTTCACCCGCGTCAATGTCATCATCACCCTCCTCCATAGACCGACCTTCGAGCGCCTTCTCGCTGCCGGTCTTCATTTCACTGATCACCACTTTGGCGAGACCGTTCTCGGCGTCTGCGCTGTCGCCTCCAAATTCTCTGATGATCCTCGAGTCATTCTTCCCGGAACGAATACACGACTGAGTTCTGGATGGCAATACTACAAGCAGATTAAGCCCTATCAAAAGTCCTCCCTCCATTCCATCTCTTTACACCAAGCGCAAACGCTTTGCGTATGTCCATTCCGGCTGTCTATCCCAAACACCACTAACGCTGTTTAGTTATGCGTTATTTACATCCAAGGCGGTTCGACACCGGATATGTGCTGGGGTCTCGGTGGCGCCGGCATAAGGTATGCCCAAGAGGTTGGGGTTCATCGCAAAGGCCGATACGAGAACGACCCCGTATTGGCTGAACAATGGAAACGAGTGTTTTGTGTGTCCTTCTCTCTACCCGTTTTTCGTTTGTTGACTGGCAGATAGGGATGCTGCTTTGCATTGATACTCTTGTCAGCTCGTTTGTTGGACGTCCGCGGGCGACTCGGTCTTACGAGTGCGCTCAAACCGATTTCGTTTTGCTTCTCACTGACCGGCGACAGCTATGACCTGGACTATCCTGCTGATTGTGACGACGAATATTGGGAAACCGACGACCCTGAATTAGCGTTCAAGCAACCAGCAGGGCGGCCATCAAGTTCATCCTACATGGTCGCGTATCTGAAGTTGATGGAAATTCTGGGTATGGCGCAAGAAACTATCGTGCGTTGACCTGCTTTCTATCTCTGCTCCAACTAATCACTTGTTCGCCAGTATCTGGTCAACCTGAAGGACAAAAGCAAAGAATGGGTGCAAGATGCTGTTGCCAGCGTTGAGTGGGTGTCCTTACTTTTGATTGGTGCTTTCAGGCTCATTCTGTTTGTATAGCTCGGCTCTGAACGATTGGGCTGACAAGATCCCCGACCACCGTATGTATTAGTCGCTTCACAGCCTTTCCCACTGATTCAATTTGCAGTTCGGTGGGACCCGAATAACGAAGACCCAGTGTTTGCTACCCAAAGCGCTGTTCTCTACGCTGCCTACTATCATGGTGAGCTTTTCTTCCTCCCCTCGCCCCAGACTAACCCGTATATCATAGTCCAGATCCAAGTCCACCGTATCTTCATTATAGCCCCAGGAGCAAATTGCGCCGATCCTGAATGGCGCGAGTCGCAAATCACCAACTCTTTGGCATACGTCTGTCGTTTTTCTTTTGACTTAATGGACGGCAGACTAATGGTTCGTAGAACTATCCTTCCCTGGCGATCTGCGCCAGCTCAGCTCGAGCGTGTAGTCACGTCATGGACGTCGCTTCCCGCAGGGGTTTACTGTGTAACCCGCATGTATTGGTCTGTCGCATCTTCTGTCTTTGCAATTGCGTGCTCATACTCAGCTGACCCATTCCGTCAGAATGCTGTTTTCGATGCCGGCATCATCCTCCTTCTCAACGTCTGGGGTGGGAGGAAAGTTGGCCTAAACGTGGACCCGAAGAAGTGCCTGCAGGACATCGACATCTGCTTACGGGTTTTCAGGGTTTATGAGACAAGGTTCGTTGTCGTTTTTTGTTTGAAATCGGTTCTCAGTTCTTCCAGATGGCAGGTAGCTGGCCGACAACAGTGCATCTTTTTACACCTCCTGAGGGTATTTACTGACTATGACTTCAGTGACATCATCAACGAGCTCATGAGTGCCGCCAATATGGATGTCTATGCCTACGCCCCCAATCCTCTCAAGCGCATCCGCGATGTGGACGTGGACGGTGAACGACAACACGAAGTCAGCAACTCCAACTCGCCAGCTAGCAGCGCTGCAGACAGCATCACCACCCCCAACGAAGTCCACATGACCCTTCCGGGACACCCGATACACTACAACACCGAATACTCGTCTGATCAAGAGGCACCCCAATTCGGCGACTTCTCGTTACCCGTGTCCAGCCACGATCTTGGTCGTATGCCGCTGTACGAGCCGTTCCAAGTGGATTGGGATGTCACGGTGACGGAGAACCTGTGGGGGAAGCAACAACAGACGAATGCGTATGACATGGGCGTGCAGCAGCAGCAGCAACAACAACAAATGTGGTCTCCACCGACATATATGGAGCAGCCTCAACGTGGGTTGTGTGTTCCTCTTTGAACAAGTTTACTAACCATGTTGTTAGACCACATGCAGCACATGCCCCAACACCAACACCAACACCATCGCGACAGTAGCCTGCTTAGTAATCCGGGCCTTCCGGCGGAGGGACTAGAACTATTGCACGGCGCTCCGACTGCCGGCTACGAGTGCGTGTTTCACTACCATGCCGCTACTTGCTCATTCCTCTTGCAGTTGGGACCAGTGGGGGAAATACATCTCCAGCATCGAGGAGTTCATGACCACGCTAGACGGACCCCCGAACCCTCCGTTGCCCAATCACTATTCCCACCCTAGCTATTCGAATGCTAATTACGCTGTCGCTGGTTGATTCATTGGTTTTGTTGTGCGAGCATCTGTACCTATAGCTGTATGTATGATCACTACGTAGCTAGACTAATATAAGGAATTCAAATCCATCCCAAGGTAGACTGCAGGATAAAAGAACAAGTGAAATGTACTAAGTAGCCACATATGTAGGCCCTCAAGAGCCTGGGAGCTACCATAATACATGTACATTGATCTCTCTCTACATAGAGTCCTCGTGCATCTAGCACATAGATTCGAGGCAGAAATTTGATGTTCTACCCTATGTGGTTTAACTATTTTGCCAGGTTTTCTTGCCATGGCCCGGTGGCAAAACACACGGGATTTCCAACTTGGTTAGTCTCTTTTGCATAGAAATTACAAGAATTCCAATGCACCTCCCTTCTTCACAACTTCAAGCTTCTGAACCTCCTGCGACACCACACTGTTCAGCACAGTAGGCATAAATGGCTGTACAGACAGATGGAGACCACTTATATAGGCGTGCAAGTCATGCAGGTAGGGAGGAGCATTGGCAAATGGGTATCTTAGTCTACAACAGGTTCATTGAACTGACTCCTCAGACAATATGGGCATTATTCTACAGGCCATCCTATCCTACATCCTGCTCACAGGGTATACTATGTATGACAGTATGTGGAATTCAAATCCACTCTCCATTGAGCACCGAAGGGATGTCTGGCTCAGAGGTGGCCCAAAGCTCATGGAAGATGTCTAGGACACCTAGATCTTCCTCCTCCTCCGCGACCCGCTTCATTGCTGACATTGATTGCTTTTCAGTATCGATACTGGATTGCTCGAGAACAGACCCACCTTGTCCACGGCCGTCACCTAGCTTCTCCTCCAAATGGCCAACTGCTATTAGTAGCAGCTCAAGACCCGGGTAATCGAGGACCCTCGGTTGCACACTTGGCGCGAACTTCAGTCCTTGCGACGCTCGTCCCCTGCGTCCCCGGCCAAACACATCTTTCATGATGTCTTCCGGCAACTCCGGACCTGGCGTATCAACGGATGGGTTCTTTGCTTGCAGGAGGAATGCCCCTTCAGGTCGGATGTTGAGCTCGTTTTGAACGTGTAGCTCCCCTGAAGCAAGTTCCTCGGGCGATGGGTGCGAAATGGTATAACCAAGGTATGCCTTCTCGTCTGACGGTTTCGTAGCCTCGTTGGTGACAAGCGCATAGCACCCGCGTGCAACAAGACGGGCTGGGGGATCGTGTCGTGTTCCTACTGCAAATGAGCTTCAAGACAGTAGTATATTCGAATGAACTCGACCTCTGGTTTTGGTTTCGTATGTCTTCTCGCCCAATCCTTCCTCCAACTCGTCTAGATCATCTCCCACAGCCGTGACCCGTGCCCAGAATGTTTCCTTCCGCTTGCCTCGCCTGGCGTTCCCGTCAGGATCGGGAAGAGCCTTCTTTCCGAGGGTAATCAGACGGTAATGCTTTGCCTTTGGCCCAGAGTCTTGTGGAGCGGGTACAGCGTCCTCTCCTCGTTCAAGCACGTCCATTTCGTCCACTACAACGGCTTTCGTCCGCTTCGTTGACTTCGTGGTTGTGACACTGAACTTGGGCGGTCGAGGGACAAGCAGCATGTGTACATTCTTGACATCGTCGACAGAGGAAGGCTGGAATGTTTCGACTCGGGGACGGAAGAAGAAGTACACATAGCCGCGTTCAGTAGCCCCTGATCGTTGGGTTAGCCAGCCAGCTAATACCATACCACATCTGACTCACCTGTTTGCCGCACTTGGGTCGCATCCAGCGCTTCTATTTCACCGTTTGGCGCCTCTATCTTGACTTTCTTCGCTGGTGGGCCATCGTCTTTCCTGTTGTCTTCGTCGTCCGATGATGCTGGTGGCTTCAGACTCGAGTTTTGCGGCGCGGGTAATCGGGAGAGGTTGTCTGGCAAATCAGCGGCCGCGTGTATACGCGCTGTCGCCTCGTCCTGCTCAATCCTCTGCGCCTGCCCGCGTGTGGTGACCATGGCGCCGGTGTCGAATCGTGGTTGGAGGCAAGAGCAATAAATGAATCATGACATCACGGGGAAACAATTGGTGCAGGTGGCGGTGGAGACAACATGCACAATGCATTGTGTGGCCTTGACCGATGACCTCGAATGTTTCCAGAGTTTTGCCACCGGGTTGAGACATAGATTAGTCGAGAAAGAGTTGCGTCTGATGACAAATCGTGATTTCACTCCATTTCCATCCCAGCGAATCTGTCACTCATCGAATTCGAAGCTTAAGTATTGACAATGGCTCAGTAAAGACCCCACAGTTTTCATGCTAGATATACACCGTCGAATACTGTCATGTACATGACAGCCATAGTGGGGCATGAAGCGAAATTGACTGCAATAGCAGACGGAGCAACCATGCTACTCTATGAAATAATTGAATGACCAGTGGACTTCCTTACCAAAAGTTGAGGCGGGCATGCGTATTCTCCACAGTTCAAGAAGTTATCACTGAAAAGTCAATAGTATAGTGAATCACAAGGAAAGGGTTGTTATCCACAAATCTCACAATAAGTGTTTGGCTGGCTTTGGCATCCCAAAAAACCACAGCATTTGGCTCAAAGCCAAGCCAGAGATCTTAGGAAAGCTGGGCAAAAATCCATGGCTTTCAGGCCAAACTAAGGCCAGACGACCACTAATTCACAATGACTAGGCAAGAATGAAAGGTAAAACAATATCATAGGGTTAGGTTGCAGATATGTTTCTAGCAATACAGATTGAATAGATAGCAATACGAAATGAATACTTTTTTGGTTCAGTTGTTTTCGACGGGTGGCTTGGTAGGGGGCGACTTCTCCCCATCAACACCATGATATCCATTCATCCCATTAGTGTGAGCTGGCGTCTCTGGAATTTGCGGCACCGTGACGACAGGCGCGGTAGGTGGCGTTGCGACACCAGGAACTACCATAGGCACCGCAGGCCCACCGTTAACAACGACAGAGCTGCCGGGTATGATTCTTGTCGCGGAGGCCGGTGGCTGGGTGTAAGAGACCGTAAGGCCCGGCGCCGCATTCGCCATTGCAGCTCTCCGCTCCTTCACTTTTATCCGCCGTTGCTCCCTCTCCCGCATTCTCTCATCGCGTTCCGTCCGTTCTCGTTCGACCCAGGCAAGGGCTCCTCGGACGGCATTCACCGGCGCCGTTTTGAAGCCTTGGAGATAGCCCTGCAGTTCTGCGGTCGTGAACTCGCCAGGCGGAATACGCGACGCAAAAACGTTGGCGAGGAAAGGCAGAGTCAATGGCTGAGAGTCCAAATCCGGGTCAGGAAGGTCGGCCGTAAGCGGTTGGCGGAAATACGCTGGAGGCGGTGATGCTCGTGGCTCATCTTGATGTACACCGTTGGCAGTAAACTGCGGGAATCGTCGTTCTGGGAAGAACCGCGTGAACAATGCCTCCGCCTGGTCTCTCGTAGCATACTCGTATTGGAGCTTGACGTCAATCCTTCCGGGACGCAACAGTGCCGGGTCAAGGCGCTCGATGTGGTTGGTGGTCGCAAAGAACAGTTTCCCCTCTTCCGAGCCGACACCGTCGATAACGTTGAGGAGACCGGAAAGAGTCACCGCAGTACGAGCAGCTGGGACTGCCATGCGCGCCATTCCACGCACAGACCGGTGGGGATTTGTGTTGTGCATGAAAGCAGTGTAGGCAGCATCGTCCATGTCATCATCGTCATCTCGGGAGGGAAAGGCGCAATCAATGTCTTCGATAACAAAAATGCCGTGTTTGGGAATGGCGCTAGCTGCTCGCTGCAGATATGCATCATCGACACTAACAAAAAAGTGGGTCAAGCAAAAGCCTAATACGGCAGCAACAACTCACAAGCGAGACGACAGTGAGAGAACATATATCTCGAGGTTCAGCGCTCCAGCAAGAGCGTATATCGTTGAAGCTGATTAAGGAGCTCAATGTTGGGTCATGGAAGAACACAATGCTCACTTTTTCCCGTTCCTGGCGGCCCATACAACAAGTAGCCTCTTCGATGAGGAATTCCTGCCTCCGCATACCAGTTTTCGGTGTTAATGAACTCCTTTGCATCTTCCACGATGGAATCGACTACCCCGGTTGGCAGAATAATCGAGCTTAGCGGCCGCTTCATCTTGTGCTTGACACTCGTCCAAAGCTGATTTGGACCAAAGTTCTGTGACGAAAATGAGTGAGAATAGATAAGTGGCTGGGCGGAGTGTACTGAGTCTATCATATGCACGACGACATGAGGTCGATTGACCTGGACGTAGCGGTCGTATGCATCTTCGACAAAGTCGGAGAGAACATTCATGTCAAGCGTGTAGATACTAGAAGACGAAATAAGTAGTATCCATTTAGAGAGCACAAGCACCCACGTCACAGACATACTCGTCCCTTGGCCTCCATAGGGCCCAGCGGGTGTTTCGACAGCGTTTACGTTTCCTAAGCGCTGGATTTCCACCCAGTATCCCCTCCATCGAAAGAGCTGCGGTCTTTGGTATGTTGGAACATACTCTGCATTGATCTTGGACCCTTCTTCTTTGGTGGTAGCCCGTACAGCCCATTTGCGACGCGAATTGTTAGCGGTAACGACAAATTCACGCGACCGGCGCCAAACGTTCTCTTGGGTCAACAACAGGACCACCCATTCGTATGCCGGGTCCCCGCTGTTGAGTCTAATGGTCGTGCAATATTCTAAACAGGAAGAATCATTTCCTGAGTCATTGAGAGCGGGTTTACAAACGCACCAATGCTAAAGCGCGTTATGAACCAACGAAATATCCTCCTGCCAGTCTCAATTACGGAGCCGAGCATCAGCAGCTTGATGCTGGACCCGCCATACGCGTGAAAGAGGGCGTTGGCACTACCAACGAACTCGCCCAGTGCTGAAAACAACCCAACGGACGACGCGACATGCCCGGGCTTTGAAGGGGGATTTGCCGTGTGCAAACTACCCAGAAGCCGTGTTACGAGGGAAGCCATGCTGGCCAAGCGCCCGTTGGTGGGTTTGCAAAGCCTTTTATACTGCGGCGGCTTTTAGCGCGGGCAAGAAAGAGTCAGAGGAAACAAGCGCGCATCATCATCGTGATTTGTCATCCTAGTCGCACGAAAGTTTGCCTGTTTCCAACGCCCAAAAAAAGACTACTACTAGTGATACATGCCATTCAAATCCTTTTAAAACAGTGTTCTACAGTAACCAAAGTCCCTTGTTTCAAGCCCAGTGTGGAACGAAAATAGACGAGTCTGGCAAGTCATAAACACCCCGCGGAAGAGACCCGACATTCAAGACAGCCTCCACCAGCAAGAACATCCGGATGAAGAACTCGAAAGTTCCGACGACAACGATGGCGGAGAAAGTTTCCGAGTACCAGGACGATTCGCCTGCCGCCCAGGCAAATGCGCCACCCAGCAACAGGCCGCCACCACTGATTATGCACGAGGCCACTTGCCAAAAGTGCTGCATCCACGGGGAGGAGAATGTTGCATTCCAGCCTGAAGCGTGAATGAGCCCGTAGAGCACCTCTGCGACGGTGAAGCCGAAAATCATTCGCTTCGTCGCGTATTCCCAAGAGTCGTAGGTGGGAACATTAGACGAACGGAGCACCAGGTACTCGGTTGCTGTGAATTCGAGTGTGGAATCGGAGGATATGAGGTCCCAGGCAAGCCTCCAGCGCACGACGTCCTCCGGTTGCAGTTCAATGCTGGCGATAGGCAACCCAGGTTTTCGCTTTGCCAACGTGACTAAACGCCGATCGTTGTCGAATTGAATCTTGGTGGTGGTCATAAACCGGAGGCCAGTTCCAGGTAGGGTTCCAGCCCCATACCCCAGCGTAACGTTTTCCCGTTTCAGCGAAGTTTTCGAGGAGCGGTCGGTCATCGTTGGCGGTAAGGGTTGATAACCTTCACGTTCTACTGATATCCATTGACATTCAGCAGTTCGTCCCATATATGACGCTACAGGCTTCAAGTTACTGGCGTCTCTTGAAGTCATCTTCCCGCTGACGGAGCTACACATGTACATATACGCGCATAGCTGCCGAAGCTTGGGATTGTCGGTGACAGGAGGAAGGGTAGTCGGGACCGAAATATTCATCGGTTTCTTTGCCCACAAAAGATACGTGAAAAGCGTATAGAGCGCGTGGGCGCCAGTCGTGATTTCAAGGAGGCTGATCGGGAGGTGTTTTGCACCTCGCGATATGCATTGAAGACAGAACCAGCCTGCCTGGAAGGCTACCAGCAGTTTGGCCAGCCCATCCGCTTTGCTCTTGTCCTCGATGTCCTCTTCGGAGATCCGGGGCATCAGTTCTGGGGCTCGTTTGGCAAGAAATAGCAGTCCGTCCGGTGTAAGAGTAAGGCGTTTGACTTGAGGTGGAAGAAATCGATTTGAAGATTTTCCGTTCAGGTCAATTGCATAGCCGCCCATGACAACGTAGAAGCCGTGAATGAGGTCCCAATCTGCTCCGAATGGAGGCAATGATGCATCTACGTCAACCTAGACAGTCAATAAGGACATGGAGAGGGATATTCAGATCACTATAACGCACATCATCCAGTCGAACGGACTCATATGCAGGACCACTCAACCCAACGTATTTTTGCAGTGACCTCCAGGTCGATACCGCTGTTTTCTCCCATTCTGACGAAGAAAGCTCGCTGACGATGCGTTTGGCACTCGAGTATTGGTTCCAGGCGATGAAAGTGACGACTTCAGGGGCCATCAATCCCATTCCCAGCCAAAGGATCTTGCGCATGAATTGTCGTGCTCCGGCCCCAGGCTCAGGAATGTTGAGATGGATCGCGGTCCAAACACACAACCCAAGGGTGAAGATACAGCTCGAGACCAGTCCGTATGTCCCCCCGCGTATTCGCCTCGTCAACCCACCAGGAGGGTCTGTTCCAATTGAAGGTCAGCAGAATTATATGGTTGGAGTTGACCACGCACGCCATGGAGGCTTGAAGTCTTCAGCCTTAGCGCGAGAGTGTGGGGGGAAAGCAAAGAAGAGAAGCGCTGCAATATGTCTAAATTTGACTGCAATTCATCAGGGCCACCGACTTGCGCTTGACAGAAGGAAGGCGTTCATTGCCTCGCCTTGCTTGATTGCCTAATGGCGTTGCCACCGACGGATATATCGTCCACAGCCGCGTATTTCGAACCGCATGGATGCTGCATCGCTTGGGCAACTTGAAGGAATTTTCGTGAAGGCTTTCGAGGAATCAATGTATGGGCTTATCAAGTAGCAGAGGGGTCGGATGAGTGTGATTGAACCGAGGAGGTCATTCGCAATCGTGAACCTGAGTAGGTATGCTGTTGCTAGTGGCAGTAAGAAGAAAAGTGTCTCGAGACCCACTCACGATCAGTATCTGATTTTCAATCACAAGTCCAAAACAGCAACTCCATATGAACAACTCTTATCAACCCATCCACTTCTAAAAAGTCTTGGTCGCGCAAACCAGATTCAAACTCTGCAAAGCCAAAGCCATATGGTATGTACTAGTCGTAGAATCGTGGGTCGTTATTCGTACACTACATAACGCAAAGGGTAAGACAATTCATCTTCAGGTTTGAAATGGTTTCAGGTCACCAGCTGGAAAACGGCTCAATAATGTGCTGAACACGGAGAAAACAACCCTCACCTGTAGTTTTCAGTATGCAGGAACAAGTCCTTACACACGCCAAACCCATCGGCGATGTCGAGCTCGCAGTCAGCAACAGCATTACGGGTGTCATATAGGAAACTATCGGGGCCACAGGCTGCACAGAATTAGTCGTTAGAAAGGGGGATTAACTTGAAAAGAAGTATTTACCGATAACCGCCACGCTACTTGCATTCGCATGAGCCTCGCGAACAATTTCTCCAGTAATAGGCCGTCCGTAGAGGGAAACAAGACCCGCGGAAGCTTCTACGACCTCCGATTCGCTGTCCTTGACATCCTTGTCCGACTCAGTTCGAGTGTAATGCACACGGACGTTCACAGTCGTCTCCGCAGTCCCTCCGTTGGCAAGGGAAGCAACTTGGGACTGCATCCACGCAAAGTTGTCTAATCGAGGGGACTAAGTCATAATCCCGCTCAGTACAAAAAAAAAACACACCAACATCAGGGACGGCGACCACGAAATCGATTTGTTTGACTGCAGGAGCCGACTTGAGCTTGTCTATCAAGTCCGCAAAAATCGGAAGAGTAAAGGTCGCCCCGGTTCCGCCACCAAGAAACACAACCCGCTCGTATTTCTCCAACGTTCGCGGCGAGTGCAGACCACCGTATGGTCCATCAAGTACAACGCGAGTAGACCAGCCCGCCTTTCCAGCAACGCGTCGCTGGAGAGCCCGCGTCAGTCCTCCTCTCGAACGCAATACCAACTCGACGTTGGAATCAGCTTTGTCGGCAGCAGCAACCGAGGCAATTGTGAATGGATGCGATGTGAAGGTATGGACATTGAGCCCCAGGATGCGAATGAAGACGTGCTGGCCAGGGTACCATTTGAATCTGCCAGCAGTAATGCTTATACGGATCAGATCAGGGCCGGCGTCTTCAATTGTTGCCCGCAATCCCAAACCAGTACGATAAAGGGTGCGGATGACGCGGATTAGCCATGCGAGCGTGTATATAGCGGCGGTCGCGTAGAAATAATGCCTGGAACATCTTCAGAGTTGTTCGAAGGGCAGAAAAGTAACCCACCATGATGTGAAGATCCAGTCGACATGACAAAATAGTGCTGCCATGAAGAATCCGGCAGCGCTGCAGATAGGTAAGAACAAACATCGAGGAAAAGTTCGCGGGACAGACATAAAATGCATCTTCTTGAAGAACTCGTAGTAGCGACTGCGAATAGGACCCCATGACATGGCAATGAGCCACGTTTGCGGAACGAGCGCAGCAACGCCGGTCCAGTATAACGAAGTCTCTTTCCACATGGCTTCCATCATGCCCATTTTGATCATATTGACGATGAAGGGGAAAGTGTGGACGAGGGAAGTGATATCTGGAAGTAATTAGTCTTTTTATCGAAAAACGTGGCAGGAAACGAACACATGAAGAAGGCTGCCCAGCGATGGAAAACTTGCAGTTTTTCATGAGATGTGCCCGTCAATATGGTAACAAAGTTTATCTTGGTCGAGAAGGCGCTGGCAAACGGTTTAGGATGAATACGGTAATGTCAGTTAACGCACATCATAAATGGCATTATAGCTAAGGAAATCCACCCAGAGCGAGTGGCTATTGGTGGACTCATTCCCATTGCATGATTGGGCCAGTAGTACGGTCGAACAGCGAGGGTCAAGGCTGAAGGAGGCTTAGCGCTATGGGAGAAAAGAAGTCGAAAACCCATACCGAGGGTAAAGATAGCCAACGCAGAAACGCCAATGACCGCAGCAAGCGGCGGAGTATACCAATTGGTGGGTCTGAAATAAAATTGGCGGGAAGTGGTGTAGCGCAATAATGCCGTCGTTTTGTTCCAAAGAGTGACGCGGGGACCGCCGACGCTATCAAACAGTCAATGGGTTTGGAGTTGCATACCAAGATGGTTAACCGACCTCAAGTCGTGAGCACGAACCCAGCCCAGAACATTTAGGAGGGCCGATGCAAGTATGGCGGTACAGAAGAAGATAACGGTGGTTTGGGCATAGTCCAAATCCGCTGACCACCACTGAAAGAGGGAGATGAGAATAGTGAGAACAGCTGGTGGAAAAGGTCATACACTACGCCATTTGGTGAAGAGTATTCCGCGCTCGTACTCCGTCATAGCATCGAAGTCGTAGCCAGCAGGCACACGGGACATGTGCCAAACGATGGGTTTGTCGATCCAATACATGGTCAGTCGGTCGTTGGTCGGTCGTGGTGGTGGACGAGAAACAAGCCTGCGGAAGCTTGAAAGGGCCTGAAAACAAACAGTTGCCGATTGGAGGCTGTCTAGGCACGGCCGCCATTTGTCCACATTAATCCTACAAACAACCGATCATCAGGTATTCACCCTCCAAAATCATGGAATTCGGAGGCCAAGACTGTTATCGATGGCCGCGGCGACGGTTTCCAGGGTCGCAGTGATGGGAGAATCAATGGGAGAAGGGGAACTCCGGGTCAGGACGAGGGAGGTCGTGGCGGGCGAACCGAGTCAAGATAATGAAGAAACGAGCTGGCTCGCATGATCAACGACGAGCTGCAAGGTAGGAGAGTCGGCATGAGATGGAGGGAGGGTGTCAGTGTAAAGGGTGGTGAGTAGGACGCGTAAATAGAGGTCGGCGAGGTTTTCGTGGTCAATGTTTTGAACAAGGTCCATGTGGTACTGCAAGCTGGGTCAGATGCAACAGATGACACATAAACGCGTATGGCGCACCCAGTGCGGGAGAGTATAGACAAAGGGGAGGTGAGGGACCATCTTTATCTAATGAGGCGGGCAAAAACCTGGTCGAGATGGAGGTCAGGTTCAAGAGCAGGTTGGGTAATTGATCGGCCGATGGCAATGAGTGATTTGTGCGTTGCGCTTGAATGCTATTGGTCCATCAAAAATAGCGTAATCCACCTGGCTGGATTCCTGTCTGAGTCTCAACTCCAGCGATGATGGCAGTTCTCGTTTTTCGACTCTCGAGCCTCTGCAATCTCTCCTTGATATATGTAAGCCAAGCAAGAGCAGTATACCTCGCTCACCAACGCGGATCAATGAATCAGCCAATAGCATTCAAGCGCAACGCACAAATGGCTCATGACCCGCGTCACAAATCAAAAGCTATAAAAGGCTGGATCTGCCTTGATTTCGTTTCTGTTTCCCCCATACCAATCTCCGCCCTCTTTGCAAACCTAAACGCTTCCTCGTAGCATCCCTCCTTCACTGTTCCAAGAAGCATGGACCTCAAACTCGCGCAAAGCTCACTTAGCAAAGCTCACTTAGCAAAGCTCACCTAGCAACCCAGTTCGTCCCAACTTAGGCCAATCCCTCTTTTGTGGTGCGTCTCCCTAGCCATCATGTATGTCTCCACTGAAATACCCTCAAAGTTTGTCATTCCCGCCAAACATAGAAGCGCTTTTCAAGACCTCAACTCACTCGCTAGTACAAAATGCCCTCCCTTCCAAGCGACCCAGCTCGTCTCCCTTATCGCCTCCCATCGTCGCCACATTACCTTACCCCTTGATCTCCGACGTCGCGCATTTCCAACGAACTCGATTTAGTCTAATTTGTCTGTTTCGTTGTCGCAGGGCTATGTGTCTTGGCCTTCCCGGCCAACAACGTTCGCCGCCGTTGCTTTCAAGTTAACAAATTCCACTTGCCCAGAAGACGGGGACGATATACCGCTCTTTCGGGTCTCATAGCCGTGTCACAGAACCAGAAAACGCGCAAGTCAGGATCTCTCCCTTGGTCCACAACCAATAGTTCCACTTTCTTGCTGCACAACATGGATATGGGCTCAATGAACATGACCCATTCTCCGTCCTCGAACGGCACCAGCATGGGCGACATGATGATGATGAAGGCTTACCTTCATTTTGGCGGCGGCGACGCCCTCCTCTTCAAGACAATCGCACCCTCCTCTGCAGGCGCCATCTTTGGTGCTTGTCTCATCCTGTTCCTCATTGCCGTTGGAGAACGCTGGATTTTGGCTATTTCCCGTCGTTTCGCCAAAGCACGAGTCGTTCGGTGAGTTTTCTTGTCTGCTCCGCACCAATTTGACTCAAGTCGTGTATCTAGGTCCCAGCGTCTTCTTCAGAACTATGTTTTCGATGGCAAACCCGCTGACGGAGAACAGTCTTCTAGTCCTACTCCCTTTATCCTTTCACACGAACTCGGACGCGGTTTCCTTGCGGGTCTTCAAGTGACCTTGCACTATCTGTTGATGCTTGTCGTGATGTACGCTGCGGTGCCTTCCTTCCTGCTTATACTGACTACCTTGGCAGGACATTCAACGCGGCATTCATCATCAGTGTAATTCTCGGAGTCGTTGCGGGGGAAATTGCTTTTGGACGATTGTATCGCTAGCCTGTTCTTACAAATATGCGCTCTTTGAATCAATTGGATTTCCTTTGAATATGGCTGCGTTGAAGTCACGGTTCCCAATCCGGAAAGTGACCTGCCAAACACGGCTTGCTTCTGGCAATGAATCATGGAGTCTGACCTCGAACAGCTGCGAGCGCACATTAGAGCGACAGGCTTCAACAGCCCCGTCGCCAATGCCACCATCTCCGGTCCGTCTTCGTACCATCCTTCACTCTGTTTGAGAACCCTTGCTTCAAGCTTACATACGCGCTCACATCCTCGAGCACCCCAACAAGCTGTTCACTACGCGCGCCCCGCCACTTGATATCATTCTTTTTGCAATCAACAATATCTTCGTTGGTCGTGTCCCCCCGCCGATAGACAGCATTCCCGACCTTCTTGATCTACTCACAAGCGCCGAGTTCTATCGCAAGATTGCATTGGAGAAGGCGAACGAGGCATTGAAGCTCCATTTGAAGTACAAAGACACCAGCCCAACACGAACGAGATTGACAGACGAGGAGGAGCAGCAGTTGCGTGGCCATGGGGAGCGGGATGAAAATTTGAGGTCAATATACCTCGAGCTATATCATCAATTTGCTACCTACGTGCGTGACCCGGTTTATTTTCGTTTTTTCGCTCGCTGACAATGGTTGAAACAGCACATGTATGAATTATGGACTTGCCACCCACCCCGCCCAGCCGACATGATTGCCCGTTTCTGCGAGTACTACCCAGAGACTCCTTGGCTTCACCCGCACACCGAGGCTCTCGCTCACCGTCTGTTCTGCCACGATCTTTCTCCAGCGGAACGGGCGGAATGTCGTCAGAGGGGACTTGATATGTGTAAGTTTATGACTGATTCCAGCGAGTGGGCGCAAAAGAACTACCCAGGGTATGCGTTTCTCTCCTCTCTCTCTCGAATGACCTCATTATTCATCCAGAGTTCTCAAATCGCTTGTTTACCAGAAGCCCGAATTTCGCGCCGAAATGCCTTGCGAGGTCGATCAACTTCGTCCCAGTCTTGACTACTACACGAATACGGTGGAGGCTATGGTGAACGAGCTCCAGGATATGTTCCAATCCGACCCGCCGTCGCCAACGATGAATAAGCGAAAGGGTCAGCAACAGGTTTTGACTCGAGGTTAAACAGCGGCAAGACTCCATATTTCTTTGTTCCATGAGTCATAACCCTGACAAGACAAGACAAGACAAGACAAGTATATTCACAGTACTCCTACGTAAGAGCCCATGATGTCGTATCTACATACCTGTGCCCCACATGATATGCTACGACCCCATCCCAGTAGTATCCGTTGTGAGCAGCCTACTCCTTCCAGCAGCCGTCGCGCGGAGCAACCCAAGATGAGGGGAATTTTAAGTATAACATCTGCTAATCGTAATATCGACACTCTGCCATGACAATTTCCATCGCCTCGTGAACAAACTGAGCCAATGAGTTGACCGCCTTCCGGGATGCCAGTGTCTGCCTGAAAAAGTCTGTGTAAGAGCAGTGCAGGAAGGGCCAACTTGAACGTAGGAGCGGCTCCATGCTGAACAGCTCATGGAGGTACTGCTCCGGACTCCCTCCTCCGGACTAAATCCTCGCCAGCCTCACACTCGTACAAAACGTGCATTTCGTCTTCCACACTACTCTTGCACATGCGGCATAGGCGCCTCTCGCGTGGTACCGGTTGAGGGTATCTCAAAACCTCCACGCTTAAGCTATGATTCGTCAGCAGCAATCGAGTCAGCGCTTTTCGATGTGCTGGGATCGTAACCTGTGTAAGATAGTGCCTTCGACGCCGGATAACAAGGTCAAGTTTCCCTTCCTCCGTGAGCTCCACTCGACCGCGTAAGAGGAAGCATTTTGTTCCGCCGTCAGCAAGTTGCAGGTGAGCATCAGTCACCCACACGACCTCCTTCTTTATGGCCCCAATTCTCTCGCTAGGGTTGGTTAGAAATTTCGGCGAGAAACATCTCAGTCGACTCTTCAAGCTACATTATTATTACAGACATTCCATTTCTATCGATTATCTTACGACCATGCCTGGCGCGAGGTCCCGACATGGCGCACTCTCCTCTCACGTCGCCACAGCCTGAGGCCACCCACTGCTCTGCATTTTCTCGGCCGGCTAGCTTCAGAGCTCTCCGATGTCGAAATGATGGATCGTTGTGTGCCCACGCTCGCAAACATAAGATTCACCCAAACATACAGCTGGAGCAAGTGTGGCCCGAACTCCTCGTGGTATGCAGGTACAGGAATGCCCCAGAGGGTCAGCTGGACGTCTGCGCCAGAGGTTGACGAGAGTATAAGGATAAATCATCGACCGTATCGATATTACCACTAATAACTGATTTTGAAATGTACTACTCAAGTCATTAGTACATCAATCCAAAGATTTCAAGCCGTTTACCGTTCGTTGCTTCGCCGCTTCTCACACCATGCAAGAGCTATGGTCGCCATCCAGCGCGGACTCCGGACCGCGGTTAGACCTCTACCGCAGCCCGGGAGAGTTGGCCCTGAGGCGGCAGCTGGAGGATGCGGAAGCGCTATTGTCTTGTTGCTTAGCGGTATCGGTGACGCTGAGCGGTTCTGCCGCAAATGGTTGCCAGTCGCAGCTAGGAGCCCGAAACTATCTAAGCGATATTAGATAGCGGGAGGCAAGCTAGTGGACGATAACAAGGCATAATCAGATAAATTTGGTGGAAGAGGACAACTCAAAACGAGCCTCTGAGAAGCATTAGCCTCTTGATACCAGGTGGCTTACAGACGAAGACAAAAGTTACGGTTTTGCTCAGCCTGTGATATAGGCCCGGCCCCGGGGGGAGGAGTAACTGTGCAATCCTGTCCGCTTTTATTGGTTCCGATTCTTGACTCCACACTGTACAGAGCTTTCCTAGACAGACTCCAGACGTTTGACGCTGTAAATAGCTTTTACTGCACGTTCAGTGGCGCTGAAGATACGTGGAAGCTGGACTCCACACACAGACGTTGAGGAGGACAGGTGATTTTCACAGCTTGTACAGCACAAGCTGCATTTCGGTTCATTTGCAGAGCTTCGATTTTGGTCGAGTTTGACCGCCTCTAATAATCTAGCAAAAGCAGGCTCCGAGGGTTTGCGCAGACAGCCGAAAATGAATCCGCGGGGGCAACTGGGGCGGAACCGGAATAGGGTGGTTGTTGTTGCGGAAGAAGGCTCGGGAAGCATGGTCCGACAGGTGTAAAAGCCACGTCAGAGTACTTATACCCCACCGTCATCTCCGTTGCTTTCCTCATCGCTCACAACGACTAACAAGCCAAGAAACTCGAAAAGCAACAAGACAACGAGTGGAGAGCGAAGGAGCATCAAACGCGTGGAGATTATCCCCATCTGTCGGTTACTCACACCGGCTTCCATCTTGCCCTCTTCCTTCATTCCTTACCCTTATTCCTTTCATTCTCTGACTTCCACCTCTTCCATTCCCTGCGAAACGACCTTTTAAAGACGCGTTAACGACATGTCTGAATCAGACTCGACTACGACGAGTGGTTCAACGACTCCAACGGCAACTACACCTTCCAAAGCACCCAAAATATCCTCTCCACTCAATCCGACTCGTTCCCCAGCAAATTCCCTTCCTTCATCAAGTCGGCCGCCCCAATTACCCTCACCACCGACAACGGGGCGACCAAGAGGCCATTCTGCCTCACTTGGCGCCAGTCATCGGTCCACTTCCCCATCGCCATTGCGTGGGGGACCGGCCCAGACCCCGAGGACGGCCTCACCTGGGACCAGTACAACCAGCTTCGGAATGGCGCTTGAAGTTGCCTCACCAACTGGCTCAAGATCACGCTTAGATCTACCCCCAGAATCGCCAACCTCCACTTCCCGCTCCCGTTCACGCTCTCCACAACCACACGATCGACTCGTGGCCAGCGAGCTGCTCGAGCACCCACAAACACCACCTAATGCTCCGCCATCAACTTGGTGGGGCCGGAATATACGGAAGGAACGACCATGGCGCGAGCCAACATCGCCTGACGCGTCGCCGACTCAGAGCCCGAAGATTGCACCCACAATTCCGAAAGCAGTCATACGGGAAGCAGCTGGAACGGGTAGAGCGGGTCAAGCAAGGGCAAATGCTTCAGATGAATGGGATGACGACCATCACTCGCTGTTTGCGGCACCGCTGAAACGGAAGCAGACGGTCCCAAAAGAGCAGACAGAGGGCTGGGAACATACTCGAGAGGTGCGTTTCCCGCACTATCATGTCCTTTTACTGATGCTTTCTTAGCGCGTCAGTCAAGCGTTGCGAGAACTACTTCCAACTGCGTTGCTAATAACTCACGACCTGCTTGAAGTGGGTGCCGAAGTCCTGGAATTTGTGCCCATTCCAGGTTTGGAAGTGGCAGCCTCTTTATTACTCAATATTTGGGACACCGTCGAGAAAGTCGATGTGCGTATCTCACTCTCCGTCATCACATTCCCGAAACACCACTTCAGATGAATCGTCTTGCTTGCCTGCGATTGGTAGAGCGGTCAGCCAACCTGCTCATGTCCGTCGTGCAAGAGGTACGGAGTATGGGGAACCGAGTAGAGGCGGACATGCAAGAACCTTTGCAAAAGCTTGTCGAGTGGGTTCTTCTGCATGTTGCCAAACTGACTCTGAACTCCATTTAGAACTTTCACCCAAGTTCGGGACCTCCTCCTAAAACAAGCCCATCGTCCGTTTTTAAAGCGGTACCTGAAGCGAGAGGAAACCGCTCGTGCTATCTCTAGTTGTGATACATCGCTAACGGATGCATTGTCGATGTTCTCCGTGCGTGCCTGTTCAATCCTCCTCCTTGACTTCATTGAGCTGCTCCCTAGATTAGCGTTCAAATTCGCACATACAAGCAGGTAGTTGGCCAAGAGGCCCGCCGGGAAGCGGAGAATCGTGCTCTCATTGACGCTATTACTCGGGCTCAGCAAGGAAATGCTCTCGGGATCAGTATCGAGCAGAATCAGCTTACGCCTCGTCCTAGCACGGCAGACCTGCCTCTTGACCATCGGGACCTCCTTCCTGCCTTGCGCGACATCCAAATCTCCCAAAATACCCTCGACTCCGTGCACGATATGGCAGACCTGCGGGCGCTGCTACGAGATGCCTTGGCTCAAAGTAGCGATGTGGAGATGTTACGCATCCTGCAGGTGTGTTGTTTTTGTCCACTTCCTTGTAGTTTTGCTCAGACAAAGCCATAGGTTGGACGAGCTGAAATGCCCGAAGCCCTGAAGACACTGCAACGCGCCCTTGAACGCGTTAGTGCAGTTCCAGCCTCCCCAATCCTACCACCGGCTCCTCCTCCCTATACCGCTCGTGGCGCAACTGTCGAGCGTTCTGGCACTTTGGACAGCTCTGATAGCAGCAGCAGCGGTAGTGCTGGATACGGAACGGGCCGCGACACGCTTGATAGGGAGTTTATCGAGGGAGGAATAGACGCTTTGAGACGGATGAGCAAAGGTGGACCAATGTTACCCAGTTGGACCATTACTCGGTGAGGACATTTTTGTTATTGTTTTTTTGTCATTATTCTCACTGTGCATAGCTATGAAGTCGACCGCGATGTCAAGATCGGCATTGGTTTCTTCAGCGACGTGTACAAGGGCACCTGGCGCGGCATGACTGTTGCAATCAAGTGTCTCGTCGAGAGTACTCCACGGGACTTGTTCTTACGCGAAGTCAATATCTGGAAAGAGCTCAAGCATCCGAATGTGCTCGAGCTTTACGGCGCCAGTGGGGCAAGCGGAGACGGACCGTGGTTCTTTGTGTGCCCCTATATGCGGTTTGGAAGCCTCAGTACATTCTTGAGGCGGGTCGCGCAACAGGGCGACGAGGTTAGGGACGGAAGGGAAAGCGATCTGTTAAGGTTCATGCATGAAATCGCCAAGGGAATGGAGTACCTTCATGGAAAGGGAGTTTTACATGGTGATCTCAAGGTCTGTCTCATTCACTTGACTCTTTTTTTGTTCTGTGTTAACTTGATATAGACGGCCAATGTACTCGTCGACGACCGGATTCACTGTCTCGTATGTGACTTCGGTCAGAGCGAGATGAAGTCCGAAGCATTCCGTATCAGTGGGACAGCTCCTCCTCGTATGTTTTCTCACATTCCTGATTTCTTTTTCTGACCGAACCTTTCTCAGATGGTACTCTTCGATGGCAAGCGCCTGAGCTGATGCTCGGCTCCGATGAGCTTACTCCTGCAATGGATGTGTACTCCTATTCCATTTGCTGCATCGAGATCCTACTCATGGGTCGATTGCCTTGGCCGCTTATGGGGGATGACGCTGTTAGGAACTTCGTTCTTCGTGCGCTTCCCCTTGTACCATAGCTTCATACTAATTGCTTCCAGACGACAAAACACGGCCGCAGATTCCGGCTTCGCGGTATACAAGTCCTGCCCTTGAACGAATCTTGCGACTCTGCTGGGCGGAAGACCCTTCTGTCCGCCCACGGTTTTCCACCATCGTGAAAGAGATGAAGCAACTTCGACGAGATGCCGAGCTGCCCTTTGCTGGCTTTGCAGACGACTTCATCTCGCCACCAGTGTCTCCAAATCGCCCTGATTGGCATGAAATTGAGGAGGTCAGCTCAAGACCGTCGCCTGATATGCATCCGGTGCCGCTGCCCAAGACTCCGCGTAAGTTAGATTCATTTTCACTCTCTCATATTTACGCTGTTTGTAGCGATGGATGTGCCAGTTCCATTCCCGTCGCAAGTATCATCGACATCCCCGGAACCTTCCTCAATGTCGTCTTACCACACTGGCCTGTCGCATTCTCATTCTCCAGAGATGGTCGCCCATCACGAAGATACTGTCTCCTCCTCTGGCACAGATGTTCCAGAGCCAGTTGTCTTCTCGGCGACAGCGTCGAGCGCGTCTTCATTATTCACGCCAAGTACAAAAAGCTCGTCAGCAGACGACCTCCGTGACTTGCTATTGAGCCAAAGCGGGTACGAGTCGCCTGTCCCGATGGACGAACACGTGATAGAAATACGGAACGAGAGAAGGTATAGGATGCTGCTGGTGCACGAATTCCACCCGTCATGTACGTGGTTTGTCTCCTTCACTCCCTGTCTGATAGTTAAACCAGTAACTCTCGCACTTTGGCATCCAACTCCAATCGCTCTGGGTGCTGTTGGTTTCCTGCACAAGCCCAGCGGGAACTTTGTTACGCTGTTCAACTGCTTCTACCCCGAGAGGTCGACTACCGCCAACGGATCGGCCAACACTGGCGGTTACACTTTACCGTCAGTATATGGCTATGGCAGAGTCTCCACGGGAAACCAGCGACAAGACAAACGGACAGCGGCACAACGGGGGCTTGATGCGATTGCGGGCCTGTTAACGTTCTCCGGTGGGAGTAAGATCGCGAAAGACGGTGGTGTCACGTGCGTTCCTCGTCTCCGAAAAAAAGTCGACGGCTTACTTAATCACACTGCAGACAAAACGTCAGTCGACGATACTCCTTCCCGCTCCGTTCCGGCCACAAAGTCGCGTATTTGTGCACGGAAACGACTGTTTACAAGTACATGGAGAGCTTGGATGCGCCGAAGAAGTGGTTCCGGGCCAACATCGACTCGATCATGAAGCAGTATGGGAGCTTGCACCAAATTCAGAAGGAGGACGTATATCTCGGTTGGTGATCTCGCTTCAACGCTTGTTTCTTCAACTGATAACTTGCTCGATGTAGTCATTGGGACCCTGGACACACCAGACTACGGCCTGTTTGTGAGCCACAACCACCCTGATGGGCAAGCGCACTTCAATGTGTACTCTTCGCCCAAAGGCGCCCAGCCCTGGGGGACATTCACGACCGATTCGGAGCTTGAACAGGGGGGACCTTCCTACAACGAGCCGATCCATGGCACGCCGGTTTCTGCGAGCAAAGTCTCCCAGGCAGGTGGACCATGGGAGACTGTCCTTGTCGCGAGGCTGAGATTCAAGCCGGATGTTTTGGAGCCCACGTCATTGTGACCTTGTAGATTATTCGGACTGCTTACTTACTCATCCATTTGTACTGACGGAACCGCGGAGATGGACTTGACACACACACACACACATTAGTACTTGACATGTAAATCTAGCTACAGAGCTCAAAAAGCAAAGAATCAAGATCCGTAATCATTGGATTGATATGGAAACAGTTGAGATTAGATTGACTTGAAGCTTGAGGACTGACCATGCTCGCTTGAGATGAATTTTCCAAGCAGTCAGATCATAGATAAGTACCTCCCACCCTCTTACCACCACATAGCTACAGATCCAATCCATCTTACCACAATCCCGTTTCGCGCACCCTTGTACTGCTTCTTGCTTGTTCCATTTCTTGTCGATTGCTAGTGCACAAAGAAACAGGCTGTTTCTTTGTCCACAGTCCTTCAAGTTCTAAGTTCTGTGTCTTGACCTTGATATTTGTGCGTAGTACTGGGTACCCTTTCTTGATTGTCTATTCTCAAATGCATTTCCCTCTTTACCAATGATCAGGCGTGAAGGCTGTTGTGAAACTTTTCAGACATTGATAGCGCGAAAGACGACCTGTCACGTGATCAGAGTGTGACAACCGCACTTGCTTGACAGCCAACCACATTAACAATGTTGATCCAGCGCGACTACCTGACCGCCGTACCATCCGAAATATGGCTCAACTGCTGGAGCCTCTGCACCACGCCAGAACTCATGCGCCTCTGCCTTACTTGCCGTGCTTTCGCAGTCATTTGCCAACCCTTGCGTTTTCGGCGGATGCATCGACACCCTCCTACGGATGAGGCGCTTAGGAATAATGGGAGCTCATTGGAGAAGCTCGCGGAAGACGTGGAGCGTAGACTGTCGCTATTCGAAGGGTTTGTGGCCAGCCCGTATGTATCGGCAGTTCGGTCGTGGCATTTCAGCCGGGTGCGGATAGCTAAATCAGAGGACTTGCTCGACTCCGTCAAACTTACCTTTGCCTGGTTGAACTTCTTGGACGTTTTTCTGGGCTCGTTGGGCGCGTTCAGTCGGACGACCAAACTCACTTTACTCGCATTCGACTTTGATGAAATCGTCTGGGACGCCTTGCAAGCTCTTGCGAGCCTTGAAGACCTGACATTCTCGTCGTCTCACGTGGAGGAGAATCCCGGACCTCCGTTGAAGCTCAAGCATTTGCGTGTGGTGTTGGTTTGGCCGCGGAACGGAGGAGAAACCTGTGAAGCTGACCAATTGCGGATCGCTGCCCCAGAAACGCTGGTGGAATTGGAGACGCCTTATTCCCATCATGTCTACCCGCTTCTCCTGGCCTTCGTTGTCGACTCTACTCCCCTCCTCCAGCTCACCAGGCTGCAACTCGACCTCATCTACAATATATTGCCCATTTTGTCGTCCTTCCTCGCCCTATGCCCGAACCTCGCCTCGCTGGAACTCGTCTTCACTGGTGAAGCTCCCCAGATCATTCACTATCCGGACACCTTTCCCAAGTCTACCATTCCGAGTTTGCGCTCGCTCATAGCCCCGCTCCCGTTGGTCAATGCTATTGTCCCTGATCGTCCCATCCGCGATTTGGTCGTTGATCCGTATCCGGGAATCGAAGGGTGGGACGAGGTTAGGCAGGTGCTGGACAACATCAAGTCTGGCTCAATCGAAAACCTCACGCTTCACCACCACATTCCTCCGCAAGAGACAGAAAACGTGCTTACGGAGATAGGTCAACGTTTTCCGGGGCTTCAGTCGTTGTCCATTCACATCGAGGAGCCGGAGTCATATATGTTGGTCGTAGATCTCACGGAGGATGAGGATGAAGATTGTGTTTCTGCAGAGAAACAAAAGCAAGTTACCACCCGGGCCGAAGCGAAATTGCCAGCCACAGAACTGCCAGGTCATCGATACGGTCTGTTTTACAGACATTCTCCGAGCGGCATACTGAGGTCTTTCTTAGATTCCCGCGGTCTAGAACAACCTCCGCCCACACTCACATCTGCTTTGCTCGATCTGCCGCTCCCGGTGACCTTTTATCTTCTTCGATGATGTCTGTTTTTTGACCTTCGGCTCAGTCTGCTCAGACAGAACTTGCTCTGCGTCATTTGCTGTCGCCCAGATTGGAGCTACCGGTGGGGTTGAAGACGTTCAAAGTGTCTTTTGGTCATGAAATCGCGCTCTCCGAGTCGGTCCAGCATCTTGTGCTCCTCCGGCTCGAGAGGGCGCTCCCAACATTGCAGACGCTCACGCTTTGTCGTCAGAGCTGGGTCCGCGACCACCACTTGTGGACGACGCGGCCCGGGATGAAGAGGGTCAAGATTGTGTCCCGGGCATGGCAGGAGGACGGTACTCGGTTGGATGGAGACATTTGAAACGAGATGTTGCCACACGAGCGAGTCTGAGTGCAGTCGGGGGGAAAATAGGAGGATTTAATTAGCCGCGAACTGAAATCTTCAATGATAAAGCTTATTGCTATTTTCAAAAATGATGGCATTCTGAAAAAATATATCTTGTGTGATGGTTAGGCTCATAATTGGAAAAGTGTCATGTTTCGTGTCCCTTGCCGCTGGCTACTACTCCAACTCTTACTTACTACTATGCATATATACTCCCTACAAACAAAACCGTAGGGACCAGGAGGGTTCAGACATATTGACACTGGCACCGACGCCTATTGAATCTCCCCCGGGCCCCAGATGCTTTCCCAACTAGGCGACGACTCTAGTCTCTCGTCATGAGATCATCAAGTTTGCAATGGGTCTGGAATGTTGGCTGCAGCATTATTGATACAGTCTTGAGTGACGGCACAAGAAATAGTATGTGTTGCTGTAGGACATGGGAGACTGAGTATGTATGAGATTTTTTTTTTTTTATTTGAAATGCCATCATTTTTGAAAATAGCAATAACGTCAGAGAAAGTGGCGAGTGGGGTGTTTTGTTTGCCTGAGGGAATATGAATTGAACTTGCAAATCTTGATCGTGAGTGTATTCTAAGTGTATTCCAACCCTTTTGACGACCTCGACCAATCGTCGACGAATGGGGAAGCTGTCAAAAAAAGGCGTGCGACCTGGTCGATCGAGAACGTTAGAAGTTTAGGGAACAACGGCGTTGATGGCGTTGATCGCGTCGGGTTATAAGTGTGTAATTAATTTTTATTGTAGAAAAAAATCAGAGCTTGTAAAATTTCGGGGTATTTCTTGGTGTTGCTAAATTCTTGACTGACTTAATGAATGAGGAGAGGGTTCTGCCAAGCTCTGCGTCCTCATTTTAGCATCAACATCAGCGTCAACGTCAGCGTCAGCGTCAGCGTCAGCGCGCAGCGTCAGCATCGGCGTCGGCGTCAGCGTCGGGCGTCAGCGTCAGCATCTGCGTCAGCATCTGCGTCAGCGTCAGCATCTGCGTCAGCATCTGCGTCAGCGTCAGCATCTGTGTCAGCAATGTTCTCACGTCAGATTGCACTTTTGCGTCAGACAATGGTCATATAAAACATCTAATTCTCCTGCAATCATGTACCAACAACTTCCCATGCGCTATAATCCAGTTGTCCTTCACCAGCTTATCTCTCATCTTCCTATTGTCGCATATGGGCTGCTTGCCTCTGCTACCTGGGTTGTGAACCAGAGTCTCTCAACCCCCAAGGTGTGTTTGTAGTCTTCCTTTTGGTTTTGGCACCTGCTGACTTACTACAGCTCTTCCTCCTTGAAACTTGCTCAGAGGAATACAATCTTGATAAGAAGATTCTGCGCGTGACTTCGGTGCGTCATTATTTCACACTTCAGCGTTCTGTTTGCTTACCTTTCTTTGTCTTGTGCGCCAGTCTCGCGCTATTTTCGCAAGGGGGGACACCTCCTGCAGCGCCATAGCCTCCCTCCTTTCCCCTGGTGACCATTCTGCTTATAAGTTGGATGTGGGTGCCATTGGAGTCCCGCCCGCGTTCAAGGGTTCTGTTTCCCATCGGCATGGTTGGCCGAGTTGATGGGATCACATTGGCTGACGCGGGGGTGACACTGACGAATGGACGCGGCGTTTGCGTTGCACTTCTCAGCCTGGCTGACGCGGGTGTGACACTGACGCTGACGCGTCAACGGACGCGGCGTTTGCGTTGCAATTCAGTGGACCTAGATCTCTGACATGAACGCTGACGCTAGATCATTGCAGCAACCAGGCCATCACAGTGTCACAGTGATGTGACACTGTGCCTACGTCACCTGTCACGGCGCCGTCACATGGGATCAACCGCCGTTGATGTGGAGAGTTGGGTCGTTCTGGGTCGATTGGTCGACGTCGTTCTGGCGCTGCAGGAGGTGTCCCCCCTTGCGAAAATAGCGCGAGACTGGCGCACAAGACAAAGAAAGGTAAGCAAACAGAACGCTGAAGTGTGAAATAATGACGCACCGAAGTCACGCGCAGAATCTTCTTATCAAGATTGTATTCCTCTGAGCAAGTTTCAAGGAGGAAGAGCTGTAGTAAGTCAGCAGGTGCCAAAACCAAAAGGAAGACTACAAACACACCTTGGGGGTTGAGAGACTCTGGTTCACAACCCAGGTAGCAGAGGCAAGCAGCCCATATGCGACAATAGGAAGATGAGAGATAAGCTGGTGAAGGACAACTGGATTATAGCGCATGGGAAGTTGTTGGTACATGATTGCAGGAGAATTAGATGTTTTATATGACCATTGTCTGACGCAAAAGTGCAATCTGACGTGAGAACATTGCTGACACAGATGCTGACGCTGACGCAGATGCTGACGCAGATGCTGACGCTGACGCAGATGCTGACGCAGATGCTGACGCTGACGCCGACGCTGACGCCGACGCCGATGCTGACGCTGACGCGCTGACGCTGACGCTGACGCTGACGTTGACGCTGATGTTGATGCTAAAATGAGGACGCAGAGCTTGGCAGAACCCTCTCCTCATTCATTAAGTCAGTCAAGAATTTAGCAACACCAAGAAATACCCCGAAATTTTACAAGCTCTGATTTTTTTCTACAATAAAAATTAATTACACACTTATAACCCGACGCGATCAACGCCATCAACGCCGTTGTTCCCTAAACTTCTAACGTTCTCGATCCGATCGCCCGATTGGTGTAGGAATTCGTGTGGTCCGGCCCGATGCGCCGTCTATGACTCAGCCATCATAATTCTCAAGGCTGTGTGACTCCTCCGTTTCATAAGTACTTAGGGTCACTCGCTCGAAAGTCATTGGACCAACACGTCGCTGGTAGAGATGCTGTCGACATCTGGCCTCATTGGCAGGCCACACTTCCCGAACGAGCTTTGGATGATGATCTTCGATTTCGCGGAGGATGTCAAGACGCTTGCAGCAGTATCTCGTACCTCTCGCAACTTCCACGCAACAAGTGTGGATGCTCTAATTCGCCATGTCGTATGGCGAAGCCCAGAGGCCGCATGGCGACATCTGTCGACATTCTGGCGTTGCTTTCCTGAAAAGCGCTGTCGCATGCGCTCCTTAATGCTGGATTTTACGCCAGAAACGCGTGGGGATTATACCTCAAGTGCGTCTCATCAGTAAAGCTCAAGTCATATCACTGACAAGGGTACATAGATGTGTTCCAGGACATCACGATTTTCCACGGTGGTCTTTCTCGACTCGTTGTTTCCGGCGTTGCTCTTCCCGATTCTTTCTTCCGTATGCTGGTTGCGTTGCCTCAACTTTGTTTCCTCAATCTTCGTCAATGCGTCGTCCCTGCGCCTCCAAATTGCCTATCGTCGCCTCCACCACTGAAGACCCTTGCACTGACATATTTGACATCATACCAACATTACAAGTACTCTCCATATTTTCCGCACCTCTTTCCGGATGTTCTGTCCCTCTCGATTGACCGTGGCGTTCATGAATACCGCAACGAACTTGTTCATGTCCCCCGAGCATGCAGTCCCCAACATCTCACAATGGGAGTCGGTGTATGGGAAGAATTCAGCGACTATTATTGCTCTGCACTCCATTACTTTGGGCTGTCAAAGCTCGAGACCCTCACTATCATTCTTCCCAGTCTCTACTATGAGCCACACAACGAGTATCACATGTGTTGAAATGACCAACTCAGCGGCAAACTCGAGTCAGCCCGAGTCACCGCCACACCGACTCACTGCGCTGATGCGCGCCGACTCATTTGTACTTGACTCATACTTTTTCTGACTCCTTCTATGACTCCCTCTAGTAGTATAAATACAGCACCTGTAAATTAGCTAGAGACATTGAATTTACTACCTATTCTTTCAACAGGTTATGGGCCCCGGCCTGAACTAATCCACCCAAAGACTTCTACCCATCGCGCGAACTTGTCACACTCGATCCCCATCACACCAACTTGCCCACATCATGTCCGAATTGACCACCTACCCGCGTAACACCATCAAAGCCCTCGAAGACCAAGCTGGGTACTCCACTTGGCGCGTTAAGATTCTCGACCTGTTGACCGAGCATGACCTGGAAGAGTACTTGACAGGTGATCAGACTGAACCGCCAAAGGCTGCAAAAGACGACGCACCTACGGCAGATGAGCAGAAGGCGAAAGCGGCATGGGAGAAGAAGCAGCGGAAGGTACTGTCCGTGCTTAGACAGCGCGTCGGCGACAAGCCGATGGCTTACATCAACACGATGACTCTGGGGATTGCCGCGTGGCGGAAGCTCGAGTCAATTTACCGGCCCAAGGGAGCCATCTCTGTCATTCGTCTCCGTCGACAGCTCTATCACACCTCGTGCGCCGAGGGTGAAAACATTGAAGAACACATCCGCACGCTCACATCGACTCGTACCGAACTGGTCCGATACGGCACCGACATGACCGAGGCCGAATTCGCGATCATCATTCTCACGTCTCTTCCCACGTCATGGGACAACTGGGTAAACGGCATTGACCTCACGACAATCACCGACTCAGAAGATATCATTGGCCGAATACTACAACAAGCTGGACGACCCGGAGCTAAGCCGGACGCCGACATGGATACTACCACGGCGTTGCCTGCGCGACACAGCTCGGGAGGCGGCACTCAGACCCGCCAAGACGGATGCTGGAACTGCGGTCGGCCCGGACACCGACGCGACCAGTGCCGTGATGCGCAAAATGGAATCACCTACACGGAACAACAAAAGGAGGACAACTATGCTCGCACCATGCGCTATCGAGCGCGGAATGGTGGCCAGAGCTCCGGCACATCAGACACGGCCAATTTGGCCCGGACATCCGACATCGTATTCATGGCTCACGAGACACAACCACGGCTTACGCGCCAATCCTGGCTGCTCGACAGCTGCGCTAGCACACACATCACCAACGACAAATCCTTGTTCCATACATTCACGGCCCTTGACAATCATCATGTCACCGGCATCGGCAAACTCGCAGCGCCCGGAGAAGGCACGGTCCGACTCCAATTCACACTAGGCTCAACGACAAACACAGTGAAGCTACTCAACGTACTCTATGTTCCTGCAGCACCCCACAACATCATCTCTCTCGGACGCCTCAACCGCGGAGGCTACACCATCGACTTCCCTTCCGGCTCTCTCGACGTCATCATCTCCAAAGATGGACAGCGCTTGGCGCACTGCCGCAACGTGGGAGACGTATACGCCCTTGGCAACGTTTCTCCGGCCTCCCCAGTCCCCAGCAACGACGACGACGACGACTATTGGCATGGCCCTGCCCCAGCGAAAGACCCTCTGCCGAGCAAGGGGGAGCAAATGACCCCACCGTTTACACCTGCCAAACGACAGCCAACAGTCCCACCCCGCACTCCGGCTAAACCGCCTGTCTCTGCGGCGCCAAGTGCACTAACACCACTCTCATCCCGCGTTCCAAGCCCGGAACAGACCCCGCCACCACACGTCCCGCCGAAACACATTAGCGCCGACATTACAACTGACAATATCATACTCGGCCCACGCACCCGCACCTACGCCAAGCCCGGCTCATCCTTCGTCGCAATCGAAGCCTCTAACGGAGGCAAGTTCACCTCTGCGCACATCAACCCGAACTCGGACGGACCCGAGTTTGAGGGGGAGTGTTGAAATGACCAACTCAGCGGCAAACTCGAGTCAGCCCGAGTCACCGCCACACCGACTCACTGCGCTGATGCGCGCCGACTCATTTGTACTTGACTCATACTTTTTCTGACTCCTTCTATGACTCCCTCTAGTAGTATAAATACAGCACCTGTAAATTAGCTAGAGACATTGAATTTACTACCTATTCTTTCAACAACATGTACGACATAGACGATTCAGTCCCTCTTCTTCGACTCCAGGCACTCGTTGCGCCGCGTCAAGTTATTTTCCATTTGTTGCCGGCCACGACCCTTGGCCCGGGACTGGTCACCGTTGCTGTCCAGGGGACTCTTCTAACCCGCAAGGACGGTTTTGAAGTTGTTGACAAAGTCGTGTTTTATGGCCATTCTCCATCCCTCAAAAAATTCGCTCTCACTCTTATATCCTGGGACGATGCTGCTTCTCTCGCTGAGTACATCGCCACTCGGCTCCCGCATTTGGAGGCACTAGAACTTCTCTACCATCAAGGCGGACCATCGAAAGTTCGTCTTTTAACTGGTTGGTAGTATCACTTGTTGATCGTATTCCAGTCTGGCCTCGAGGTTCTCAGTGCAAAACATCTCAGTCGGCTCTCCAAGTTGCATACCTTGCATTTTCATCGCTTTCCCGACGGATGGTATGACTATGCCTGGCGCGAAATACCGGAATGGCTCCTCCCACACACGCTCCGACCCAAGAGTCCGCCCACTCAATCAGCACGCCCACTACACACGCTCAGCGAGCTGGCATTGGAGCTCTCATATGTCGAGACAGTCGCTTGTCGTGTTCCCTCGCTCGAGAAGATAAAATTCAACGAAGGAGGCGTGAGCTGGAGTAGGTCTGGCCCAAATTTCACGTGGAGTGCGGGTACAGATAGTGCCCAGAGGGTCAGCTGGACGTCTGCACCGGAAGTTGACGAGAGCATGCGTGTCATTCACAAGCCCAGGGGCCGGTATTTCCTTGACGGCCAGTGGCCACTGGCATTATAATAATAATACTAAAAAATCTTATACTCAGACAAAAGCTACGACACGATAAAGTGGTCGGTCAGTGTGCAATCCAGCTCCTCGCGCAACTTCGTCAACATTTCTACGCACTCCCGCGGCGCGTTGGCGCCGTTCCTCTCCGCCCAATCGAGGAAAGCACGGAGGTCCGGGCCGGAGCTGAGCAACGCGGCCAGCCACTCTTGGCCGCCCAAAAGACAGCGGCACCGTGCGACCGGGGCATTGGCATAACGCGGCGGGCAGCTATGCTCGCGCAACTCTTGCGCCACGCGCTGACCACAAGCAGTCAGCGAGAAGTGGCCATTGCGTAGCCTGCGCTCGTCAATGGCGTCTAGACCGTTGGTGTTGAATCTTATGGGTGTTAAGATCGTATCCGCGGGCTGGGTCTTGGTGAGCTTGCAGAGGGTGACATAGTAGACCTCCCCCAGCAGCCGCCGAAAGCCATTGGACTCGGCTATTTCAACTGCCTGAGGCAGCAGAATGGTATCGTCTGCCACGTAGTCGACTAGTGTTGCCTCGAGGCGGCGCTCGAGTTGTTTCTGAACGCCAAATTCGTTGAAGAGCTGGATACCTTGAAGGAAGCGGAGTAGTTTGACGCAAAGCTGTGGCGGGAACTGGTCGTGTGGGAGAGCGTCGGCGGGCTTTTTTGGAGGCATGCCCAAGGAGAATGTGGTGCATGATTTCGAGGGTCCAGCTGACCCTGTTCTGGATTTGGTGGGCGTGGGCGAATTTGTATGCTTGCATGAATGTCTCGAGATCCGCAGGGGTTCGCTTGTTATCGCATTTGCGTCTGTGACCAAGTTGTCAACTGGGAACACTGCCACACTGGCAGAGAGTGACGGCGACTTACTTGTCATACTCCAATTCCAGAAATGCGTCCAGCCCGCAGGCGTCTTCGGGACTCAGTACAAGCGGGCTATCCTCCGTCGCTGGTTCATTCAATCGCCGCGAAAAAGTCGTTGTTTCGTAATCAGGAGCGAGTATGTGTTGGGGTACCTATAACGAATTCAAGCCTCCACCAGTCTGACCTGAAAGAGAGAGACCGACTTCGTACACCATGGACCCGACACGGATCACGATGTTCTTCTCACCAAAGAACCGCGGGTGGCGCTGCGGCGGCTCAGTGCGCTCTGCAAAAAACAGTTGGTAAACCACTGGTAATGGCATGAGTGGGCTCGGAGACTCACCGCGACAGCTCCAGAACCTTGAAGGACGCCACGAGCCCCAGCCATGTTGACCCGTGCGTGGCCGAGGAGCGTAGCGCACCAACTCCGAACCCCCGCTTTCATCTTCAAGTTCCTCGCGCTTGCGTTTGACGCCCCCATTGACAGCAGGTGGAATCATGTTGACCAGACTACTTGTGTTGGATGCGCAATCTAAAAGTACCAGAGGATGATGTCTGAACGGATGCAGCAAACTCGTTGACAGTGGACACGTACCAACTTGAAATCGAGCATCTCTGGTGCTTTCAACTCTTTTCTTGACATCCTCCACGGTGTGGAGCGATGTATAAGCCGCTTGACGAGAGGCCATGGAAGACGAAGTTGAAGAAGTAAACCATCGAGGTTAGCGAGGCTTCAAATATTAACTGTTTGTTGCCGCCTTTCAGAAACACAGCTGAAAGACGCGTTTCACATGATGCCAGGGCAACAAAGACCTTATGCAGCCAAAGAGCCTGCAAGGCAGCTGCACAAAGGAGGCCAGTTCGTGGAGAATGGGAGTGGCGACAAAGAAGGAAGCTGAGAAGAGGCAACTGATCTGTGCGCACGTGACCCGGTAACGAGACTGTTACCAGACTAATATTACTCGCCATTGCCTCTCTCGTTGCCCATAGAGTAACTACTGTAATGCAAAACTACTACTAGTACTCCCAACTGCAAAGAATTGACTAAGTGACTTCACAAAGCACCGTGGCCACATGCGGCAACGCCTCCATTGCCTCAGCCAGAAACTGCTCTCTCGCGGTCCCCATTTCTTGTCCCGTCAGCCGGTTCCGCTTTGAGACCCCGCGCAAATACTTGATCATCAACCTGAACTTGATCTGCTGGAGCATGGGGAGAAGGCTGCACCATCTCAGCAGCCTACGACCGATTGGCGCGGAGAGCACGGTCACCTCCATCTTTGCCACACAATCCAGCCGCTGTGCCAACTGGAGCCCACGCGGCTCGTTTGCCCAGGCACAGCTCAATTCTGACAATGCACCGGCCCGGGTGGTGTAGCGCGCTGCCTTCTGGAATATCGAGAAGTCGCGTGGGCCGTGTATGAACATGATTAGCTGTATGTTTTGCCGCTGGCTCGTGGACAGACACTCCAAAGCACCGAGGATGTTGTCTGTCTGAACGGCGGGGTTGGGGGTATATGACAGGAATGAGATGTCCAATGTGTTTAAGTAGGGGCTGTCCACCAGACCCGCAATGAGCGAATGACCCTGCGGGTCGGGGTGGTCGGGAATGTGCAATGCTAGATGCTGGAGCGATGGATGGCGCATTGGGGGCCCGAATATAGATTTTGGTCCAGACTTCGAAGCAGTGGCAACCCTCATGCTGTAGGTGATGCGACAGGTGCTTGGATGGTTCGTCAGAAAGCGATGCAGCTGTGTCGGACCTAGTCCGACCACGGTAAGGAGGTACAAAAAGCGAAACTCGGGGAGCAGCGCGTGGTCGAGCACTGCTTGGATGCACTGCTCCGATGCGATGTCTACCGCATGCGGATTGAGGGAGAGAAACCGGATGCGGCTCGGGTTCAAGACAACGAGGAAGTTATTGGATGAGGGAATGAACCGCACGTCGACTGAGATAAGTCTATGCAAAACGGGAATATTGGCGATGCCTCCGCTATAGACACGCGTTGTCGTGCCGGCTGGTGCTGTCGACCGCTTCAAGTTCTCTGCCTTTTGTTTCTCAAACCACAGTTTTCTCCGCGGTTGAGGTGGGTTGAACTCCCAGTTGTGGAGTTTCCAGTCGGCAACGTCTCTCACCGAGCAGGTAAACATGGTGTCTGGCGTCAGGATGAACACCGGGTCGGCTTTCCTACTAGTAGTACTCTTGCCGCGATTGGCGAAACGTGAAATGAGCCCGCAGAGCTGTGCCAAGGCAGCCTGGCTCTCGTGAGCAGGGAGCCCAAACAGGTCGACCGAAAACGAGAGGGATAGCACGTGTAGCTTGGGCGACCGACGAATGATGTTGTCTAGACACACGATCAGCCGGGGGCAGTCGTACGAGTCGAGTGCGACGCATGTGAGCATTTTGAAGGGGAGATCCTCTTGTGGAGCGTAGATGGCTAGTGCGGTGAGGCTGTCAGAGTCGAGAGAAGCGGGATTCGCGCTGAGGATAGCGTCAAGAGAGACGCCCCGGTGGTGAAGGAAGAGCTCAATGCAGCGCGTATTAAATTGTCGGCAAACGGCTGCGAGAGTCAAGAGCGTATTGTCTGTTAGCAGAAGGTCGAAGACAATCTCCCAGAGCTCGGCGGGGAAGATCGCCATGACAGTCAAAAGCAAGTGCCAATTTGAAGGCGGTGCAAAAAAAATCATCACGTGGCAATTTGGTATGGGAAACAAAGCAAGCTTGAGACGATTACAAAATTTTGGTTTTGACCAGTTTGGTCAAGCTACCATGGTGTATTATACTAGAATATGCGAACCGGGCTTTATTTTTAAGTTATAAGTGAGGAATGTAAACGCTCCAATTGACATCCGCAAAAGCAGACGAAGGCAGAGACCGTAGGGTGGTCAATGGTAGCACCAAGAGGATACCCCTTGAAATCGAGTAAAGGCCGCCGATGACAGCCAAGGTCGGATATTTGATTCGTTGAGGAGGCAAGTCCAGCGCACCGATGATCATCATCAGGACGCAAAAAAAGACAGGCAGGATGACGAGCGCGAGCGTCGAGCTGCGCCACAACCACCTCTCGACGACAGAGGGAAACGGCGCGCCCCATGCCGCAAAGTGGATCCCGCCAAACAGCGTGCCGCAGGCGAATTGGCCGAAAATAGTAATAGTAGACTCTGACCAGCCGGGGAGAGTGTTGTAATCAGTGTAGGTAGTGCACCAGAAAGTCGGGACAGATGTCGCCGACAAAGGATCATACTCCGCCTGGCTGTATGAGTTGGCGAACAAAAAAGCAAATCGCTTCACCCGCGTCATATGGCCAGGATAGGGGCGACTTCCAACATGATTAGGAGGAGTTGTGTGGACAGAAAGCGTGATGGGGCTCCGCACATCGAGAGGCTTTCTGAGCCACAAGAGCCAGGTCATTGCGTTGATTGTTGCAAATGCGAGGGTCACGACTTCGAGCTCGGTAAGGGGAAGATGTTGCGCTCGCCGAGCGATGCATTGTGTGATAAACCAGAGTCCTTGACAAAGTGCGATTCCTTTCGAGAAGAAATCGCCTTTGCTCTTGTCTTGAATGTCCAACTTGGGAACTCTATGGATTTCCTTAACGACATCCTGGATTTTGAGCTGCTGTTGCGTAACGATTGGATGGCCGTCCGCATCCACAAAGCCGCCCATGACGATGAAAAACGCGTGTGTCAGCGATACACCATGTTCTGCAGTCGATTAGCAACTAGAGTACAAGACAGAAGAGTTCTATACGGTGAGACAGGAAATGAGCCATCTGCAGCTGTCGTCCCGCAAAACCCAGAATGAGTTCGGGCGCAATGAGAGCCACAGTCATGAGCTTCAGTCGCTGGAAGATATGCCGATTGCTGTCGACCAGCCACCATCTCAGGAACCGCAAGCCATTCCCTTTCGGTGGCTCAGGGCATAGAGGAGGCACGTTCGGGTGCACAGAGACCCAAATGCACAAGGAGAGTGTAACAAGACAGCCCCAGACGATGTCGAATAGACGCCGACAGTCGTTTATGTCGTTGCATTCGCTGTGGTTCGAGCGAGCGTAGGTCGAGGTGACGGCGAGAAGGAACAGCATTTGCCATGTCTGGCGGAGTGCTAATGCTGTTTGCGTGAGAGTCGGGGCAGTTATCGGAAGTGTGACGCCCTCATGTCAATTCTCATCGACCGCGGCTCCTGTGCGCAGGTCACACCTCGGCCTCGGCCCCGGCTTCGGGCCACGCCACGTCGCGTCTGCTCCACCGCAGCACCTCCGCCCCGGCCGGCCTCGGCTCCACCTCCGCCCCCGGCTCCACGCCCAAGTCCACGCGGTCACGTGTTTTTACTTTTAATTTGGATTTTACTCTTTTTACAGTACTTTTGGCAGGAAGAAATATGAGATGTACCCAAAATCGCGTTAATTAGCGATTTCCGACGCGTGCCCCAGGTACACAACCCCATTCTGCAGTTCCTTCAATGTCGGGCCAGGGTTTCCCCTCCCGAAGGCAGTGGACCGACAGTGACAAAAAAAAAAGTGAGAGTCGGGGCGGAAGGGGGTAGGGGGGTAGGGGGAGTTGAGGCATTGTCTGGGGGACTGGTCAGACAACAGCTACCACACAGCGCAAGAGCACTCACCAGTATAACGACGACCACCATGACATTCACAAACTGATTTAGGTTTGTGCTAATGCACCGTCGAGAATGGCACTGATGGTCACCCATGCGTAACGCTGATGCTCTCACGTCAAACTGGATGTGCCGGGCCGGCCCTTTTTTGTCGATAAACTTAAAGATGAGAAGCAGGAGGAAAACTAGAAATCATGAGCCCGGAATATTGAATTTGTAGCTGCTTGCTGGTCCCTAAAACATCCGGAAAGCTTTAGAAAGTGAACAAGTACCTGCTGTCTAATATTGATAGTATAAATTCAGATAATATTGAAATTCTACTCTGTACTTTTCTGCGCTTCCACCAGCCGATATATAGCTACGAAATCTTGTATAAGGTCGCAAGTCCTCAGTTTGTGCAACGCCGCTCGTCGGCTCACCTTCAATCATGGGGGGAAAGAGAAAAGAGCGGTTGGGTGTGACCACTTGGCGTCACCTCCCTTGATCGGACCTCGAAATATGTTATGTTATGGCCAGGCCTGGACCTGTGCTTCCCGTTGTTGCGTTCAACCGTTCATTTTCCCAAGCGCAGTCTTGTGTTCGACTCTGGCTTTGATTACTGTGTTTTTCAAAACAAGTGAGAATTACAACTCAACACTTCCTGAAATGTTAATTTGCAAACAAATAAAACAAGATAAAATTGGTGCAAATTATGAGGTGCATCTGGATGGAATTGGATTTGGAACAAAAGTTTGAGCATGTCAGCTAACAATCGATGTTAGCCAAAACTAGACATAGTCAACAAGTAGTTCAATAAAAAGTGGGATCAAGACTGAACTTGTCCAGAAACATCAATACTGTTAATGACTTCTGTTAGTCAAAACTAATCTTTGTCCTAACTGAAACTGGGGAAAGGTAAACATCAGATTTAGAGAAAATATTGATCCTAAACCAAAGTTTAGCTTGCCATCACTCTGCAATGATGGTCTTGATAATAGTTGATTAAGCATTGCGTAAACATAACTCAGTCTGTTATGCCAAATCAGGGCTTGGTAAGGAATAAGCCAATAAAAAGTGGGTAAAAATCAAATAAAACATGTCTCAATGAGGATTTAGGTCTGAACCAATATTGTACTATTTTAAACAGTTTGTCAGTCACGTGTCACACAGGACCCAGTCCAACGAAAATTCTTCATCAGTCACACAAGTTTTTAATTGCGCAAAATTCAGCTATAAATAGCAATTTTCCAGCAGCAAAATTCCCTAATGGGGTAGGCTTCATTGTGCATGTCACGCACCTGCGGGGTGACGAAATGATCAAAATAGTACAGTATAAGCCCAATAAAAAGTCACTAAAAATGAAATCAAAATATTTATTGGGTGTTTGAGCTCTTTACATTTCAGGCAAAAGAAAAATGAGTTTAACAAAATTGGATAAGTACTTTTGGATATATATCAGCAGTCCCAATAAAAAGTGGATAAAAATCAAATAAAAACTTTCCTCTATACCAAATTGCTATCCTTTGAAAAATTGACATGGGGATTTGACAGCAGATTTATAGGGTGTTATCAGCCAAAACGGGCTAAGAACCCAGCCAGAATTGGATTTAGTCCCAAAGTAGATACGGTCAGAAGTATATGCCAAACTAGGGTTTGGCCAGGAATAAGCCAAATAAAAAGTGGGTAAAAATAAAATAAAAATCTTTGTCAACAGATGTATTCTTGGCAAGGAATAAGCATAATAAAAAGTGGGTAAAATCAATGAGAAAGCAAGAAAATGCTTGGATCCGAGTTGGTCACATGACCTCATCGCAGGCAAAATAAAAAGTGCCTAAAACTAAATCAGACCTGATAGCCTATAAACTCAAGAGTGGTGTTGATGTAGCTCAATATTTAGGCTAGATTCTTAGATTGACTATGGTTTAGGTTGCAATAAAAAGTATATAAAAAGGCAATAAAATATTCTAATCCAGCTCCACAGCTTGATCAATGATTTGGCCTATTGTGAGAGTCAAGATGAAGATTTATCAATCTCCTAGCATTTTTTAAGAAAAATAGAAAGTGGGTAAAAATGAAATAAATTGCTTAGTCAGCGCGAATCATAATGGCTCAGTAGACAGATTTTGATGGTATCACAAGATAAAGTAGCTTATCCCATAACATGCATAAAAAGTTCAATTTGTTACTTGTGATATTCAAAAACAAATTATTGACAAGGAGAATCAAAAGGATGCCATAAAGAGGTTTATGAAACATGGTCAAGTACTCATCAGTGATGGAAAAATTTCCAAACCATTCTTAGAAAGGTCAAGGAAAAATGATGGAAGGACATTGCTGGTTACCCTTCCTATATGGAAGTTGAGCAAGATGTCCAAGAGTACGTCTAATATAAATAATGTTTTGTAGAAAGAATGGCAATGGAAATCAGTAGAAAATATTGCAGGCACCAGTTGACATTATGATGAAAGCATTCATATGCCAGGAGCAGTCACGTGACCAGCTGATAGGCTGGAAATGCTTTGAACCCGGAATTTCAGATGAAGATGAAGTTAAATTTTGTTGAATCAATCCAAAGCTGTGATAAACTGAAGTTTAATGACATTCCATGCATGACTCACACTCAAAACTCAAGTTAAAACTTCAAACCTGCGCTCCGCCGAGCGGTCACGTGACCTTATTGCATACTTCCGCCTGCGGCCAAAAATGGAAATTCACGATTGAATCACCGTTCTATAGCTAAATATGCTCCGATTGGGCTCAAATTTCAGGATGACGTGCTTACGTAAGCTCTCTGCTGACTCGTACTCTCACCTGAGGCGACAGAGGACCCAAAATATATGATTTCATCAGGTGTGTTGTTTCGCTGATTCCTGGGATTCTGAGCCGGGGCGCCGGCCGATCTCCTTGAAAACTGACACATATCACGTGGTATATGTCCTCTGCGGCTCCCCGCCCTCATATCCCCCTCAATTGTGGTAAGTTCGCCGTATCTGTGGGATACCTCTTCCGCGCTTCCTGCATGCTCAGCGGTAAGCTCAGGGGATTACGGCCTGTTCTAGGCCATATCTTACGGTACCATCATCCCGTCTGTCACTCGCGTCGAAGATGGGCGCTCCGCTTTACGGATGGTCCGTATTTTTCGTTTTCACCCCCAGACGATATTTTGCATTTCTTGAGTATTTCAGCGTGTTATCTACCGCTGCAACTTGCAGAAACTTCAACATGGGGCTTTACCATGAGTTTGAGTGCTGCACCACCCAGCACAATGACCCAGGATGGACACAAATACTCGGAAATTTCATTTCCAAGTGTTTATCGCGTATTCCGACAGTGGCGAATTCGCCCGGTCCAGCCTTGCGCGATCCGTGCTTCCGGTGGGAATCTTCCCACACGTCTCGGAGCCCGCTTGCGTGGCGCTCTGGGTATAAAACCCAGCCCAAATCCGCCATTCCCATCATTCCCCCTTCTTCCTCTTTTCCTCTCTTACTCACTTTTGCCTCTCATCTGTGTCCGCAACTGCACCCTTCTGACCACTTCCACTGTGCTCGTCGTCGCGACCGATGTCAAGCTCAACATTGCTGTTGGTGCCGCCCTGGTATGTCCCATCGTGATTGATGCATTCATCATGCTTACCCTATTCCAGGTGACCGCTACCTATTCGATCACGCTCTCCAAATAACCGGCATCCCCGACCTCGCCCGCCCAGCAACAACAACAATGCCCGTCCTCATCTCTCACCAACTCCCGTGTCGACCACCGCCTTGAGTCGGGCACCAACAACGGCGACCTCGCCGTCCGCGTCTTCGACAGTGTTATCCAAGAGTCTACAGCGAGTGAGTCGTCGCTCTCTTCTTGCAAGCTTAGACTTACTGCGCGGCAGTCGTGGTACCCGTTCTCCAAGTTTCTTGTCGTCGCTGTTCTCTCCGGAACCCGTGGCAGAAGCAGTCTGCAATAAAAGTGAGATTATGAGATCATTGCACTTCAAATGTCCCTCACCGTCAAGCAGATCGTGACAGCCGACGACCACGAGCTTTGCATGGCTTTAGAACCTGAGTAGATCGCGACAGACGACCACAAGCGGTTCTGTTGCTGCCTTCCTCGATGTCCTCAGCTTGGGTTGGCGGTGAGGTACAGGTTGGTCCGCGTCTTCAACGACGACCGCGTGATTACAGGAGTAGATCCCGCCCTCTGTCACACTGTGAGCTCGTTGTCCGTTCCTTCCCGCAGCCGTTGGCTTACCTCGTTGCAGTCGCAGTACTGCCGTTGGATCTCAAGGCAGCGACATCTGCAACAACGGTAAGCATTTAGTTATACCACTTTAACTACCACTTACATTGCAGAAGTTCGTGACGGACGACGACCACGACGCTTTCGCTCTGACCAGCGTTGTCGTTGCCATTGGACAACCCCGTCTTCAGCAACAACGACAAATCCTGCACATAGCGCAAAGAACGGCGAGAACGATGTCAAACCACTCACCGGCGCTGTCTGGGACGACCGTCCGAGGTCACGGTTTTTCCGCCGATGGACCGCTCGGTGTTGGCGGGGCAGCAACGAGCAGCAGGTTGCCGACTAGGTATGCCTTGTTGATGTCTTGACCGCCAGGTCTTGCTTGCCGTAACAACGGTGAGCCTTACGTTCTGCGACTTCAAATAAGTACCACTTACAGTTGAGCAGCCCGCGCAGAACGACGACCAAGACCCTCTCCTGTTCGCTATCGGCCGTTTCGCGCTAGTTTCGCAACAACGACAACACTCTGGAAATCATTCCGGTCTGCGCAAAGCACGGCCACAACCCTCCCAAAACAACTTGCCAGCGCTGTCTCGGACAGCCGCGCTAGGTCAACGTTGTTCCGCTCTTCAAGTTCGTCATGGGTCCGCTCGGTACGATGAGCAGGTCGGTCTCGTTGCTGTCTTGACCGCAAACTCTTGCTTATCATGCCTCCTTCAGCGACTTGGACGACGAGGGCGGAGTTGTTGCCAAGTTGGGCCGGGGCGGAGACAGTGTTGTTGCGGGGAGTATTGGGCTTATGGCTGTAAAGCTCAGCGTTGGCGGGGCCGCGCTCGCTGCTCCGAGCGCGAGACTGTTGGCGGCGATCGTGGTTCTTGCCAATGAACTCGTTCTGGAGCGCATTGGGCAACGAGGACCGCGAGAATCGGCCCCAAGACCGCCGTTTGGCGGGTAGTTGGCAAGGCGGGGTCTGCGCGCCGAGTTTTGCGCCTTCTGGGCATTGACAACGTCGTCCGCGGGCGGTTTCTGGCTTGAGAGAAGCAGGGGAGGGGCAGCGGCTGTCCCGCCTCCAGTTCTTGCTAATGAAGTCGTTGGGCAGCGAGAATCGTTGCCAAGGCCGCCGTTTGGCCGGCGGGGTCTGCGCGCCGAGTTTTCGCGTTCTGGCGGCTCGCGAGCGGAGGTAGAAGCTTGGGGAAAGCAGGGGAGCGGCTGTCGCTGTCCCGCCCCCCAGCTTTCGCAATGAGGTCGTTCTGGAGCAAATTGGGCAGCGAGGGCCGCAGGAATCGTCGCCAAGACCGCCGTTTGGCGGGTAGTTGGCAAGAACGGGTCTGTGCGCCCAGTTTTTGTCTTCTGGTCGTCCATGTCGTCGTTGGCGGGCGGTTACTAGCGCAAGAGCAGCAGGAGACGCTGTCAATGAGAAGGGTTGGCGATTTGAGCGGCAGAAGTAGGCGAGAGGTCTCAGTACTTAGATTTTCGAGTTTCGGCCCGTTCAAAGGCCAGTGCGGCCGGAATTGATCCAGTATAGGTTGCTGTAGTGTCTCCTCGTTAAATCTTAGCCGGCCTGTCGTCGTAGTCGGTCGTTTCTTCTAATTATTGCCATTTTGCCATGGCCGTCGGGAGAGAAGGTTGTCGGCGATCACGTGCAGCCGGCGGACTTGCTGTCAACAACAACAGCGCTTGGCTTGCGCGCAATGGGCGGAAACAATCTCAGGTGCGTGCTGCGTTCATCTTTCTCTGTTCTATCTCTCACATAACAAACATCCCATCCCTCCGACTCACGCCCCACACTCGCCTTCAACGCCATGGCTTTCGCGTTGCTGCCCAAACCCGAGCCACGTTCCAGCGACGGTCTTTACATATGGATGTCTGCCGAGCTCGATTGCGGGAGGAGTACGGATGCAGGGGAGATGGAAGCTGTTTGGTTTGGACTTTTCATCTGGTAAGTGCTCGTTTATCGAGTGCGCGGGGCTGTTGAGACGGGTTTTTGAAGGAAACCGGATGCGGCTCGGATTCAAGACAACGAGGAAGTTATTGGAGGACGGAATGAACCGCACGTCGACCGAGATAAGTCTATGCAAAAGGGGAATATTGGCGCTATAGACACGCGTTTTCGTGCCGGTCAAGCTACCATGGTGATAGTATACTAGAATATGCGACATAATGCAAGTCAGGAAAGTTATAAGTGAGGAATGTAAACACTCCAATTGACATCCGCAAAAGCAGACGAAGGAAGAGACCGTAGGGTGGTCAATGGCAGCACCAAGAGGATACCCCTTGAAATCGAGTAAAGGCCGCCGATGACAGCCAAGGTCGGATATTTGATTCGTTGAGGAGGCAAGTCCAGCGCACCGATGATCATCATCAGGACGCAAAAAAGGACAGGCAGGATGACGAGCGCGAGCGTCGAGCTGCGCCACAACCACCTCTCGACGACAGAGGGAAACGGCGCGCCCCATGCCGCAAAGTGGATCCCGCCAAAAAGCGTGCCGCAGGCGAATTGGCCGAAAATAGTAATAGTAGACTCTGACCAGCCGGGGAGAGTGTTGTAATCAGTGTAGGTAGTGCACCAGAAAGTCGGGACAGATGTCGCCGACAAAGGATCATACTCCGCCTGGCTGTATGAGTTGGCGAACAAAAAAGCAAATCGCTTCACCCGCGTCATATGGCCAGGATAGGGGCGACTTCCAACATGATTAGGAGGAGTTGTGTGGACAGAAAGCGTGATGGGGCTCCGCACATCGAGAGGCTTTCTGAGCCACAAGAGCCAGGTCATTGCGTTGATTGTTGCAAATGCGAGGGTCACGACTTCGAGCTCGGTAAGGGGAAGATGTTGCGCTCGCCGAGCGATGCATTGCGTGATAAACCAGAGTCCTTGACAAAGTGCGATTCCTTTCGAGAAGAAATCGCCTTTGCTCTTGTCTTGAATGTCCAACTTGGGAACTCTATGGATTTCCTTAATGACATCCTGGATTTTGAGCTGCTGTTGCGTGACGATTGGATGGCCGTCAGCATCCACAAAGCCGCCCATGACGATGAAAAACGCGTGTGTCAGCGATACGCCATGTTCTGCAGTCGATTAGCAACTGGAGTACAAGACAGAAAAGTTATATACGGTGAGACAGGAAATGAGCCATCTGCAGCTGTCGTCCCGCAAAACCCAGAATGAGTTCGGGCGCAATGAGAGCCACACTCATGAGCTTCAGTCGCTGGAAGAATTGCCGATTGCTGTCGACCAGCCACCACCTCAGGTACCGCAAGCCATTCCCTTTCGGTGGCCCAGGGCATGGAGGAGGCACGTTCGGGTGCACAGAGACCCAAATGCACAAGGAGAGCGTAACAAGGCAGCCCCAGACGATGTCGAATAGGCGCCGACAGTTGTTTATGTCGTTGCATTCGCTGTGGTTAGAGCGAGCGTAGGTCGAGGTGACGGCGAGAAGGAACAGCATTTGCCATGTCTGGAGAAGTACTAATGCTGTCTGCGTGAGAGTCGGGGCAGTACCAGTTATCGGAGAGAGATTTTGTGACGCGACCACTCTCCTTTCCTCTCATGTCAATTCTCATCCGACCACCAGGCTCGCAGACGCAATCAATCTGCTGGCGGAATGCTTGGCCCTCCGTATAATATCTGTGTGCAACCCTTTCTTTCCGACGCGGAGCCGCCTCAGTCCAACACTTCTTCAATGGAGAATATGACAATTTCCCCTCTAAACGTCAACTCTGGTCAACCTACGGTCACCGACACGCTCACAAGCGGGGTGGACTGGCGCGTCTCTGAGGAAGCAAATAATCAACGGAAGTGGGGGCTCCATATAAGTGCGTGATTCGTGGCTTGCATTGGTCCTCCTGCTTACCCTTGGATCAAAGCGTCGGCCCATCGTCAATCGAGTGGAATTCCGCATATCGCGAGCAGGAAACTACACACGAGACACAGCAATGCGATGACAGAACGGTCAGGTTGCGGAGTAGCCAACGAACAGAATGGGTGGCTGGAAAGTGGGAGCGGGAGAAGTGGAAGACTGCGTTGCTTATGCTGGTACCCGTCTCGCAACGCCGTCACCTGTTCGAAACCTACCCACACTTCTCGACTGACCTCACAAATTTGACGATCACATTTTCGAATGCTACTCTCTGGTCGTCCCACAACGTGATATCCAGGAACTCTTCCCGTTCGTCTGCTTCCTCAACCAGACCATGCGCTAATTGACGCCGTCCGCAGATTCATCAACTCCGCGCGAGCTCTACAACTGCCATAAGCTGTTTCTGCTGTCGATAGCAGTGGTTCAGCTTATCAAACTTTGCGAGTTTTGGTAACTTGTTAAGTAGGACATATGTACATGCAACTTGATTGGTCGTACTATAAGTGAGGTATATAAACACTCCAATTAACATCAGCGAACGCGGCGAGGGGGAGGGAACGCAGAGTGGACAACGGCAAAACCAAGAGGATGCATCGTGCCATCGAGTAGAAAATAACGATAACCAAGGCTGGGGATTTACCTTGGGCAGAGGGGAGTATAGTGATGCCGATAACCAAGAGCAAGAATAGGATGGGTAGGGCAACGAGTACCAGCGTTCCGATGCGCCACAGCCACATCTCGACGACAGAGGGAAACGGCGCCCCCCACGCGGCAAAGTGAATAGCACCAAAGATAGCGCCACAAAAAAATTGGCCACCGAGAGTTATGAACGATGACAGGACGGGGAGCTCGTCACGGTCGTTGTATGCCGTACACCAGAATGTCGGCACAAACTGGCTGGAGAATGGGTCGTATTCATCCTGTTGGTATGTGTTTACCAGCAGGAAACCAAACCGCTCGAGACCGCTCAGGTCGGCGGGATATGGGTCGCTAAGGACATGATTTGAAGGGGTGGTATGAGCTGAAAGTTTGATTGGGTTTCGCACATCCAAAGGCTTTCTAAGCCAGAGCAGCCAGGTCATTGCGTTAATGGCTGTGAACGCAAGTGTCGCGACCTCCAGCTCGGTAAGGGGAAGACTCTGGGCTCGCCGAGCGATGCATTGTGCGATAAACCAAAGCCCTTGGCAAAGCGCGATTGCTTTCGAGAAGAGATCGCCTTTACTCTTGTCTTCGATGTCGGACTTGTCAACCGCACATATTTGCCCGACAACGCTATCGACTCGCAGTTGCTTTTGTGTGACGATTGGATGGCCGTCAGCATCCACGAAGCCGCCCATTACGATGAAGAATCCGTGTGTTAGAGAGACACCGTGATCTTCGGCTTAATTAGCAACTGGTACAAGACACTTGAGAGCAGAAAGCACCTTGGGACAAGTAATGCGCCATCTGGAACTGTCTTGCTGCGAACCCCAGAATCATCTCAGGAGCAATTAGCGCCACCGTCATCAGCTTCAGTCGCTGCAAGAATGGTCGGTTGCTCCCAATCAGCCACCAGTGCCAGAAGCCCAAGCCAATCCCTTTCGGGGCCTCAGGACATGGGGGAGGTATGTTGGGGTGCACCGAGACCCAGATGCACAAGAAGATGGTGACAAGACAGCCCCAGACGATGTCGAATAGACGCCGACAATCGTTTATGTCGTTGCATTGGTTTTGGGCGGAACGAGAGTGCAAAGAGGTGAGAGCGAGAAGAAACAGCATTTGCCATGTCTAAGTATCTCACCGCGAACCAATCGCGAATGCTGTAGTCGCCACTGGCGTCGATGGCCGTACTAGAGACTGACATGTGAGATTGACATGCGTGACAAACTTCTCCTTTGCCTCCCATGTCAGCTTTCAGCCACTTGATATTCTGCCAGCTCAAAACTGGTGGTTGAACCCTTAGAGCTTCCATACATCGTACGCGACTCTTTCTTCATGCACAACCCTCATGAGTCAGTTCTTATTTAGTGTCGGCGATGGTCACTGGCTTTCTCAATCAGAGTCAATCCACTGTCTACCGCCTCAATCTACCGCCCAACCAGAGTCATCATTGCAAGTGGAAATCACGTTGCTGAAGTCGCCTCATCGTGGCTTACGCTCTAGGCCCATTATCACCACGGTCTCTTGGGAAAGTCGTTTGCGATGGATTGAAGAGCAAAAGTGAGAGGCGTTTGGGGAATTGTGTCAGCCGGAACTACTGGGTAATATGCCCTGCAGACCGACGGAACACTTTGTCATGCTGGTGAGTGCACGAAACGAGTCCATTCATCCGCCGAATAATTCCTCGATAGGATATCGTTTTTTGACGAGAATCTACACCTGTACCAAAATCTACCTCACCACCTTGGAGTACTTATGTTGCTTGTCAATAGACCCCGTTTTCCTCGACATTGGCCCCCGCTTTCCCCTTCCATTTTGCATCCACTTGCATGTGTATTATTCGCCTTGAAAGCTCGTCATTCCCGCTTCGCTGCATCCATCTCCTGCGATCGGACAACTCGTAGAGCGATTGGATAACCACCTGAAGCTTAGAATGACTTGTACCTTGAGCAGTCATGGTACACCATTCTCAGTGGATGTACATACTGCTTTTCATCTCGCGCAAACCACGTTATGCCTCGACTATGCCTCCTGGCGTGTAATGTTCTCCCTACGGGCCGTATCTAAACAACTTACTGCCCACTAGAGAAACAGTGACTTGGAATTGCCGATGACAAGGGGTACAATTTAGCTTCGTCAGAGTCACTTGATCGTAGTGAGTGTGAGTTTTGGCCCTTCAAATCTAACCCCCACCCTATGTCCCTTATGTGCGCTCTCTTCCGATCCATGAGAACTCGCAGCTCAGCGGGGCGAATGGTTCTGTGTTCTCCGAGGGAGCGTTTCTGGGTCTGATTCGGCGTATACAACACCCTCCATCGACTCCTGACTCCAAATGATAGCTTAGATACTTATAACCGTCCTAGATCCGACTTTCAGTGCATCTAATCTTCAACTCTGTCCCGCTCAGACGGAATCTTGCGTTGTTCTCTTGGTGACGGCTGAAACACCGACGTCAATCACCGTTCCCGATTGAAGTGGACGGCCTTGCCGCGGGCCGGGGGTAAAGGCGGGACCATGGGTCAGCTTGGCCTCTTGCAAGCTTCGGGGATAGTAGTTGGGCAATCTACCCCGCCAGCCAGGTCCAGGAACTGAGATGCAGCCAAATTTACATGTGCGACGTGGTGATGAGCTGATTGCAGCCGAGAACGACGTCGACATGATCAATAACCCACGCGCTAATCTGAGGCTCATATATAGTCGTGGGCAGTGCCTCGCGAACTCTGCCCCGGACCCCCGACCAGAAAAGCGCGAGGGGGACAGCGTCCACCCCCCTTTCCCCCCGCGATCGTAGCGCCTTGCGCTCCAGATTCTGACGACCTCTTTTTATTATGGTGCGCTCGGTCCGCAAATAGTGTCATAAATACGCTCATCACTCTGGCCATAGACTTCTTCATCTTCTGTGCCACCTGCGTCGAGTGCATCGGCTGGAGGACCGTCTTTGAGCTCCCATCCGTGCGTTATTCGTTCAGCGCCTGGGCCACGTTTTGATTTTACTTTCTCATAGACCATCCTCATCCACACCGTCACCGACCCAGCCACCCCCCTCATCTTCCGCCCCACGCAGCTCTTCTCTCTCGCCATCTTCATCACATGCCTCCAGTATAAGCAGCTTGTCACCGTCTTCTTCCCGTGTCTCGTCAACAACGACACCATCTTCCCGCTCGCCTTCTCCTGCTCTAACCAGCGACACTTCGGTGGGTCATCTGAGTCTCTATGCTTGCACCTCTTTACCGTCTAACAGATTCCTGCCATTTCTTCCCCCACATCATCCTCGATCGAAGCGACCTCTTCCAACAACAACAATCGTGTCTTAATTGGCGCTGTAGTCGGCTCAGTCGGCGGGGTTATCCTTCTTGGCGCCCTTATCCTGTTATTTGTTCGCCGCCGTCGCCGAAAACGTGATGTCAGCCAATTCCTGATGCAAGAACGGTCTAATTACACCGACGAGGAGGAGGGCAAGACAGACTCGCCACGTGGCTGGCCCCGGCCCAGCACCAGCTCCCCGCTCGTGCCAGGCACACCAGGGACACCGAATTCGGCGGCAGGCTGGGCTGGCCAGCCAACGAGCGCCCTGGCGGCTAATTATAGCAGCAAGGCACCGCATTATACCGTGCGGGGACATTCGGCAACCAACTCGACAACAACTCCCAACATTGCTGGGTTTGGCGCAGACCAAGCTTGGCAGGAGGCGCGATACGCGCATGTCGACCCCGCTCCCCTCCCCGCCATTGGTGTCGTCCCCCCAACACCGAATCCTGGCTCGGAAACCACCAATGCCAACGCGAGCGCCAATCCGCGCAACTCGACTGCATCCACTGTCTCCTCCGTCTACTCTTCCGCCTCCAACCACCGTCAGAGCCAGCAGTCGGCCTATGGATATGCCTTCAGCGGGGAAAACGACGAGAGCTACTCCCACGCGCCGCCGGGTGTCCAGCCTAAATCCACCCACCCGCTCCAGCCCCCGGGCCGGTCGGATACGATGTCGACCGTTGAGGAACGGACAAGCCCTTCAGCGGATTGGACAAGACTACCGTTACCGTGATTACTTACTTTCTTTCACCACTTACACACGGACATTGCATCTTAACCTTCGTTCTTGTCTCATTCGCAACCAATGTGATCCATAGTAATATTAATTTGCGCTTTGCCTTCTACTCTCAACAAGACACTTGATTGCAATAGTCCTTGCCGGGCCAGGCCCTTACACATCGCTGAAGAAACCAATGCCAATCTTAATATCGCGGTCGGCTTCATAGCTATCCATAATAGTTGGGATAATGACAGAAAACAAGGACAAAAAATGTCCTCACCGAGTAATGGTCCAACTGGGTAACATTGGTCCACCTTTACTCATCCGCCTCAAAGCGTCTATTCCTCCCTCGATAAACTCCCTATCAAGCGTGTCGCGTCCCGTTCCGTATCCAGCACTACCGCTGCTGTTGCAATCAGAGCTGTCCAAAGTGCCAGAACGCTCGACGGTGGTGCCACGCGCGGTATAGGGAGGAGGAGCCGGTGGTAGGATTGGGGAGGCGGGAGTTGCACTAACTCGTTCAAGAGCACGCTGAAGTGTTTTCAGGGCTTCTGGCATTTCAGCTCGTCCAACCTATAACTCTGTCTTAGCAAGACTACAACGACTGGGAGCAAGTGGACGAAAACAACGCGCCTGCAGGATGCGTAACATACCTCGGCTAGTTTAGGCCAGGGCATTTCGCAGCAACGCCTTAAGGTCCACCATATCGTGTACGGAGTCGAGGGCATTTTGGGAAATTTGGATGTCGCTCAAGGCACTATTCATAATCCAAGGTCAGCAGAAGGATGAATACAAGCCACGAATCACGCACTCTTCTTGAGCCCCACTTCCGTTGATTATTTGCTTCAATGCTTGCTCCGATATACATCAGGCCACCCCGCTTGTGAGCGTGTTGGTGAACGTAGGTCGGAGTTGCTATGTTCTCCGCTGAAGTGTTGGACTGAGCCCCGCATCGGGAAAAAATCTGGCACGTAATACAGCTCCGGAATGTGGAGGAGTCAAAGTTGCGAGATGCGGCGGTAAGAGTCGCCGCATATGCATATGGACCCTTGCACTATGTACTAGCTCCAATCAGCACAAAGCAAATGCTGAATGCAATAACACACCTTCCTATGTCGCCCAACCAGCTTCCGACGGATTAAATAGGCGCCATGGACCGGCATCATAGCTATTCCTTGGGAAGCCCCACTGGCATTTGTTGGCCAGTGCGAAGATAGAGGAATAGCCTTGTGGCGCTGTGAGTGTGCATTATGAGCAAGGCGGTGAGTGCCACTCAGTGGACATGGGGGCAGATGAGAGAAAAGTGTCACGGTGACACGCAATTTACTATGAGGGTTCGTTTGTACAAAAAATAATTTCCGCGCGCGCACATGATTTCCGCGCGCGCACAGAAATTTGGTCAAAATTTGGTAAGTTACACAAGTACATAACTCTATAATAAGACTGCCCAGTCCATTGCTGCCCGCTGGGAGGCAGCGCAAGAGGGAGGTAGGTGGGTGCCAGTGGTCTAGGATCGGGTGTAAGGTCGTGGTCGTCATGGCTCGTGGCCGTTAGGGCCCAAGCAAACGGCCCCCAGGGCCCAAGCGAACGGCCTCAGCTGCAGCTGCAGGCAGCGTCCGCCGTCGAGTGTGATGTGGCCGGAGGAGAAGGGCCGATGTGAAATAAAAATGTCACACCCCCCATTAAATATTGATAAATTTAAATGAGACTACAGATGAGGTTAGCGCTGAGCAGAAAAATATAGACATACTTACTCAGTACTCTTGCCATCTTTGGAAGCCTAAATCAGTATACTTTCTTGTCTGAAGGTGGTCCTTTTGCTGAACGCACTTGAAAGTCGGATCAATTTGGCCCGGCCGATGACGTACCAGGAGGACTGTCCGACATAGCCGATGGCCGTGCACCGTCTATTAAAGCTTGGGGGCAAGCTTGGAAACCGCACTGAGACCGCATGCTATGGCCAAAGTAGAGCCCTTTCGACGAGTTAATGGTCAGTTTGGGCTGGTTTTCCAATTGTAGTGCAAAATGGGACAAAAGATGATGTGCGCGCGTGGAAATCATGTGCGCGCGCGCAAATTATTTTTTGTACAAACGAACCCTCATAATTTACACCTTATAGTTCCATCTCTCCTCCAACACATGAACTGTATTCCTGTCTGCGGCGCGTCTACAGCGCCTACCAGTAAATTACGAGTCCAACACAGCCCAAGATGCTGTTTCCTCTTGCACTCGGTGCAAACGACCCGCGCGGCTCTGCAAATGAGTGCAAAGACATCGACAACTGCCGCCGTCTTTTCGACATTGTCTGGGGCAGTCTTGCTACGATATTCCTCTGCATCTGGGTGTCCGTTCACCCAAACCTGCCTCCCCCACGGCCTAAACAACCAGCAACCGGCGCTGGGATCTGGCATTTGGCGAAATGGCGGCTGATTGAGAGCAATGCACCGCTTCTCCACAGAGTCAAGCTTATGGTCACGGCCCTTATTGCGCCTGAAATCATCGTTGGCTTTGCGGGAAGACAGCTCTTGATGGCGCAGTTTTTCTCCCAACGTACGAAACCAGTTTGGTGTGTGATTGATACATAACCGTTCACAGAGCACAATTTGCCTCTGATTCACGGATTTTTCATTGTCATGGGCGGCTTCGTGGACGCTGACGGCCATCCAATTGTGACGAACTATCAACTCGCCACTGAAAATGTGCTGCAAGAAATACGAGCAATTGACGAATCTGATCTGGCGGAGAGAAGCAAGGGAGATGTCTTCTCTAAAGGAATTGCGCTTCTTCAGGGCATCTGGTTCATCGCGACATGCCTTGCACGAAGGGCTCAAAAGCTGCCTCTCACGGAGCTCGAAGTTGCCACACTTGCATTTGCGACACTCAACGCCTTGACGTGGCTGCTCTGGCTCGGGAAGCCTCTTGATGTTAGGAATCCAATCAAGCTCTCGGTGCAGACAACACCGTCAGATTATCTTGTCGGTCTACGATACCCCGCCGGTCTGACATGGCTCGAACGATCGAACCGCGTGGTGACCAATCTTTACAACGATAACGAATACGACGCGCTATCAAACTCGGCTGTCCCAACATTCTGGTGTGCAATTTCCTCGGACTATGAGCGGCTGCCGAACTCGCTGGCCTACACAGGCTACCTTGCCCAGTACCTCTGTGGGACCTTGTTCGGTGCCATTCACTGTGCGGCATGGGCGTCATTATTTCCCTCTGTCATCGAGATGTGGCTATGGAGAGTCTCGGCACTGGTGATAACTCTCCTGCCCATTGTCTTCGTGCTCTTGGCACAAGCAGTGGACCACATCAACCAGCAGGCTGGTACTGATGTTAGCATTATCCTCGCCTATATCGCAATTGTCACAACATATTCTCTTGCCCGGGCGGTCCTGCTCGTTTTACCGCTTTTGACCCTGCGCTCTCTCCCGGCTGCAGTATTCATGGATGTCAACTGGAGTGTCTATATCCCTCATTTGTGAGCACACTGACCACAATTGAGTTAAACAAAGTACCACTAGTATCTAAGTATCTGCTTCAAATATATCATGTAAATGGTTGGAGACTACTGCATCTCCTGTGACTTGCACATCTTACTCGGAGTCGAAGTTGCCTTTCTCCAGTCCCAATAAGTAGCGGTTCGGTAACAGTCTCATTGCCGGGTCACGTGCGCGCGCAGATCATTTGTCTCTTCTTAGCTTCCTTCTTTGTCGCCACTCCCATTCTCCACGAACTGGCCTCCTTTGTGCAGCTGCCTTGCAGGCTCTTTGGCTGCATAAGGTCTTTGTTGCCCCGGTATCATGTGAAACGCGTCTTTCAGCTGTGTTTCTGAGAGCAACAAACAATTCATATTTGAAGCATCGCGAACTTAGATGCTTTGCTTCTTCAGCTTCGTCCCCCATGGCCTCTCGTCAAGCGGCTTGTACATCGCTCCACACCACGGAGGATGTCAAGAAAAGGATTCAAAGCACCAAAGATGCTCGATTTGGTACACCACCAAAGTGTCCACAGCTGTCAATCAGCTGGACATTCCAGCTGGTTTCCACATAACTCAACATCTGGGTCCAGGTGGTTTCCAGCTGAATTCCAGCAGTTCTCCTCAGCTGGAAATTCCAGCTGGAATCCAGATGACATGATTGTCTACATCCTAGCCCTTCTCCCACATAATTTTTTATTATTATTACTACTTTGAAATCTGTAGAAGATTGACCAAATTTGCCATTTCTAGTAGTTCATAGATTTTTCAATCTATATGCCAACAAAAACATCAATACAGACAAGAAATAAATCAATCCCAAACACAATACCCATAAAACATGATATTCTTTAGGGCCGGCATCCAGCACTGAACTTGCGCTGACCGCTCAATAACTGAACACTTCTTGTGATCAACGATCGAGCGCCCAACGCCATGGGATTTGATCCGGTTTCTAATTCAGGCAAGGAAAATTTTCACGGTCGTCACACTCCTCCAGAGTGAGCGCCTCACACAGCCAGGGTGGAGTTCGGGTGCCCTGACCGAAGGCATGTGTCTCCCGCCTCTGCACGCCTCCCTGACCCATGCATCTGCTAAGTGCGGCCCAGGCCACCCAAGCGTGCCCCGTTCAAGATGCGCGGCAACGGCAACGACGAACGGCACTGCCCGCTCAACGGTTTGGCTCTCCTACAGTCGTCTATGATGCCGATTACTCCTTGCAGAGCTGTGCTGACCGCCTCTGCGCGCCTCCCTGACCTACGCGTCCGCCAAGTGCGGCCCAGGCCACCGATGCACAGCTACGAACGGCACGACCACGCTTGGCCGCCCAATGGTTTGGCACACCCGATACAGTGGTCTACGATGCTGACTACTCCCTTCAGCGCTGTGCTGAGCGGCTCTGGCGCCTGCCGAAGTTCTCAGCCAAATCTCCCCCAAACTCCACCATCCTACGCACCCCCTGGGCGCTACAAATACCATGCAAACGGCGACCGACCACTGACACGTTTCCATTTCTCCCTCGCTCACCCTT